ACGTTACATCTTGTGATATATGTTGGGACATCTTCCCAATATGAATACATCAAATTTAAGCTTGATTAGTATTGTGGCTACAAGGTTTTCTTGGTCGAGAAAAAGCCCAAACATACACATCCATTCCTCTGCCTAATTCAGGACCACGAGGAAAGGCAGCGGATTTGCTTTCAGAGCGCCAGCACAGATGCGATGGGCCCAATAGGTTTTAATAAAAAGAAGAAATAATGATAATAATGCTTGCATTTGATATACTGGCCTTTCACGTCAGAGCACTTCACAGGATATACTGTAATGTGTAGTATTTTTAGGCAAATGCAGCAGCCAGTTTGGGCAAAGCAATACCCAATGTCGATCTGTACAGTTCCGTGGTGCTGCATTTCAATTATGGTGATTGTGGTGTCGTGTGGCCAAAGCCTTTGGTTCCTTATATATCTAGGCCTCAAACTAATCTACAATTTCACTGCTGCATTTAAATAGGGCAACTCCCAGATCAATGTCTGCTCCTTGACCTTAATTTTAAGTTTAATTTGTTGCATGTTTTCCTCCTTTTTTTTAAAAAAAACACAAAATTTACACACAAACACCATCCCCATTACACATATCCTATGGAGTCCTGTAGCTCAGTGGTTCGAGCACTCGCTTTGCAAGCGAGAGACCTGAGTTCAATTCCAGGCAGGGCAAAACCTTGGGCAAGTTTCCTTACTCCACACGCCTAATAATAATCCCTCCAAAAAAAAACAATAATAAATTGGTCATTTTCAATCCATGACTGTCTGTGGGACACTGCTGTGTGCAATTGGCTGCCGCGTTCGCCCACAAATATACAGTCAATTCACTTTACAGTATATTCTGTGAAGCGCTTTGGGACGTCTAGAAGACGTGAAAAGCGCTACATCAAATGCAAGGATTATTATTATTTTATACATACACACACATATTGATAAATCCATTACCCCCCACCTCCCAATAATGATAAGATATTCACTGGAAACTTTCCTGAAATCAGGAAAACACCAATAAAATAGCTGCAAACCCACATGACTTCCCTTTTGCCGCGCAAATCCAGTCAGAGTCGAGAGATGCAAAGGTGGCTTTGGGAGAATGACAGTCAGACCCTGGCAATGATGGCACTGAGCTGGGCAAGAAGAAAGGCTTTACAGTGACCTAGCCAGAGCAGCCTCACACAGGGAAAAAAATATACCAGCGATTGGAACCCAGAACCTCTACAACACCATTTGATGAGTCAGAGTGAAACCACTCGAATGTGATCCTTCTTTCCTTCCTTTCTTGTTTTTTAAACAAATGCAAAGTATCCCATGCATCTTTCCTAGGAAATAAAACAATAATACAATAAAGCGCTATAGAGAGCGGGTAAACCATGCTCTCTCATCCTTAAAATGGTCAGATTTGGGAAATTTTGTTAGTGGAAGAAATTGCTGCCTGTCTGTTTCTCTCGCTCTCTTTCCACTTCCTGGTTTGGCTACAAAGCCCAGTTCAGAGCTGGCTACTTCCTCCTCCACTCACACTATAGGCTTTCTGCTGTCAATCGATTTTTTTTAATGTAAACTTTAAACATGAATTTTTTTCCCACTAAATCCCATATCCGATCGTCATAAACCCCCAATTTCCCCTCCCCGCTAATAGCACCCTGGCGGTCTTTGTTGTAGGGTTGACTTATTCCGGAAGGTTTTATCGCATGACATGACATGGCTTTGTGCCAGGAATGAGCGAGTTTTCCTGGCAAATTATTTATTACACAGATGGCAATTTGCCCCAGTGGAAATTAAAGGATCAGTGTGTCTATCAGATTTCTTATGTGCATGTAAAGTTGAAAAAACGATCTGTTGCTTTTGAAAGTGCAAAACTCTACGATTGCTTGTGAGCCAGAGTTACTTTTACATTAGAATACACGGGACAGAAACAGGCCATTCGGCTCAACTGGTCTATGTTGGTGTTTATGCGCCACATCAACAACAACAACAAAATTACATTTATAGAGCGCCTATAACAGTCAGGTGTCGGGGCCCGAGCATGGGTGAGGGGTGGTGTAGGGTGAGGGAAGGCAGAGAGGTGGGAGGAGACCAAAGGCACGGTCGAAGAGAAGGGTCTTGAGACCGGCCTTGAGGGAGGTGAGGGAGGAAGTGAGGCGAAGGGACCATAGGATGGAGTTCCAGAGTGAGGGGCAGAGAGGCTGAAAGCCCGGCCATCGATGGTAGGGCGGGTCGGGCGGGAGACATGGAGCAGACTGGAGCCCACTGAACGGAAGGAGTGGGCAGGTTGGGAGGGAGTCAACAGGTCAGAGAGGTAGGAGGGGGCAAGGCATGGATGGCCTTAAAGGTGAGGACGAGGATGGGGAGCCAGCGGTGTTGGGCGAGGGTGGGAGTGATGGGGTCGCGGAGCCTGGTGCACGAAAGTACATGAGCTGCAGAGAGTTGGATGATCTGCAGCTTGTGAAGGGAAAAGTTGGGAAGGAATTTACCCCATGTCTGCAGATGATGTCACCAAGGGGGAGCATGTAGCGGGTGAAGAGGAGGGGACCGGGGACTGAGCCCTGAGGGACACCGCACGAGATGGTGCGGGGGCTGGAGGAGAAGCCGTTTGCCGCGATGAAGTGGAGGCGGTGTGAAAGGTAGGACCTGAACCAGTCAAGGACAGAACCTTGAAGGTTGAGGTGGGAGGAGAGGCGGTAGAGGATTGAGTGGTCCACAGTGTCAAAGGCGGCGGAGAGGTCGAGGAGGACGAGGAGGCAGAGGGAACCCTGGTCACACATGGTCAGGATGTCGTTTGTGACCTTTACCAGAGCAGTTTCTGTGCTGTGGGCAGCACAGAAACCCGATTGGAGGGGTTCATGGAGGGATTGGGAGGAGAGGAAAGAGCGAAGCTGGGAGGCAACGACTCTCAAGGACCTTGAATAGGAAAGGGAGGTTTGAGATGGACCGGTAGATAGATAGCTAAATAGTTGTGATGGGTTAAGGGAAGATTTCTTCAAGATGGGGGTGATGATAGCTGTTGTGAGGGGGGAAGAAGGGGCCAGATTACAGGGAGAGGTTGATGATGTCAGCAAGTAATAATAATAATAATAATCCTTGAAGTTGATATAGCGCTTTTCACGTCTTCTAGATGTCTTAAAGCGCTTCACAGAGTATACTGTAAAGTGAATTGACTGCATTTTTGTGGGCAAAACGCAGCAGCCAATTGTGCACAGCAGTGTCCCACAAACAATCGTGGATTCAAGTGACCAAATCATTATTGGGTTTTTTTCTTGAGGCGCAAGTAAGGAAACTTGCCCAAGGTTTTGCCCTGTTGGGAATCAAACTCAGGTCTCTCGCTTGTGAGGCAAGTACTCCAACTACTGAGCTACAGGACTCCCCACAGAACTCTGCAGCCCATGTCCTCTCCCGCACCAAACTCCATGACCCCATCTCCCCCATTCTCACCCGACTCCATTGTCTCCCTATCCTTCAGAGGATCCAGTTCAAGATCCTGGTCCTCACCTACAAAGCCCTCCACGGCCTCGACCCACTCTACCTCTGTGACCTTCTAACCCGCTATCAACCCGCCTGCTCCCTCCGCTCAGCCGGCTCTGGCCTGATCCACGTCCCCGACCCACTCGCCCCACCATTGGCAGGAGAGCCTTCAGCTACTCTGCCCCAACCTCTGGAATTCCATCACTCAATCACTCTGCCTCGCCCCCGCCTTAGCCTCCTTCAAATACCGCCTCAAGACCCTCCTCTTCGACCATGCCATTGGTCACACCCTTCCCCACCCCTCTCCTCCCTTCTCCCCCCCGTCCCCAGCTCGGGTCTGAAATACTGTACACTGTCCAGTGCCTTGGGACGTCCTCCCGACATGAAAGGCGCTATACAAATGTGATCTTATTGTTGTTGTAGTTTTCTATGAGTTTTGAATATGTATGATAAAAGTGTGGCAAACCATTTTTTGGGGTAATCCGGGTGTCTGACACTTGCGGAAACCCATCACCGTGCTTAAGAGTATCCAAACCAAACTGAGATTTCCAAGCATCCCACCTACACATGGAAATCCCAGAGAAAGATTGTTGGAATGGAATGCACACGTTCTCCCTGGAGGGAAGCATCCTGCTTATCTAATTCCGGAAAGTATAAGGCGCAGGTTGGCAAGATCCAAGGCTTGGGGACCCCAGAGTGTGCGTTGGGGTAACTGCTGGAGGCTAACCAGCTAACACTGCATAACTTGCCATTGATATCGCTGTCTGTGATGAGGTTTGCTGCCAGAGAAACCATTTTTAATCGAATAAAACCCAACGATGGAGCACATGGTCATCGTGATGTTTTACGCAGGCCGGTGGTAATGCGTCGTGACCCGATTTACCTTATTGTTTGCGATCAAACAAATAAAAGGGGTCAGACCTATTCACCAAAGATCTGATCTCTTTCACTCTCAAAGTACTTTCAAGCGCTGTGAATAGTTTTCGCAGTGTGACTCTATAAAGAAAAATACACACTTTATGAATTCTTCCGAACTCTTCTCAATGGAAAGTTTCTTTCCCCAGAGTGATGCCCCGATTTGAAACCTCTCACAGCGGAGAGCCGGTCAACGTATTTACATTCCTATGAATTATGAAACCGAATTATGAAACCGAAACCGGAGTGGAAACATAGCCCTCGTTGATCTATTGAAATCTTGCATCTAAATTGGTGGTGGGGGGTGGGTTGGTGGTGGGGGGGGGTGGGTGGTTGGTGGTGGGGGGGGTGGGTTGGTGGTGGGGGGGGGTGGGTTGGTGGTGGGGGGGGGTGGGTTGGTGGTGGGGGGGGGTGGGTTGGTGGTGGGGGGGGTGGGTTGGTGGTGGGGGGGGGGGGTGGGGGGGGGGGGGTTGGTGGTGGGGGGGGGGGTTTGGTGGTGGGGGGGGGGTTGGTGATGGTGGGGGGGGGTTGATGGTGGGGGGGTTGGTGATGGGGGGTTGGGGTTGGTGGTGGGGGGGTAGAGGGGGTTTTGCTCTGTTGTTGTTTGTTGGACATTTGCTTTCGGTCGCTGTTTGCTATCCGGGACACACGACTCTCCAGTGAAACTGCAGCCACAGGACGGGACAGCTGCCCCCCGGGGGCTGTTTGCGTGACCCTCGGATGCCTGTGACGAGGTTTCCTGCCGCAGCATCGGGAGAAGCGCAGGGACGGAGAGTTTGGTACCGTCTCTGGCCCTGTGCGTCGCTCTCTGTATCCCCATCCCCACCCCCTCTCGCCATGCAGGTCAGGAGATCGGGAGCGGGGCAGTGCGCCGGGTTTCTCGGGCTGATCGCCCTGTGCGATGCGATCCATTGTAAGTACACAATGAAAGCCCTTCAGCTTCAGACAACAGCGTTTTGCGTGTGTGTGGGTTCACGTTTCAGGGAATCCGACCCAGGCGGCGGCGCAGAGCAAACGGGCGGTCAGTCCCGGCCGGTCAGTCCGGGTCGGTCACGGTCAGTCCCGGTCGGTCAGTCCGGGTCGGTCACGGTCAGTCCCGGTCGGTCACGGTCAGCCCCGGTCGGTCAGTCCGGGTCGGTCACGGTCAGTCCCGGTCGGTCACGGTCAGTCCGGGTCGGTCACGGTCAGTCCGGGTCGGTCAGTCCGGGTCGGTCACGGTCAGTCCCGGTCGGTCAGTGAGGAAGGCAGTGATTCGCATTGAGATGGAATCCCCGCAGATGCTGGAGCTGCTGGAGAGTGAATACACTGCCAGAGGCAGTGCTAACATTTGCCTCTTTCCTCCCGTGGCTGAGTCTGATCGTTTGTTGACACACAGACACACACACACACACACACAGAGACACACACAGAGACCCACACACACACACACAGACCCACACACACACAGAGACACACACACACAGAGACACACACACAGAGACACACACACACACACACAGACCCACACACACACAGAGACACACACACACACAGACCCACACACACACAGAGAGCCACACACAGACACACAGACACACACACACAGACCCACAGAGACACATACACACACACAGACCCACAAACAGACACACACACACACACAGACCCACAGAGACACATACACACACACAGACCCACAAACAGAGACACACACACACACACAGACCCACACACACACAGAGACACACACACACACAGACCCACACACACACAGAGAGACACACACACACACACACACACAGACACACACACGCACACAGAGACCCACACACACACACACAGACCCACACACACAGACACACACACGCACACAGAGACACACACACACACACACACAGACCCACACACACACAGACACACACACACACACACACACACACACAGACATACACACACACACAGAGAGACACAGAGAGACACACACACACAGACACATACACACAGAGAGACACACACAGAGACACACACACACACAGAGACACACACACACACAGAGACACACACACACAGAGACACACACACAGAGACACACACACAGACACAGAGAGAAACAGACACAGAGAGACATCCACAAGGCGCTGTTTACTATGGACTCTCTGATGTTTCTGATAAAGAGCGACTGCGGTTAAATACCGGAGATCATTGCAGAAAAACTCAGCGGGGGGCACGGATTGCATATCCTGCGGGTTTTTTTCATCTTGATTCACAGATTTATGTTTTTAACCTATGGCCAGTTATGAGATTCCACGCCAGACTGAATACCTGCAGCGTTTGATGCACTGTCATTTTTTTCTGTGACTGCCTGGCCCCTAGAATAGCCAGAGATAAAAAGAATAATACTAATAATTTTTGCATTTGATACAGCGCCTTATCACGTTGTTGAGTCGTCTCAAAGCACTTCACAGAATATACTGTAAAGCGTGGTACCAGTACGCAGTACTCAAGATCGCTTTCCAGGGGTAAGAATCCCTTACAAAATAAATAAACAAATAAAAATTTGGTCACTCAATCCACAACTGTTGTGCGCAATTGGCTGCCGCATTTCACCCACAAATTTACAATTAATTAACTTTACAGTATATATATTCTGTGCAGTGCTTTGAAACATCTCAATGATGTGATAAGGCGCTATATCAAATGCAAGGATTATTATTATCACCTGAAATTACACGTGATCAGTGATCCCCGTCCCCATTATACAAATCATTTGTCAGTAAACCACGAATTTGGATGAAAAACTATTTTGAATAAAATAGACTTCAAATAATATATAAGACCAAGCGTTCCCCCCTTTACATTGTACCCCTCAAACCTCTTAAATAAGAATGTGAATTGTAATGCTGTTGATATGTTATATTTTCTGATATAAAAGATTTCAACTGCTGCACCGAACCTTGGTGCATTGGGAATCATCTCAAAGAATATTTGTGACATAAAATCATCACATTATAAAACTGATGTGTAGTTCTTATTTTTATTATTTTTATAAATATAATTCAAAAGCATCCAAAACAATACCCCAAAGGGGGACAGAGGCTAAGGTCTGAGACTAGAATCTATAGTCCTTATTTTGATAGCTGGTACCTGTAATGTAATATACCAATTCATCTTCACATCCCCTTTGTACTGTATGTAGACTGAGGATCAGAAATCCAACCTAGAGAGAAACCCACACTGAAACAATCCATCCTTTGGATGAAATGTTAAACCAAATCTGTGCGGATGGGTGATAAAGATTCAATGGTACAATCTGAAAAGAGAAGGGGAATTTTTCTCTTGTTATTCCAGATAAATTTGGTCATTTGCATCATGGCTGTTTATGGGACATTGCTATGTGCAAATTGACTGCTACATTCACCCATAAACTACTCAGCCACTACACTGTATGCTAAGCCCCTATCTTAAATGCATGGATAATAATCCTTCACAGGATCTGCTGTGAAGTGTGGTGACTGTGCATTTGTAGCTACTCTATCTCTTTTGGAGGAATGGTTATGAAGGTCATGCTTTTATAAGATAAACATATTAAAAATATTTTCATATGATAAATAAAAGTGATTTCAAAGGGACAGATATTTTATGAGTTATGGACGGATTATAAGCCTTCAGGTTCAGTCGTATATTCGATCACACCCCCAACATACGTAAGTGAACTTCACGGCAACTGTGATGGAATATAGTTCTGAAAGCATTGCTGGCATGATCAATTGGGAGTTTTAAGCAGACATACTAATCTGCTTTTATCAACATGAAATAATGAAGCTAGACACTGCACACAGAAATATGATTAAGTCAGAAAGGCAACTGTGGAAAAAATGTTCAGTGGATCACACATAATTGGGCTTTAGAAACAGTTTTTTTTAAAATTGTTTTATTCAAAGTGGATTATGCTGAAACAACAAAGTAGTTTGGAAGTCATAAGCTTGTGGGTTGCTCCTGTAAGACTTTTGTAAATACAAGTAGTTATACAATACCATTTTTTACTATACAGTTTACATTTATATGTTTATAACATAGTATTTCTATTGCCATTGGGAGGGCATCTCAAAGTACTACTGGGTTTCTAGGAGGTCGCAGAAGTAGGGTGGGTGCGGTAATGGAGGGATTTGAAAGTGAATCCCCTGGGGATCCAGGCAAGATTAGGGTGATTGGGTCACAGGGCCTGGTGCGGGAGAGGACATGGGCTGCAGAGTTCTGGAGAGTCTGCAACTTGCATAGGGAAGAGCTGGGGAATCTGGCGAGCAGAGCATTGGCAGTCAAGCCAAGATGTGATGAAAATGTCAATGAGGGTCTCAGGAGTCGTTGGGGGGGTTGGGGGGAGATAATGGCAGAAGCAGCAATGTTACGAAATTGAGCGAATAAGATCCTGGATGTGGAGCCAAAGCTTATTCTATCAATTTACGCCATGTTAAAGGACTTTAGCTGATGGTTAGAATAGTTTGAAAGACATCTGGAGGTCAAACAAAACACAGAGGTTCTGATGTTGTCAGCACCTAGAGTAAGAAGGTGCTGACAGGAGCCAAGCAAGAAAGGCCTAGTCTTGTCTATTCTTACTATGCAATAATAGAACAACGTATAAGTAATTAAACCAGAAAGTGAAATGTAAAGCAGTTTAATTAGCATCTGAAAGAGGATAATTTAATATTATATGCAATGATCCTTAATGAGAACTATTCTAACCATCAGCTAAAAAAAAAGCTAAAAACATGGCGTAAATTGGTATAACAAGTCCGTTGTAGGCAGAAGGAAAATCTAAGAGAGGTACGGAGTTCAAAAGTCTTCAGGTTGTGGGAAAGTATGAGTTGAACCAATGACATTCTTATAATAATAATGCTTGCATTTAATATAATACCTTATCAGGTTGAAAGAGGTCAGATTGCTTCAGATTTTTTTCTGTAAAGTGTAGTGACTGTGTAATTGTAGGTGAATGCAGCAGCCATTTGTGCATGCGTTGTCTCACGAAGCAGCCATGAAGCAAATGACAATTTTATTTTAATCTGGGGGATTGTTACTCAAGACATCAAGAAAAACAGCATTCAAGACACCAAAAGAAACATCCTTCTCTTTTCGCGTAGTGCCAGGGAATATTTAATGTTCACCTGAACAGGCAGATGGCACCTTGGTTTAACATCTCTTACAAAGGAGAGCACCTGCAACAATATACTGTACGTTTACTGTATTTACAAACCACTGTATTTACAAGTCATTGTGTCATCCGTTTTATATGGTTTACTCAACTCACAAATTAAATCCCAAATACCAGCAATTTGTATTCAATTTCTAAGAGATTTTTATTTCATTCGTAGATTTTTTACCTGGCATTGCAACAGCAGTTCTCCTGCTACTAACCTTGGTCACAGCTTGTCCACCAGTACATTAGCCAAGCATTTTGAGAAGTTCTTTTACATACACAAGACACTACATAAATCCAAATTGTTGCTCTTGTAGTAACAATAGTATGTTAAGGAAGATAACTCCTTAATTACATTTTAGTGCAGAAAAAAAGCTGCATACATGTTACATGTAGGGTAACTTCTCAGAGCGAAAAGTAAAATGTTGCATTGGTTTGATTATGGAGAAAATAAATAAACCTTTTCAAGCAAATTTTGCTTTTCAGCAAAATGAAAGGCGCTATATAAATGCAAGTTATTGTTGTTGTTGTTAAACTATGGCTTGACTTATATAATTTCCATTCTTTCTGTTTGCATCAAGTCCTGTCACACCCACATGCCTCACAGTTTCTCAGCAGAAGACGACGTGCGAATGGGATCTTTGAAGAGAGTAAGAAAGGAAATTTAGAGAGGGAATGCGTTGAAGAATTTTGTAACAAGGAAGAGGCCAGGGAAGTGTTTGAGAATGACCTTGAAACAGTAAGTATTTAATGCTGTTTTTAAGTTTATTTGATCTATTCTTTTGATAATGTATTTGGGAGCCTTGGCTTATTGTAGTGTGTTGTGCTCCGCCACTGTCAAGCACTCTGGGACGCTAGCCTGCGAGGAGGGGCGCTATATAAATGCAAGTTGTTGTAGGTTAATATATGCTATGAGTGTTTATAATGATCTTATCCTTATCTTCAAGAAGAACTAATAATTAGTATGTGTTCTGCTGATTCTGGTGAATCAGAGAGGATTATAATTTGCTGAAATGTTAGGTTACTGCACGAAAAGGAGGCACTACAGTTCGGTTAAATACAAATTATACAATGTGTCTTATGTCTCAGCAGAAAATAAAGTAATGCAGTTTAATGTATTCTAACAGTTTGGTGATTTATATAAAAAAATACCATGTGCATTCCAGCCACCCTTATACTCGCTCTCGGTGAGATTGTGATTTAACACCAGAGTTGTGCCAATTTATGAGCAGCGTTGCTATGGCCCTGTTTGGAACCCAGTTGAACCCTCAACATCATTTTGCTTTCTGTGCAGCAAAGAAACATTTGTACCCCATCTATCTGAGCTGGATTCAGAGGGCTGAGGGCTGCATGCTGATTTTTTTGTCACACAAGGCTTTAAACTAAGAGGGAGAGAAAATGGCAGAAATCCCAAAGTAGGGGTCTGGATCCCCCAGATCACTAACCCTAGTGATGTTTGTTTTCCTGTTGATTTGGGGATTTTACGCTTTAATAACAAGAGAAAACACAGCTGCCGTTTGGCTCTGTATGTACAGCTCACCTAAATCCCTGGCCAATGTGGTTTCAGGGGTTTAAAATTCATGTTGCTTCACTGCTGGAAGTGATGTAATCACTCCAGCAATATAAATGCAGATTTAGTATAAGGCTTGATCTTCTGATTTATGATCTCAACTTTGCTAGCAGCCAGTAAATTACCTCCTGATTTTCTATTGCAATACTGTAGTACTGTAGTTATGATGGTTACACACTTGGTTTAATACTTGGTAACTTGATTCTTCAACAGGGAATTCTGTTAGAATCTTTGTTAATGTTCACCTACAAAATAATAGACACTACAATTTATAGTAGAATCACATGAAGCGCTTTGAGATATCCTCCTGATGTGAAAGGTACTAGATCAAATGTAAGGATGGGTTTTTACATTATTACTTGTGAGAATTCTGCTCTGGAAATGGACATTCACCAGATCACAAGAGAGGTTTGGATGGAAGCCCCTCAGCCCATCTGATCTCATTGTTCCAGAACACAGAACCATTCCTCTCATCACTGTTGGACTGCAGTTTCTCCAGGTTGGCAATGTACTGCTGTGATACACCCATCAGATCCCAATAATTACAAGATCCCATCGATGGAAGGAGGAGGATAGGAAGGAGTCCACAGAATCTAAACATGGGTCCCCTTAGTAAGAAATACTCCCAATTAGTTCCCATTATGGCACCATTTATTCCCTATGGTTTATTGGTAATAACAACAGTGTGTTATTGGATGTAAGGCAGTGGTTGGCTAAGTGATATAGATGTTTAACTCTTCATACTTACTTTTTCTTCTTCCCACAGGAATACTTTTATCCCAAATACCTCGGTGAGTTTGCTCTAATCTTAATATTTTCATTAGTCATAAACTATGAGGCTTTCAAGCCTCACATTATATCAATGACATGGGCAGCAGCATGAGGCAGAAAGTGTTGGAAAATAACATCAGGCAGTGTATCGATACACTGGAACAGTTGATGAATGACAAGTGAGTGCTGCTGCATAATTTGATCATATTGCTCATCAGTAGCAGCTTCGAGAGTTAAGATGAAAACAACTAAATGGAAAAGAACTGATTAAAAAGTAATCTGTTAAAATGCACTTGCCCATCGGAGATGTCAAAGATCTAGATGGGTGATTCCCTGGTCATTGGTACATTAACTAACCTTAGTGGGCATGCAAGTGTTATTCTGGACTTGCTTGTATTGATATTGACCTTGGCAGTAAACTTAGAATGTAATCTTAAATTAGACATTGACAAAAGTCAGAAATTTCATCAGCCAGGGGAGAATAAGGTGCTCTTGCCTCCCCCAGTCACTAAATTTACTGTGATTGAAAAATAGTCAATTTGGTACTTAAATTGTGCTTACCCAAAACTCATTTTAAGGGATGTTTAAGCCCATCATTACTGCTGTAGTTTTGACTTGATTGTTCCTTCAAGACCCGTCTTAAGACCTTCCTCTTTGACCAAACCTTGGATCACCCTTCTTCCCCCACTGCCCTCGACCCCAGCTTGGGTCCAAAACACTAATTGTCCAGCATCTTGAGACATCCTCCCGACATGAAAGGCGCTTTTCAAGTGTAATTTTGTTGTTGTTATTGACTTGGTAATAACTCTCTCGCTTTGTCTATGTTAAAATTACAAAAAACAAAATGCCCTGAAGACATAACTTCACTCAATTACAAAGCTTTTACTGCAGTAGTCAATATGTATTTAGTGCTTTTCTAGTTTGCTTTAATAATAACACAGTCAAAAAACAAAACATAATATGAAAGGATAACCAAGTTCTATAGGACTGAAATTCTCATGGTGGCTAATGCGGGTGCCATTGAGAGATTGGATTGTTGAACTCATCAGAAAGTGAAATAAATTCGATTCACTTATACTCTATACAATTCCCATCTCATTGCACTCTGGCAAACATCACATTACATCTACATGTTATTTGAGGAATCGTACAAGAAGGCAACTATAATCTCCAATGACAGTCTCTTAAACCCCTGGAGTGAAGAGAAATCTCCCACCTTCCCCCATCTACCAACCAATGGAGTCCTGGTGGAGTCATGTGAAGTCCTGCAGCTCAGTAGTTAGAGCACTCGCCTCGCAATCGATAGACCTGGGTTCGATTCCCGGTAGAGCGAAATGAAATGTTGGGCGAGTTTCCTTACTCCACATGCCTCTGTTCACCTAGCAGTAAGTAGGAACCCAGTTGTTAGTCAATTGATAGATCGTATTTCCAGGGGTAATAATTCCTTCAAAACAAAATTAATAATAATAAATTGGTCAATTCAATCCACGACTGTTTGTGAGACGCTGCTGTGCGCAATTGGCTGCTGCATTTCACCTACAAAATAGTTAACTTTACCGTATATTCTGTGAAGTACTTTGAGACGTCTCGAAGATGTGAAAAGGTGCTATATCAACTGCAAGAATTATATTATTCTAACCATTTAGCAAAATGTGTTGAGTGATACACAAAGATTTGCTCAGTGTTTTAAGATGGATAGTTTTTCTGTTCATCTTAAAACACTGGATAGGATGTATATCTTCTAATAGTTTATTTTCTTTCACCATAGGTTTTCTAATAAATATCAATTTACCTTTTAAAAATATAATGAATGCACCACAAATGTGTTTATCTCAACTATAAAAAGTGACTCCAAATAAGGATTGAATAAGTTTAAAGACTAATTTAATTTGTGCATACATTTAGATCTAACAAGTAGTAGTTGGAGATACGATAAAATGGAGCTTCATGCCTATAGAGGTAGAAAAAAGATTTTTGAATGTAACAGCCTCTTTTTTGTGGTTTCTGTGTGACCGTAAATATATTTGATCCTGAACGACTAACTAATAGAGAGAATGAAATTCAGCAATGAACTTTTGAATTGTTAAAATATTTTAATTTAGTGTGTTGGACTATAGCAAATGTGTTGTTCTCTTGTGGTCTTACAGATTGTTTGAGCCGATATCAATATCGTATTCCAAGCATGACTCGTGCTACAAGTCACCTGAGGACATGTGTCAGTGGTACGTTTTTTGAAGTATTAGTCTTATAGTGAAGAAATATTCACGCTGACCCTTAAAAATAACAACATCCAAAATAACATCCAACTTCATCCCTGTAAACCATTCTGATAAATGCATGTTGTTGTAGTTATATAGAGATTTTTCCAGGCAAATACACGGCAAATTGTGGAGTCCTGTAGCTCAGTGGTTAGAGCACTTGCCTTGCAAGCGAGACACCTGGGTTCAATTCCAGGCAGGGCGAAACCTTGGGCAAGTTTCCTTACTCCACACGCCTAATAATAATTCCTCCAAAACAAAACAATAATAAATTGGTCATTTTCAATCCACGACTGTTTGTGGAACACTGCTGTGCGCAATTGGCTGCCGCGTGTCGCCCACAAATATACGGTCAATTCACTTTACAGTCTATTCTGTGAAGCGCTTTGAGATGTCGAGAAGACGTGAAAAGCGCTATATCAAATGCAAATATTATTATTATAAATCATTTTATCTTGCAAATTAGGTACTGCGGATTATTTTTCCTGCATTGTGACATAAAGATGGTGACATGTTTTCTGAGTATATTTTCAAATTTGAGTTTATTTAGAGAACAAGTTAATTAAAAGGAACATATACAATAGATTTATACACTGATCATTTTATTTCATGTTAATGGAGCTAATGGAAATATATTTTGTAAACGTAAATAGAACTGCACAAGCTCGGGTCACTACTCAGGCCAGTCTCTGTTCAATTATAAAGGATTTACTGTCTGTCCTATGTTTTTGCAATAGTCAATAATAATAATAATAATAATAATCCTTGCATTTGATATAGCGCTTTTCACGTCGGGAGGACGTCCCAAAGCGCTTCACAGAACACACTGTAAAGTGAATTGACTGTATATTTGTGGGCGAATGCGGCAGCCAATTGCGCACAGCAATGTCCCACAAACAGTCGTTGATTGAAAATGACCAATTTCTTATTGTTTTTGGTTTTGGAGGGATTATTATTAGGCGTGTGGAGTAAGGAAACTTGCCCAAGGTTTCGCCCTGACCTGCCTGGAATTGAACCCAGGTCTCTCGCTTGCAAAGCGAGTGCTCTAACCACTGAGCTACAGGACTCCACAATAACCCTTAACTGAAGCTACCACTGGATGACAGTCTTTAAATCTCCATCATTGTACTATAGTGTTATTAAAGCACAAAATGCACAATTTACATTGGATTTCTGTGAGCGTGTGATTTGACATTACTCTGAAATGAGGGTACTTACCAGTGGCATTAACAGTGATTTCATGTATTTTAATTGCAGTAGGAGAGCATGTGTAGAATAGGTTCAATATAATTCTGTGAGAATAAAATCTGATATTTTTGAACAGTTGTTTACGGAAATGTCACCAGTTTTATTTTCTGCTCCATCCAGATATCCCAGACCAATGCACTCCTTCCCCATGCAACTCTGAAGGCTCAGTTAAATGTATGGACAAGAAGGGTGCTTTCAAATGTACCTGTAAGGAAGGCTGGGAGGGGGACAGATGTCAGAATGGTATGTTTGTATTTGTTATCTGAGGTGAAATTCTCAATAGTTAAAGATTTTTGTGTTTTCGAATGTAAAAACAGTACCGTACACTCATTTCTCTGACTGCTAGTTCTCTCAGGGCTACCAAAATCATCACCATTGATTTCCAATACCCAACAATCTCAGACCATTGCAAGTCTTGATATGAGAAGCTCAGCTGTTGTTTTTCGGATTATGGATTACTGCCTTGTTTCAGAATTTCCTGAGGTCTCTTAAGCAAAACCCCGATCAGGGCATGTCTCAACATTAATGTGCTTTTCAGAAATGAGATCATTCAAATCATAATGGTAAATCTCAATAATCTTGTATTTTTGCGCCTGCTTTTGTTAATACTGATATTTAATCGAAAGCACAGTAAAAAGTGAGAGTAAATCCACCAAGTTTCGAATTATAATTCAATGCTTTGTTTTTGCTATGGTTACGTTTTGGTTTATCTTGTCAGATACTGAGTACATTTCTTAACTGTGTTATTTAGATATAAATGAATGTGAAGCTGGAACATTGAGGAAAGGTGACTGTAGTCATGCCTGTTACAATGTACCTGGAAGTTATCGCTGTTTCTGTCGGGATGGTTTCTTCATGCATTCAGATAAGCACACCTGCATTGGTAAGGAACAGATCCGAATTCTTGTTTGTCTTCACACATTCATCACATCCAGGCTCGATTATGCCAACTCCCTGCTTGTCGATCTTTCAAATTCGTTCCTCCTCAAGATGCAGATTACTCAGAATTCTGCAGCTCATGTCCTCTCTTGCACCAAGCTCCATGAACCTTTCATACCCAATCCCTCGCTCAGCTCCACTGGCTCTCCATCCCCAGAGGATATAATTCAAAATACTCTTCCTCGCTTTTTTAAAGCCCTCCATGGCCTTGCCCCTCCCTACCTCTGTGACCTGCTAACTCCGTACTGACCTGTCGAGGGTATTTTCATTTTAATAATCGCAGAATGTAATGAATTTGTGTCATATTTATTAGATGCACTAGAAAATAAAGTGTGCTAGTTTGATGATTGCAGCTGAATGACTTTAGCTTACTTTCTTCGCAATTTTACAAATGTGGGGGCAGCCCACTCTGTGGTGACAGTGCTCTAAGGAGAGGTTGGGAGAGGTGCCCTCCATGCTCTCGTTGGAAAACGTTCTGGTGGCACAAAGCTTTTTAGAGAACACCAGAAAGCCATTATGTGCTGTGTTTATATTTTGTGGTGATTTTTTGTGGAACCAGAGTAGATCACGCTGGAGGCTTGTTCCTGATAACACTAAGAGGAGTTTTCTGAGGAACAATTCAGTTTGATTCACTCCATTGTCAATGCAGCTGGTAAAATGGACTTGGCTTTTGCTTCCCATTTTGTCTTGAACGTTCTTCAGCCATCCACAGAAACCCCAGAGGTGTAATATAAACACAACACAGAGGGGAACTAGTCTGAAAATTGTCTCATCTTCAACAAGACTTAGGGTAAAGCTTTTTTTAAAAGCTTCTATTTGATGTTAGAACAACATATCTGGAAGGATACTTTGAAGTGTAAATGATTTACTCATCCTGTGTGGGAAGAAATAAACAACTCAGTGGCATTCCTGTGGCTATGACCCATTTATCTTAACTTATGCTCCAAATTCCGGTAACACAGCCGTTTCTGGGGAATGAGAGTTGCAATATCTATGTTTTTTTAAAAAACATTTAAAAGACTTAATTCTGGGGGGACATCTGGGAGAACAATTTCTTTGTATGTCACACCACAAATGTTACATCCACCCCCACATATGTGGGTTTGCTTAAAATAAGTGAGATTGAATTCAAGAGAGGTTCGATTGAAGGAGGTTCTTCAGACATTGCAACTTTCATCACAATCTCTTGGGCATCTTTTGAACCAGCTGTAACAGCTCCTAGCTGTTTTAAAGTTGTAATACAAACAGCACTTTGAATGTTAGTCCTTTGATTCCCTAAAATTTCTGTTTCCGAATGAATGTGAGGGTGAGAAAGATCTGGAAACAAAAGAAAAAAATCTTAGCTCATCCCGTTTCGTAATTGTGAACAAAATTTAGTTCTGCTCATTGTTCATCATAAAAGCAGCTTCTGACTTGTACTTTTTTTAAAAAAATACAGATAGAAATGAATGTTTATTAAAACCGAACATCTGTGGGTCAGCATACTGCAGGAATCTGGACGGCAATTTTGAATGTAAATGCGATGAAGGGTACATATTCAATTCAACTACAAAGACGTGCATGGGTAAGGATCAACTTCACATTTTACAAACTGCAACACTTGTAAAGAGAATCATATCTACATTGGACTAAGCAGTTGAAGACATCACTACTTATGCAATTTTGGCCTCGGGAATCTAGATTTTGAATGGAGAATCCAACAATTTCTAAAGTGAATAGGTATTTTTAAAGAAACTGCCTTTGTCACCTCTCGGCTGGACTATTCCAACGGTAGTCCAACGGTACTCCCAACTACTCCTCGCCGGTCTCCCATCCACTACCATCCATAAAATCCAAATCATTCAATACTCTGCCGCCCACATTCTCACCCGCACGAAACTCCGCTCCCCGATCACCCCAGTCCTTGCCAGACTGCACTGGCTGCCTGTCCCAGAGAGGATCGATTTCAGGATCCTCACCCTTGCATTCAAGTCTCTGCACTCCTCTGCACCCCCCTACCTCTCTGACCTCTCTCCTCAAAACAGTACCCATTGCCTTCGTTCCTCCAGGTCTGGCCTCCTCCTTGTCCGCCAAGGCCTCCGCTCCACCCTCGGCGGCCGTGCCTTCAGCCACTATGCCCCGAGGCTCTGGAACTGCCTTCCTCATTCCCTTCGTCTCGCTCTCTCCCTTCCCATTTTCAGGTCTCTGCCGAAGACCTTTCTTTGCGACCACGCTTTTGGTCACCTTCCTCCCCCTCCTCCTCCCCCTGGCTCGTTCCTGGGATCCATTACTGTAAAGCACTCTGAGACGCCATCCGATGTGGAGGGCGCTATATAAATCCCAAGTTGTTGTTGTTGCATTTACTTTTTGCATCTATGGTGTAAAAGCATGGAATATTAACTTTTGATAGAGATCAAGCCATAATCCCACTTCACTCCTCCCCTTGCTCATCTTAATCATGCACCTTGTTTGCTTGGTTTAGCAAAAGTGGGCAACCTTTGTCTAAATATATGATTTACATCTGAGGCAAGATTGGATTCTCATTGTATTGCTCCTACGTAGTCTTAGCAACTTCAATTGTGTGACAAGTTCAAAAGAGGGGTAAGAATGAAAAAGATTCTCTGCCCCCTTTTGATCTCATCCTTCCAGAATATCCATCTGTTGTCCTATTTCTTCATTTTAATTGTTTCATTTTTTAAAATTACACCAATGTCTCCATACTCATTATTTTAGAAATTCAATAATTACAATTTTCTTATTAAGAAATATGTTAAGAAATATGTTAAGAAATATCACTGATTAGCCCCCATGCTGTAATTCTCATTTGTGTTGGAAGTGGTTTATGAAGAGGAAATTAAAATTTATTATATAATAATGAAAATTGAAACAGTTATATTTGTCCAATGTTGACTGCTTATTGTCTTTAAACAGACGTAGATGAGTGTGCTGAGAATACCTGTGCACGCGTGTGTGTGAATTACCCTGGGAGCTACTCCTGCTTTTGTGATGGAAGGGAAGGAGAAAAACTAGCAACTGATGGGAAGAACTGTCTGGTACAACCAATTTTGTAGACAATTATAGAGTTGGACACAGCAATGTGGCTCAATTTCCTAATATATATGTGCTTTGAATGTTCATTAAAATAAACCAATCCCGTAGCACAGTCCTGACAGGGATATAAAAACATTCAGTTTACACACAAATGATTCCATGATAAGGTGTCAGCCTGGCACAATTGCCTCTGAGTCAGAAGATTGTGGATTCCAGCCCCACATTAGGACATTGAATTCATATAGTCTTGGCTGACACTTCAATTGTCGGAGGTGAAATCAAGTTCCCCTCTACCTGTTCAGGTGGGTGTTAAAAATCCCTTAGCACTATTCAAAAAGGGACGAGAGTTTCTCCTGTTATCCTGGCTAACAATCTGACAGATAAAATTGGTCATTCATTTCATGGCTGTCAGTGAGATATTGCTGTATATAATTGGCTACCATGTTCGCTTACAAATATAAAATCATATTTGCCTCACGAAAGCGATGTTTAGTATGAAATTGGCTCAAGTATAACACTAGTTAATTATAAATGGAGCAAGACAATCTATTGTTCGATTTCAAGATCCTCTCACTTGTTTTCAAATCCCTTTGTGCCCTCGCACCTCCCTATCTATCCGACCTGCTTAACCCACACTCTACTAACCCGCTGCCTCCCTCGACTGGCTCAGGCCTCCTGTTCGTCCCTCGTCCCCTCCGCTCCTCCGCTCCACCATCAGTGGCCATGCCTTCAGCCAATTCACCCCTCCCTCCCCACTTTCAAATCCTGCCTAAAGACCTTCCTTTTTGATCGTGCTTATGGTCACCGGCCCCCTGGCTCAGGGTCAAACTCCGCCACTGTCAAGCACTCCGGGATGCTACCCAGTGTGAAGGCTTCTATATAAATGCAAGTTGTTGTTGTATAGTTTCCAAAGACCAAATTAAAGACTGAACTGTTGATGGTGGACTTCAGTGTTAATGCTTAGGTTTGACAAACGCCTGACTGGAGTGAAAGCTCCAGTCTATGGTACATCATCTGATTTTATCTTTTAAAATACATTATCGTATTCTCATCCTTGAAGGTTGCATGATATGAAGTGTTGAGTTCGATATAAAATAGTCTTGAGACATGGTTGACATGGATCATTAATGTGTACAAATTGTATTTGGTTTCCATGCTTGTAGAATTCAAAAATATCCATTCTTTCTCTATAAAAAGTCTGAATCTTACAACTGTTATTGGCAACTATATTTTGTAGTATTTACCATAATGTGATCTGCGGAAAAACACGATCAACTGCAATGCTGGTGGGTAAACTGCATATTGAAGTGCACCTGTCTGCATTTGAACCTGATTAGCTCAATGAACCTGTATTTTAACCACATTATGTAATTTAGATTCAGTATATATTGAACTATTCTCTACGAGAGTGAAATTTTAAAGGTTGTTAAGTTTCGACTGAGAATCTTTGAAAATTAGCTGCATTATTACAATAACAGCACCAGCACATCAACATGTAATGTTAGGTTTGAATTGGCATGTTGCAGAGTCACAGTGCCACATTATTAGCCTCAACGGATACTTAGACACCATATATTTTCACTACATATACAATTCCAGGGTTCTAATGTTTTTGGCTATTTTATTTCTATTTTTTCGCATAAAAAGCTTTGTAAAGGTCTTAAACATTGATGTTATTGACTTTCAGGAGATATCAACATGTTTCCCTGTGCAAACCAGTAGGAAGGCATACATTCTGAACATGGGAGAACTCTTTTCAGGCATTCCCGTTGTGTACCTCAGGTTTAAAATCCCTGTGGATAACAGGTGAGAAACTAAAGTTATACATCGATTTACATTAATTGTACAGCAGAAACAGGCCATTCAGTCAACTCATCTGAGCCAATGTTTATACTCCAAATGAGTTCTCCACCCACTCCTTACTCCCTCCAGTATCCTTCTATTCCCTTCTCCTTCATGTGAAGGTCGTGCTTCCTCTTAATTGCATCTATACTATCAGTTAGTATCTATACTATTCAGTTCAGGCAGCAAGTTACACATTCTCATTACCTTCTGCGTGGAATAGTTTCTCCTAAATTCTCATTTAGATCAATTAGTTGCTATTTTGTATTTGAATACAATTCAATTTCAATTAGTAGGAGTTTCTTTTATTATGGTACCTTAGGAGATAATTACAGGACAGGTACCCTGGAAATGGTCCTATTGGGAATATCTGTTGAAGCACTGTGTGGGAGAAATACCACCTAGTCTAGAATTTCCTTGAGAATATTTAAAAACCATTGAATTCTGACTTCACAGTTCAGACTAAATTCAATCAACTTGCCAATTTCTGGCTGCTCTGAAATGTTAGAATAATAGAATTAAATCTAGACCCCGGTGGAATTTCTCCGCATGCATGTCTGTCTGTAGGCACATGAGTTTATCAACACAACATTAAAACAAATATCATATCCTTCTAGGGGGCGAAGCAAGGTCTCCCTGGAACTGAAGTGCCTTTGAGTTGACTGCTGGGCAAAGCCTTGCAGGGCTGTAGTAATTTAAAACAACTCGGAGATGTCGGCAAGCTCTCAATTCAAAGCCCTAACAAGTGCAAAAGTCCTAGCTGCAGAAGCATAAGGCTATAGTGTTTCCTATTAGTCAGTGAAATATCTGAGCTCTCATTCATCTTTTACTCTGGCTTTCATCCCACTCATATCACCTACATATGCAGGGTTGCATCACATCAATGCAGCTAGATTGGTCAAACTTGCCAATTGACATTGGCACTTTCTACTGGTACATCTACCCTGAAAATATTGAATTGTTCCAATTTGATGCAAAAATAACAACCGATTTTCCATTGAATAATGTAAATGTACTTAAGTTAAAGAGCTTTATTTTATAAGAACACAATTCAAGATGAATTAAACTTAAATGTGCAATACTATACAAAACAAATTTATATTTATATAGTGCCTTTCATGTCAGGAGGATATCTCAAGGTGCTTGACATTCCTAGCTTGGCACCCAAGTTTGGAGTAGGAGCCAAAACGGTGAGGAGGGGAAAGATGATTGAAGCAGTCAAAAAAGACCTTGAAAAAGACAAGGGAGGGTTTGAGTCGGAGGGATTCCAGGATTATTAATTATTATTATTACATATTATTCTTGAAATGGGAAAACTTCCAAGTCACAGATGGCTTTGGCATCCTGGTGACAGGCTTGGCAAGATCCCCAGAATAGTTATGAAAGTCCACTCCTTGACCCATCTAAAGCATAAGGATTACATCTGTTTAGGAGGACTGTTTGCAGCAGAAATAACCCAGACAAACTGATGACTTACCATCTAAAATGTTTCTGTCCTATGCTTTATCAGCACTCAAATTTTGCAAAGTCTATTTCATTTCTAAATTCACTGTTTTAAAATATTTAATTTGTGTGCAATGCTGTACACTTTTTGGAACTCTCTCCTTAAATTCCTCCACCTCACTTCCTCTCTGTTTTCAAAACCCCTCTAAAAAACAAACTTATTTCAGTGAGCCTTTGGCAGCCTCCTGCCTACTCTCCCATTTCCCATCCAGGTCGGACTCCTGCTTCATAAAATACCTTGAGACATTCGCCTATAATGAAAGGTGTTATTTAGGTGCAGTTTGTTTGTACAAATGGCCGTTATCTGAAGTGTCATAAGCATTTTAGTTCATCCCTATTTTTTATAATTCTCATGTTGCCATGGAGGTTTACAGCACAATTTGACTTCAGAACATATGACTCGGAGGGGATTATAGTTTATGCTGAAACCAACGAAACCCATTCATGGTTTATGCTTGCCCTACGAGGTGGGAAACTTGAAGTACAATTCAAGAATGAATTCACACCTAAGGTCACAACCAGTGGAGGACCATCCATTAATAATGGTGGCTGGTATACAGTAAGTACACCTTTTTTTCCTGTTGAATTTATTTGCAGATTTATGTCAAGATCTTTAAACATTATGTAGGTAACAAATGTTCTTCTTGGCTACATGATGTCCTGTCCCATCTCCAACCTCCCCTTTCTCTCCAAGGTCTTGGAAAGAGTTGTCGCCTCCCAACTGCGCTCTTTCCTCTCCACCCATTCTCTTTTCAAACCGAAGGTTTCCGTGCTGCTCATAGCACAGAAACTGCCCTGGTCAAGGTCACCAATGATATCCTGACCATCTGTGACCAGGGCTCCCTCTGTCTCCTCGTCCTCCTCGACCTATCGGCAGCATTCGATACGGTCGACCACGCTATCCTACTCCACCGCTTGTCCTCCCACCTCAACCTTCAAGGCACTGTCCTTGAATGGTTTAGCTCTTACCTTTCCCACCGTCTTCACTTCGTCTCAACGAATGGCTTCTCCTCCACCCCCCGTACTGTCTCATGTGGTGTCCCTCAGGGCTCTGTCCTCGGTCCCCTCCTCTTCACCCTCTATATGCTCCCCCTTGGTGACATCATCCGCAAACATGGGGTTAACTTCCACATGTATGCGGATGACACCCAACTCTACCTTTCCTCCTCTACTCTCAACTCCACGACCACCGATGTCCTGACAGCCTGCCTGTCCGACATCGAGTCCTGGACGAGAGACAACTTTCTTCAGCTCAACGTGCGAAAAACCGAGGCCCTCCTGATTGGCTCACGTCAGCGCCTCCGCACCTCAGGCGCTGACACCATCAGCATCCAAGGCTGCACTCTCCACCTCTCAAAGCCAGTCAGGAACCTCGGCGTTTTGTTCGACCCTGAGCTGTCCTTTCTCCCTCACATCCGCACCACAACTGGCACCGCCTTCCATCACCTCCGGAATATCGCCAGATTACGGCACTACCTCACCCCTCACGCTGCTGAAACCCTGGTTCACGCCTTTGTCACCTCAAGGCTGGACTATGGGAACTCTCTCCTCGCCGGCCTTCCCGGCACCTCCCTCCACAAGCTGCAGGTCATTCAGAACTCTGCAGCTCGTGTACTGTCCCGCACCAGGCTTCGGGACCACACCACACCCACCCTCGCTCGCCTCCACTGGCTCCCCATCCCCCAGAGGATTGATTTCAAGATCCTCATCCTCACCTACAAGGCCATTCACGGCCTTGCTCCCTCCTACCTCTCCAACCTACTATCCCCCTACCTACCTGCCCGTACCCTCCGTTCCTCTGGCTCCGGTCTGCTCCACGTCCCCCGCCCCAACCGCCCTACTATCGGTGGTCGGGCCTTCAGCCTCTCAGCCCCAGGCTCTGGAACTCCATCCCCCAGTGCCTTCGCCTTGCTTCCTCCCTTTCCTCCTTCAAGGCCGGTCTCAAAACCTTTCTCTTTGACCGTGCCTTCAGCTCCCCTCTCGACTCTCTTCCTCCTCCTCGCTCCCTCCCTTCCCTCCCCTCACCCTGACCATTTCCCCCCTCCTCTCTCCCTCCCTTCCCTCCCCTCACCCTGACCATTTCCCCCCTGCTCGGGTCATGACCCAACTGTGCAGCGCCTTGGGACGTCCTCCTGACGTGAAAGGCGCTCTATAAATGGAATCTTGTTGTTGTTGTTGTTGTTGTAATAGTAATAATCCTTGCATTTTAATACAAGGACAACATCAAATTTGTATTCATCTAGCACCTTTCACATCGGGAGGACGTCCCAAGGCACTGGACACTTGAGAGTTTACATCTGAACTGGAGGTTGGATTCAAGAGGGGTGGGGGCCAAGGAGTGGGGCAGGTCAAGACGAGGGAGGCAAATGCACTCCGGAGTTCCAGAGAGTAGGAGCAGAAAGGCTGAATACCTAACTGCTGAGAGTAGGTTAGTGCTTGCCGAACCAATGGAGCGGGCAGATTGGTAGGATTTTAGAAGGTCACAGAGGTTGCGGGGAGTGGAGGGCAAGATCATGGAGGCCTTTAAAAATGAATAGGTAATGCAGACCTATTAAAGACTGTTAATCATCATCCCGAATACACTACATATTTCTTTTTTAACAACATTTCTCTAGTTTTTCCCCTCTCCTATACTTAGCCAGGTGTCCATTCTTCAAATGTAACTATATCAGACAATGCCATTTGGCTGTGGGGTGAGTTGTAATGTGATACTAACCACTATGGTCTTATTGTGTTAAATAACACCTATGGTCCAATGCTGCATGAGGCTGACTCTCTACCAGCACACACTTAAAGCACTGGTTTGATCAAAGTTGAGAATGCTACCAACTGAACATTACTTCCTAGTGGTAGAATTAAATCTTTCTCTTTTTAATGACCATTTTCCTTCTTGGACAATATTTACTGACTAATGCTTTTACAGGTTTCTGTACATAATCTCCTAAAGAATCTCAGTTTGGCTCAGTGGTAGCATTTTCACCTTTGATTCAGAAGTTTATGAGTTCAAGCCCACGGTCAAGACCTGTGCTTAGAGGTCACAAGCTAGGATAATGTTTCATTGTTGTATAAAGGAAGTATTTCCTGTTTCCTAGTCAACAGTCAACAGATAAATTATCTTATTGGTGAGTTGTTGGAAAGGTTGGTGCTCTCCTTTCCAGGTTTTTCTTGGGATTCAAAAGTTAGAATTTTTGAGGAATCATTTTGTATCTCAAAATTGTGAATCACACATCGAAAGTTTGTGAATAATTCCTGTTAGTATAACAAGATTAATAATAATAATGATCCTTGCATTTGATATCACATTGTCAATATGTCTTAAAGCACTGTGTATTTAGTCAGTGAAAAGCTTAGAGCTCAGCCCACTACGAATGACATTTTATTCTCTTGGTTGATGCTCAGTTTCTTGGACCTATCTGTGGATAACATCCTACTAATACTGCACCAAAGCAACAAAATGTAGTTGTTGGATTCCAGAACAGCTCCACCCATCAAAGATGAATTGATTGCAAATAATGATAGGCAAAGCAGTTAAACAAACTCTTTGTGTTTCTTGGTAATTACAGTCTGGTTGCACCCAGCAGACGTGCTTGTTCTTGTCTGCAGCTGATGCCATATATGATCTCTCTTTCAGATCTCTATTGTAGAGTCACAGAACAGTATCCTTGTGAAGGTTGACCAAGCAGCAGTGATAAAAATCAACAGTCCTGGCCAGCTGTTCTCCTCAGTCAATGGAACAACAGAGATAAAAATATCCATCGCAGGTTTACCTCGGGGAGCAGATAGAACCATTCTTCCTGTAATCATTTGTTTGAAAGTATTTAAATTAATTTAAACAGATTTGTGATTGATTTTAGGGAGGACAGTAAATAATAATGATGATAATAATCCTTGCATTTGATATAGCCCCTTATCACATCTTCGAGACATTTCAAAGCGCTTCATAGAATATACTGTAAAGTGAATTGACTGTACATTCTGTGGGCAAAACTTGGCAGCCAATTGCGCACAGGAGTCTCCCACGAACAGTCGTAGATTGAGTGACCAAATTATTTTTATTTTGAAAGAATTATTAGCCCCAGAAAAGCAATCTGCCGATCGACTAACAACCGGGTTCCGACTTACTGCTAGGTAAACAGAGGCATGTGGAGTAAGGAAACTTGCCCAACGTTTCGCCCTGCCGGGAATCAAACCCAAGTCCTCTCGCACTGCAAGGCGAGTGCTCTAACCACTAAGCTACAGGACTCCACAAGTAAAGGGAGGGAACAGTAAATTGAAAGATGTAATAGGGGAATCGACAGAAAAAATGATTCATGCAGTTTTTATAGATCAGCCTGCAAACTTAAAGAAACCTGTTTTCACAAATCAGTCCAAAGTGTTATTATGTTTTCTGCTCTGTTAACCTTTAGACTGCCGCCCGTAAACACCTGTGTTCCTGGGTGGACTAGTTTATACATTTTCAGCTCACCAACTGTGAAGCCAAAAACAGTGTTACTAAAAGGTGATAGCCTTATAACTCAATTATTAAGCTTAAAATAAATATGCTGCAATAAACATAAAATATAATTTCAAATAAAATCGTAAACACCCCATTGACACTCTACTCTTATTACCCTAAGCCAATAGCAAGTCCAGTTTTGGAAGGTTCCCATTGTTGCATCGAACATCTTTGAATAGTGAAACCCCTTTTAAACTGAGGTGGGCAGTTGCACTCGTAGCCAGTAATACCTGGAGCACATCAGATCCCGGGCCTGAAACTATTTCAGGCTGTTTAATGCCAGTCTTATTTCCAAAAGTGGTAGATTTAGCAATCAGTTTGATTTAGTTCAATGCGGTGGAAACTGTAAATCTGAAGTGAAAGGCTTTGTCTGGTGCAGATTAATCCTCGGTTGGATGGCTGCATGCGTGGGTGGAATTGGATGAACTTAGGTGCTGCTGGAATTGGAAGTGTCATTCAGAACATAAAAACCAAGCACTGCTATCTGAATGTGGAGAAGGGATCATACTTCCCGGGCACTGGATATGCAATGCTTCAATTAAACTACAGTAAGTAACATTTTGACATTCCATAATAATAATAATCCTTGGATTTAATGCCTTATCACGTTGTTGAGACATTTCACATCGCTTCACAGAATATACCGTAAAGTAAATTGACTATATAATTTGTGGACAAAACATGGCAGCCATGTTTTGGAGCAGGAGTAAAGTCTTAACTGGCTCTTTTTCCTTCCTTGCAGGCATGGCAGAAAATAACAGTGTTGGAAGTTGGAAAATCAACTTGAAACTCACTGTCCGCTCATCAAAAGACACTGGTGTGTTATTTGCTTTAGCCAGTGATGAAAAGATACCTTTGTCCCTGGCCTTCACAGACTCTTACTCTTTGGGTACAAAGGACAAACAGGTAATCTTAGCAGCTATGGTTTACCATGAGTATACCGAGTAAAAAAAAAAGTATTAATGTTCAGACAGATCAATCATGTTTTAATGTATCACTGATGGAACAGATCTTAATCTTGCCAACCTGCCCTGATACTCTTCAGAAATAGGTAAGCAGGGTGCGTCCTCCAGGGAGAGAGCGCACATTCCATTCCACACATAGTGTAATTTCCATGTTAGGTGGTGGCATACAGATCTGGAATTTTCAGTCTGGTTTGGATATAATAATCTTGCATTTGATATAGTACCATATCACGTTGTGGAGCTGCCTTAAAATGTGTTTCAGAATATATTGTAAAGTGTAGTGACTGTGTATTCGTGGATACTCTAAAGCATAGTGATGGGTTTCCGCAGACACCTGGCTGACCTCAAAAAAGTTTTAATGACTTGGAGGAAAGCAACTTACTGCTCCATGTCTAGGATCTGTGATTTCGATTAGTGTAACTAATGTGGTAACCTAAAGAAATAAGAAAATACACATAAAGTGGAAGGGAATATAAAAATAGTTCATCTTAGCTTCCGGTAATGTGTCGGATATTAAAAAAATGTACCTTTGAATTAACATTTGTTTGTTTTGCTTTTTATCAGAACTTGATTCTGGTAATGGATAATGTGATTGTGGTCAAAACTGATGAACTCCATTTATGCAATGGAGAAAAACGTTCAATACAGCTCAACATAACAGCAGAAGAGATTTTGCTGGAAGTCGATGGGAATGTCTATGGAAGCCATTTACAAAATTTTGAACTAGAGCAGCAACTCTCCTTATTGGATGGGGTTATGCAAGAGCCTGTCAATACCACTTTAGGAGGTGTTCCAGGTAAGAAAAGTCCCAAAGCAGTCATCACAAACTTAAAGGCAGCAAAGTGCTGGAAAACCAGAGCAGTCAAACCATGTCTGCAAGCAAAGGTTAACGCTTTGATTGTGACTAAACTTGAAAGCAAACCCTTTCTTCGTTTAGATTGACCAGTTCTGAATTTTCAGAACCTTTTTTTAGCAGGTTTTATTTAAAAATTTGAGCATTGAGTTTTTCCTTTTAGTTCTACCTTTGGTGTTTCAGATTTAGTTGCCTTGATTGGTTATGTGGTTAATAATAACGCTCTCACATTTTTTATGTTTGTAGATATTCCAATTACAGCCACACCAGTCTCAGCACTGTTTAATGGATGCATGGAACTGGAAATTAATGACAAAACTATTGACCTGGATGAGGCCATCCACAAACATAATGATATCCAGTCTCATTCATGCCCTTCCATGAACAAGGATTAGAACATCTATCAGCATCTTTCTCAGTGAAGTAAATATTGTTAGTTAATATTGCATGGTACTGCATGGCGGGGTGGGGGGGAGTATTGTTTTGATGCACAATTCACAAGCTATGAATTGTATATTAAGGAAACATTCAGCAATATCTGTACAGTTAAACAAATAGAAATATACTTTAGTACATGATAAAAATTAGAGAGGAAACTGGAGTGTACATTTTAAGAGTTTTAACCATGTGTTTAAAAGCTGTTTGCCATAATGCATGTTTCATTTTAGCATAGAACAAGTATGTGCATTGTATATTATGGTCAAACAACTGCAGTATTAGGCTAAAAGGTATTTTCTGTTGTTTATTAATCCTTTACCTTATGTCAATGCCACATTTACAGTATCAGTATTCTGAGTCATGTTTACTTTTGGTGGTTACCTACTTTATACATTAAATGTTAAAAACTTCAATACAAAATATTTACGGTATTTTAAACAAATAAAACTGCCTTATCTTCAAGAAAACATTCATTTGTTTCTTTTTATAAAAAATATGTTCAATTGCCAATAATCTTTGTTCCAAAATGCAAAAACTCTTTTTGTGTCATTCACATGAAAGTCCTGAGCACTGCCAAACACACTATTTTAGTAACAGGAACAACAACAACAAATTACATTTGTATAGTACCTTTTACATCAGAAGGATGTTTCAACGTACTGGACAATCAGGGATCCACAATCTGAACAGGAACAATCAGATTAAACATTACACTTGGGAGTACATATCTATCATAGTATGATATCTCATCCCTTGAATATGGTTCTGAAATATAACCAGGAATAGGAGGGGATTTCTAAATAATCAGAACTTTCATACAAGTTCTAGCTAGGCTCCACTAGCTCCCTATTGATGACCGGATCGATTTCAAGGTCCTCACACTTGTTTTCAAATCCCTTCATGCCCTTGCACCTCCCTACCTCTGCAATGAGTCGCACTGACACCTAGTACCATTTTTTCTCTCTTGCTACAATGGAGATTATCACACCCATAGTCAAAGACCCCTACATGCCAAAGCACTCTTCTTAGAATCAATATATGGCGCCTTCTTCCTCTGTCACTTGTCTACAGCTGATTGTAAGTCTGGTTGTAGCTTGTCACATCAGCGAATCAAAGATGAAAGGAGTAGTTTACACTGCAATACTTTAAATACCATTTCTAATATGAGGGGAAATTTGCTCTATATTTTGCACTAAATAGCCTTCAATAACCACAAGAACATCTTGCATTTGTATAGTGCTCCTCATGCAGGGTAATAAGTTCTATTTTCACCGTGTGCAAAAGTGCCTGTTATTGCCCTCTGCTCCTCTTCTGTAACTGCACCTTAAATGGAAGATATTGCTCATCAAATTGGGGATCATCAACTCATTCAAGGGGCTGGTGAACAATGAGTGACAACCTTTGATTGTAGAGCGTAAGGGTGAGGGAGGAAAGGGCAGAGGAGGTTGCGAGCGTGGTGTGAGCAGCACAGCGGCTCAGCTTGTGAGAACTCCTCCAGAAAGTACTTAAGAGTCAAAGGAAAACTCCAAGATGGAGCAGCAGATCCAGGAGACCAGCTCATGAAAGAGAGGAAATGGTTCTTGATAATAATATAAATATAATAATCCTTGCATTTGATATAGCGTTTTTCACGTCTTCTCGACATCTCAAAGCACTTCACAGAATAGACTGTAAAGTGAATTGACCGTATATTTGTGGGCAAAACGCAGCAACCAATTGCGCAGAGCAGTGTCCCACAAACAGTCGTGGATTGAAAATGACCAATTTATTATTGTTTTTTTGGAGGTATTATTAGGTGTGTGGAGCAAGGAAACTAGCCCAAGGTTTCGCCCTGCCTGGAATTGAACCCAGGTGTCTCGCTTGCAACGCAAGTGCTCTAACCACTGAGCTACAGGACTCCAAATCAGGATACCACAAAAGAAAATGAAAGTAACCCCAGAGAAGGAGGGCTTTGGGTCCAGTGCAGGTCTGGGGCTGCAGATACATGCAACTCCTACAAAGAGGTTCCCCAGAGCCACAGCATCCAGCAGTCAGGAGACTTAGAGCAACAAGATGAATGCAGTTCCCAGGCCTGATCCAATAGCAAAAATAGCTGAAAACCAAGAAACTCGGGGCTGTTTACTGAGCTCCCCACTTCCTTTGTTCCAAACAGCTGTTATAGAATTAGAAATTTGTGGGGGTGTCTTACAAGGCAGGTACGTTCCTCTCATACTCGTGGAAACTTTAATATAATAGCAGGATTAAAGGCAGTGTACTTTGTGTATCAATTTGGGACAATTCCATGTAACTAGTTGGTGGGGTACGGAACTGTGAGGCAGAGGGTGTCACCATCTTGGAGTTAGAAATGTAACGCTTTTATAAAGTGCTTGAAATTAAAACAAATCAGGCTAAGGAATGCCTTGAATGTCTCTCACTCGACTGTTTTTCTCTGACCTGCACACATTCCCCGCCTCCGCCATCAGCTCTACCCTCAAGTTGCCCAATCCCTCATCCACGCTTTCATTACCTCCAGGCTCAATTATTCAAACATCCTGCTCACCAGACTCCTCAGATCCTCCCTACACAAGTTCAAGGCCATCCAGTACTTTGCAGCTCGTGTCCTCTCCCACACTAGGCTTCATGAATCTATCACTTACATCCTTGCTTCCCTACACTGACTCCCCTGGATCGAAAGATTTTTATCCTCACTTTCAAATTCCTCCCTACCGCTGCATCCTAGTGCCCTGATCAGGGCTCCGTGGTTTCCAGTGGGGGCACAACTTTCAGAGTTACACAAATTCCCACAACACATGTTTATAAATAGACATTGCCTTGTACTTCAGCTACTGTGCTGTGAGGAAGATACAGCCACTTGGGCATTGAATTAATGCTCATTCAATCCTTTCAAAAGTGCATCCCTCAGCAGTGAATCTGAACGTGCATTAAATATTTATCAATGTGTCAGATGCAAAAAGCCTTCACATTGCTACATTTCAAGGCACATTCCTTAGATTCAAGAGCATTGTTCCATTGGTTGAGTTCTTTGAAAAAAGTAATTAAATGAAGTTTATCAACCCTTGAGAGGAAAATAATCTTTTTAAGGCTAATTTGCAGTTCCCCAAAAGGCAGGAGAGGTGAACCCCATACAAGACCAAAGCCTAACTGAGGTGGAACTTCCAATGGTTTGGTTTGGATCTCTTAAGCCTGGTAATAGGTTTCTGTGTCAGTCTCCTGGATGGCCAAAACAAAATTCAAAGTCAAAAGAGAATTAGTACATTTTTGTAGAAGGAAGTGAATAAGAAATCCCACCCTCTTCACCAACTTTACATAGGGTATTAACCACAGAATTGATTGCAGGCAATAGATCTGTGAACTGTAAACATTTTCATATGTGTATTGGGAAGGCATTCACTAACAACAATTAGATCTATTTAGCACCATTCAGAGCGCTTCACAAAACTGACAGGTAGGAGGGAGACTAGGTTTAGAGTCCCCCGCCCACATTATCTGAAGACAATGATCTTTCACATTCAGAATCCTGGCTGTCTTTGCCTTTTATCTTATACTAACAAAACAACATTGTCTGTCTGGGCTTCAAGAAAAATCTCAATAACCGATTGACGTACAGACGTGATTTATGCTTCATCGGAAAGGTCTTGCAACTGAGAGTGACATGGGCATATTTGTTTCAGGTATCTCTTATTGTTCATGAGTTATTTTCAGTTTTGCTGCAGTTACACCTGGTGGCAGCCAAGTCAAAATGGAGCTGTGGCATCATGCGATATAGAGCACCTACGCTCTGTACGCAAGCAGCGGGAATAAGATAAAGAACACAGACAAAGCTAAGCCACGGCAACGACAACAAAATTACAATTTTAAAGCACCGAATCCTCTCACCGAGTCCTCCCAAAAGGAGTGCTCCCACAGGAGTCCTCTCAACTGAGAATAGATGAAGACAAAATGTCTGTCTGTGTGTCTGTGTGTCAATCTACATTCCATATTGGATGCTTTCGTTGCAAACGAAGCTGCAACAGGTACAGCTCGTTGGGAATCAGTTATTTAAACACAATAGTAGAATATGTAAGCAGACTTATAAACACAAGTGCTTTTGTTTGTTTTTTAAATATATATATTTTATTTTTAGATATTTCCACTGACTCACTATCACAGAACGGATCGACTTCAAAATCCTCACACTCGTGTTCAAATCCCTTCACCACCACCTGTCACCTCCGTTCCACTAGCACCGGCCTCCTGCTCGTCCCTCGCGCCCTCCGTCCCACCATCGGAGGTCATGCTTTCAGCCACTACGCCCCGAAACTCTGGAACATTCTCCCTCAACCCCCCGCCTTTCCCCTTCTGTCCCCTTTTTCAAGTCACGCCTGAAAATCTTCCTCATTGACTGTGCTTACGGTCACCTCCTCCAGGCACGGAGTCAGGTTCCACCACTGTTACGCGCTGAGATGCCACCTTACTTGGAGGGCGCTCTATAAGTGCAAGTTGTTGTTTTCTACAAATCCTGCATTCATTCACTGTTAAGACGCTGAGTACTGAGACGCTGCCCTGGGTGAAGGGCACTAGATAAATGCAAGTTGTTGTTATCTCACCAGCTCAGTGCTTTCCAAAGCTCGTTTTTTTTGCAAAAAAAAACAACAATAACGTGCATTTATCTAACGCCCCCTCACGCGGTGGTGGCTTCCCAGACAGCGGTGGAGCATGTCGCGGGGCCGTGGGGAAGTGACCGCAGGCCCGCGCGAACAGGCGCGGTCTGAAGATGTGGAAGGAGGGAGCAAGGCGAAGAGAGAGTGAGATAGGATAGAGATAGAGATAGAAAGGAAGAGTGTTCCAGAGCTTGTTATTTGAAATAGGTGGTGGGATGGGGGGGGGAGGAGAGACTGTGTGGGAAGGGTTAAAGTATTACACAGCAGTGTGTGTGTGGGTGTGTGTGTGGCAATGCTTGTTTTGTCCATTTCCCAGTGAGAGCTGCAGACAGTTCCCGGAGGCTGGAGCTCAGCAGAGATCTGCTCCGGGAGTGGAGAGGGCGACAACAACAACAACAACAACGACAACAACACCACCACCACAACAACAACAACGACGACGACGACAACAGGGATGCCTGGCAGCGCCCGGGCTCTCGGGGCATTCCTGCTGCTCCTGGTGCTGCCGGAGACCTCGCAGTGTAAGCCAAACGCCCGCGGTCCCGTTACCCCGTTGCTGTTCCGTGACGATACGGGACCGGGAGTCACTTTCCCTTTGACTTTGCCCGAGCACTGCTGTGGGGGGTTTGTGCTCCTCCAGAGGGTTCGGCAGTGAGTTTCAAGGCAAAGGCGTCTGCAAACGGGGAGTAATCTTCGCCCCCACTCTCCCTCCTTCTCCCCCTCTCCCTCCCTCTCCCACTCTCTCACTCTCCCTCTCCCTCCCTCCTTCTCCCTCTCTCCCTCCCTCTCCCACTCTCCCCCTCCCTCTCCCCCTCTCCTTCTCCCCCTCTCCCCCTCTCTTCCCTCTCTCTCCCTCCCTCTCCCCCTCTCCCTCCCTCCCACTCCCCCTCCGCCCCTCTCTCTCCCCCTCTCTCCCTCCCTCTCCCTCTCTCACCCTCTCTCTCCCCTTCTCCCCCTCTCCCCTCTCTCTCCCTCCCTCTCCCCTCTCCCTCCTCCCACTCTCCCTCCCCCTCTCTCTCCCCCTCCCCCTCTCTCTCCCCCCCCCCTCCCTCTCTCTCCCCCCCCTCCCTCCCCCCCCTCCCTCCCCCCCTCCCTCTCTCTCCCTCTCCCATTCTCTCCCTCCCTCTCCCCCTCTCTCTCTCTCCCTCCCTCTCTCTCTCTCCCTCTCACTCTGTTCTTGGCTTTCAGTTGTTGGCCGCAAAACCGCTTCCAGTTTCCTGAGGGTGAAACGCGCCAATCACATCTTTGAGGAAACCAAACAGGGACACCTGGAGCGGGAGTGCGTGGAGGAGCACTGCAGTCGGGAGGAAGCCCGAGAGGTCTTCGAGAACCTCCCAGAAACGGTAACCCATCTCCAGCCTCGGCGGCTCATACCCTACCCCACTGCACGGCCACTGCTGTCTGTGTGTCTGTCTGTCTGTGTGTGTGTCTGTCTGTGTGTGTGTCTGTCTGTCTGTCTGTCTGTCTGTCTGTCTGTCTGTGTGTGTGTGTGTCTGTCTGTGTGTGTCTGTCTGTCTGTGTGTCTGTCTGTGTGTGTCTGTCTGTGTGTGTCTGTCTGTGTCTGTGTGTCTGTCTGTCTGTGTCTGTGTGTCTGTCTGTCTGTGTGTGTCTGTCTGTCTGTGTGTCTGTCTGTCTGTGTGTGTCTGTCTGTCTGTGTCTGTGTGTCTGTGTGTGTCTGTCTGTCTGTGTCTGTGTGTCTGTGTGTCTGTCTGTGTGTCTGTCTGTGTGTGTCTGTCTGTGTGTGTCTGTCTGTGTGTCTGTGTGTCTGTCTGTCTGACTGTGTGTCTGTCTGTCTGTGTGTCTATCTGTGCGTGTGTGTCTGTCTGTGTGTGTGTGTGTGTGTGTCTGTCTGTGTCTGTCTGTCTGTGTGTCTGTCTGTGTGTCTGTCTGTGTGTCTGTCTGTCTGTGTGTGTCTGTCTGTCTGTCTGTCTGTCTGTCTGTCTGTCTGTCTGTCTGTCTGTGTGTGTGTGTGTCTGTCTGTCTGTCTGTGTGTCTGTCCTGCGTCTTTTCATAGTTAACCTGAGCTACACTATGGACCTTTCCCTTGGGCTTCGGTTAATAATAATAATAATAACAATAATAATAATAATAATACTAAGCCTTGCATTTCACCTAGCGCTGTATCACGTCGCTGAGATGTCTCCAAAGCGCTTCGCGGAATATACTGTAAAGCGGATTGACCGTGTACTTTGCGGGCGAAACGCGGCAGACAATTTCACACAGCGGTGTCCCACAAACGGTGGTGAATTGAGTGACTTTTTTTAAGGCATCATTATCCCCGGAAAGCGATCCGCCAATCAACTGACAACCGGGTTCTTACTTACTGCGAGGTAAACAGAGGCGTGTGGTGTGGGAAAACTTGCCTTCGGTTTCCCCTGTCTGGGAATTGAACCAGAGTCCTCTCGCTTGCGAGACGAGCACGTTAACCTCTACCCTACTGGACTCCACAGATGTGCAACAGTTACCTAATGTTACTTTTCATGAGGAAATGCATAAATGGATTTAGTTTGTCCTGTGTGTGTATGTATGTGGGCTGAAACTAACATGAACAATCTGTGTTTTAGTCTGATTTTAAACTATGGGGATCTTATTTCTGCTAAGGTCCACAGTACCATTGAATGTAAAAGCAATGAAAGGACCAACAACAACAAATTGCATTTATGTAGCGCCCTTCACGTCGGGAAGACATCCCAAGGCGCTTAATTACAGAGCCACAAGCACATTGACTACTTCAGACACAGGACTCATTTTTAAACCAAGGTTTACATAGGCTGCCATAACGTTTGCATGATAAGCTTCCAGTTTCTGTATAGAATAACTACAGTTTATATTTGCAACTTGACTCAAAAATACAAAAGATAACGACATTTTAAGTGATGTTCTGTTACTGCGTGTGTATAGCAAGATATAGTATTTGTAAGATACTTAAGTAAGTTGAGTTCAGTATAAGCCATCACTCTAGCTTGGCAATGTAGGAGGTTTTCAACTTTTTCAAGGCTAAATGTCAAGGGCACAGATTGAGGTGTTTTTAACAGTGTTGCTGATTTTGAGGCATCGGAGGGAGATCTGGGATCTGCTATTGTGATGCAAATTGCAAAGCTATTTTCAGCATTTTTATTGTGTCTTCTTTTCAAACTGATGTGTGTCAAAAGAGAGTTTTTCACCTACAAAGAAATGAATGTGCACCATTCATATTGAACAACTATTCACAGGTCCATTTTAATTGGTAGACAGGGTATGCTTATTACAACATCTTCTCACCTGAGACTATTATTTTTGGTATAAATTAAATGCAGTATAAATTAGGCATGGCATTTCTGATCAATGGAGATAAAGATTTCTTCCTCTTTGAAGTTCGGTGTCAAATTTATTGTAATAAAAAAAGGTTGACACCTATTTCTTGTTGAGACCTGTTTTTTCAATGATTATACGGGTGAAAAAACAGACTGCATGTGATTCTCTGCATATTTTGTGGTTTTGCAACCCACAAATGTTGTCTCTATATCTAAATGTTTATATTTGCCCACACGTTTTGCCCACAAACTACACAGTTAATTTGCTGAACAGTATATTCTGTGAAGAGCTTTGAGACATCTCAACAATGTGATAAGGCGCTATATAAAAAAAATCCTTGACTGTTTGTGGGACACTGCAGTGTGCAATTGGCTGCTGCGTTTCGCCTACAAAATATACAGTCATTACACTTTTACAGTATATTCTGTGAAGTGCTTTGAGATGTCTCAAAGAACTGATAGGCGCGATGTCAAATGCAAGGATTATTATTATGTCAAAGTGCAAGGATTATGATATGTTCATCAAAGTAGGACATTAGGACTGGGAGCTGAAACACGTTTCCATTTTGGTTTGTTGGAAAGAAAAGTTGCTTATATTCTGCCCCAACAAAGTGCCTCTTAACCTTTGAAGAGCACCTTCTACTGCACCGTCCTGACATTTTACACATCTCACACCAACCATCCTGTGGTTTTTCTGAGTGAAATTGTCTTATCACCGCCAAACTAAGATCAATTTTGTGTTGTGATTCAAATCTATTTAGAATGCCGCTGTTACTGTGAAGATGATTTTTGAGAAAGTAAAGTAGGAGATGCACAAATTGGGGGGTAATTTAGCAAAAATAAACAAATCCGTTTGTGAGAATCTTCTTTTCCTTACTCTTAGTGATGTCACTATCTTTGTTTGCTTGTGGCTTTTCCGTGTCTTGTAAATCCAGCAGTATTGAAAGATATTACTCTTTTGTAATAGTATATTGACTACTAAATATTTCCATTTGACATCTGTCTTTTGTCTCTACAGGCTTATTTTTATCCAAAGTATCAAGGTGAGTTCAGGCAATCTGTTGAACAAGTTTTACATTGACTGATGTTCTACTTTCATTACTTAACGTAGTTCAGTCTGGTGTACGGGAACCAGATAGACATGTACATTCACATGAAATAATGCGTAGAGACTGAAGCTGCATTAGAAGCTCCTCTCCACTTTTATATCAGTGGGAGATGGTGCTTCGTGTGGCACAATTTGCATATAATTGAAGGTCATAGAGTTGAATTTGCATGTATTTGAATGTCTTATGAACAGTAGTTTTCTCTCGTAACTCTTAAGAATATGGGGAATTAACACACTTGCATTTTTAAAGAAAAAAATAACAAGAATACCATGATAATTTAACATTTGTTGTTAAAAGTAAAATATTTTTGCAGCTTTCTGGTGCAAAACTGAACTTTTTTTTTGTTCTGTTCTCTTCAGAATGCCGTCGTCTTTATGGACCACCTCAAAACCAAAAAAATGAACTGGCAACTTGTATTCACAGTAAGTTATCACTTAGCTCGCACTTGCACAGTAGTCAGTGCAGTGTGGCATTCAAAGACATCAAATTAGCTTGCTATACTTTCGTATCTAAAGCCTGAGCTTGAATTGAGCCTACATTATTGACACAAAAGTTACTTCTCTTTACATAAAGATAGTTATGGAGAAATTCCACCTCAGTGTAGACTTAATTTTTAGTTTTGCTTCAACCCAGTTGTTGATGGAGAACTCAGCAGAGTTCAAATGTAAATTACTTTACATAAGAACATAGGAGTATGAGTAGATCTGATGTCTAGTGCAGGATGGTCTAAGCTTTTGGCTGCTGAGAGTTGGATGCCTGATTTGAGAAATGTCTGTGAGCCGCATAAGCAATATTTTTGGTGTTTTTGTTCCAGAAACGTAACTCATAAGAATCATATAGAAATCCTAAGTTTTAAATTGTGTAACTGAATTACTTCATTTCACTATATTGTATTTACAATTCAAACTTTATATAGGCAATGCAAAAAATCATACAAATTAAAAACAACAATATACAGAAGTTAAAAGCCAAAGCAATTTACTTTTTCCAAATTTATGTTATTTCCAGATATCCCAGATCAATGCACACCAATGCCTTGTCATGAAGAAGGGTATATGGAGTGTGAGAATTTGAAAGGTGCTTTTAACTGCATCTGCAAGCCAGAATGGAAGGGAGAAAGATGTGAACAAGGTACTGTGTGTATCTTAACTTTGCAAGTACACTAATAAACCATGACAACAACATATTACATTTGCATAGCGCCTTTCACATCAGGAGGACGTCCCAAGGCGCTGGACAGACGGATGCCTTCATTGAACAATGCCAACCCTGAAAAGAGCATTATTGCAGTTTGAACCAAGCTTTTGTTTGGTTTAATAGAAAAAATACTCAAGCTAATGTCATGGTTAAGTGTTTCTTTGAGTAGTACAAAGAAAATTAACAAATTTTAGTTTGTGGAACGAACATTACATTATATCGTGGAATCATGGCTAAAGTTATAACTTTGAGACCCCAGGTTTCTTTGTTACCATGTTATACCAGGAGCAATAATTACTATTCTGTTCTTCATGGCTCATATCTTTGATGAATGCTTCCCCTTTAAGGTCTATGTAGTCCCACTTTTCTGGGTGTTTATATTAGGGGGGAAAAACATATTATTACAAAAATGATGCTACTCCAACACCAGAAATATCTTCATATTGCAATGTTGTCTCTTTTTTATTTTAACTTTAATTGTACTATTTATATCTTATTTTAACACATATAAATGTTCTTCCTTTGAATGCTTTTACTTACCTTTTTATGTTCTTTCCGCTGCCACCGTCTGGTTTTGGAAGATGGGAACAACTTTTTGTTAGAGAACAAGTATTCTTAGAGATTCGCCCCTCAAGTCTACTGCTCAAGTTTGATTAAGCTGGGGCTCTGAGGAGCTAGGCAATCAAAGGGACTCTAGGGTGCATCTGCCTACAACAGTGGATGCTGTCTGATGTGATCTGCATATTGATATCTGCATATCTGCAATGTTGAGTGAGTAGGTGCAAAGACCAGCTTTTACTTAGACAGTGAAAGGTTGGCTTTGCTCAAGCCTTGTGAATGATACATTAGGAAATGGCAAAAGACAGAAATTTTACAATTCCATGTACCTCCACTCAGCAGTAGAATCTGGGAAATCTTTTTTTCTTATTATATTTACTGTAATGTGAAATCTCTTTCTGGGTAGCTATATTTGTTGAAACTATCGTATAAATTTCAAACTAGCCTTTGAATTCTTCATAAAGCTAAATTGATTTTATAATACAAGAATTTTTTTAAAATGTTCATTCAGTGCTTTTAATTTCCATTGCTCAGGTAGGTTCAAGTCAATATAGATTTTTTAAAAATCTTTCTGCTCTCTAGATATCGATGAATGTGACACTCGCAATGGAGGCTGCAATCAAATTTGCATCAATATGCCAGGCAGCTACAAGTGCTCCTGCAATGCAGGCTTCACCATGGTTTCAAGCGATAAAATTTGTCAGGGTAAGAATTGGTTTCACAATCTACAAAAGTCTATTGTAATGATTTCTTTATCAATACAATTAATGATTGATTTCAAGATAGGGCTAGTCCAATATCTATGGAGCCAAATGCCTTGTTTCTGTGCTCTCAAGTTATGTGTGACTTGTTTCTTTGTTAGTACATTTGTATCTGTATATTTCAAAGCACAATGGTACAATGAATGAAACAATGAAACAATGTGAACGTAAAAGAATCCTATTTATTATCTGTGCTGTTTTATTTTTGCAATCGTCAGTAACATTTATCCACCGAGTTCATCTTTGGAAAGAAATTCCACCTGTAGTTTACATTTCGAAGCTGGTTTTCTTTAAGTTTTTTTAAGAATTGCAAAAATAAACGACTTCAAGATTAAGAGTGAATTCTACAATTTGCTACATCCTGGATACTTTGAAATGCTACATTCATAATAACTCTTGCATTTGATATAGTGCTTTATTATGTTGTTGAGATATGTTGAAGTGATTCACAAGAATTTACTGCAAAGTGCAGTAACTGTATTTGTAAGCAAATACACACAGGCAAATATGGCAACCAATTATGCAAATCATCATATTCTAGTATACCTAAACATAACAGTGAAGACCAGTTTTCTCCTCAGTCCACGCTTCTATAGTATTATTGAATAATCCAGGGACTGTTGATGAAATTGGATGTCTTTTTTTAAACTGTGATCAAAATAATGTTGTGAAAATGTATGTTGTGTTCTAAAAGTGGTGTTCTAAAAATGATGACAACATGATACGAAATCTAGTTAAATAATTTTAATTTGCAGATGTCAATGAATGTGGATTAAATCCAGATCTTTGTGGAACAGCGAAGTGTGAAAATACAGTGGGTTCTTACGATTGCAAATGTGCTGCTGGATATAAATACAACATTTCTACAAAGTCATGTAACGGTAAGAATTCTTTACAGCAGCTGAGGTTTTTGGGCAGTAGTGTGCGTCTTTCACAGAAGTATATATTTATACAGGAATGAACAGATTCAACCCTGCCAGGTTTAAACCAACTGAAAAAACCACAACCTTGGGAAGTCTTTCCAATTTGAATTCAACCATAACTTTGGAAGAAACTGACAGGCGTTTAAGATTTAGAAGGTAGAGGAAATGTTGCAGAGCGAAAGCCAATACAAAATGGAATTGGTCATATTTTGTGAGTTTTTATTTTGAAAATCATTGAAACAAGTGAACTACAACATTTTGTTTCATATCCTATGCATTTTTAAAATTCATTTGAAGAGTATTGAACCAAATCGATGACACAGCTGTTCAGTGAATATCTTTGATATGTTGCAATAATGTAACGTGCTTCTTCAAGAAAAAAGGCTGTGAAATCTTACAGGTGGTTTAAGCTGTCATCTTCCTGAAAGGATGGACGTAGCAAGCACTTGACAAGTTCAGGGTTAATTGAAATATGAGAACATGTTCAGCTCTCCACATATTTTATTCAAAATACTGATCAGGAAACTATCTACCCCGCTAGCAACAGGCAGGTTTTCAGCCATTCTGGCCCCATTCTCTGAAAATCCATCCTGGAGTCCCTCTGGCTCGCTCCCTCCCTTCCGTTTCAAGGCATGTCTCAAAACTGACCTCTTTGCCCTCACTTTCCATAATGTTTCTCCCCCATATATATTTTCAAATGTATATATTTTTTATTGACGTACAGGCAGTATCTGAAACTGCTCTGTGTAGACTAGTTCTCAGAACTGGTTCAGATGCTGCTGATAAATTCATAAAAATCTGCACATGTAAACATTACGCTGGTATCTTATCTTTAAGTTACTAAATCTGTTTTCTGTGATTGGACAGGGATTGTTTTGGGCTTGTGGTTTTACCTAAACTCAGCCACAGCAGCTATTGTGACTGAGGGAGATATTTGGCTTGGGTTGAAAGGAATGATAAAAATGTATGAATAAATACATTGAAAAAGTGAAGTAAATATTTAAACATGAAGATTATACTGATGAATGAATGTGTAGTATAATGAGTGGAGCAATAAAGAATAGTTTGTAACTATGGAACATTTTCTGATTAACTGAGGCACTCCCACACCCCACCCCGGAATTGATTTAGATTTGGGAGGGGAGAGGAGAGAAATCTGCAGACTTTCTGATATGCATTCAGCCAAGCTAACAAGTTAATCTTCCACAAAATTGAATTTGGAAACTTTTTTTCAAAGAACACACAAACAAAATTGAATCTGATTTTCCTCCTCTGCTCTTAGATATAGATGAGTGTGCAACCAATATCTGTGCACAAAAATGTGTCAACACTCAAGGTAGTTACACCTGCTATTGCGATGGAAAGCAAGGATTAAAACTGGCCAAAAACTTGAAGAACTGTAAAGTAAGAATTTTGCTGCTCTTTCTTGCATTTACATCTACACACGTTTTACAGCTGAGTGTTTCACTTCTTGTTTATTAAATAATGTACTCACATAATTTGTATCAGTTGGAAGCATAACATTTAATGAAACTTGCGTGAAGTCTGAGCTGCAAGCAAATTGTAGAGGTCGTAGAAAATCCAATTAAATCAATCATCTACACAGCGCGGCCATAATTTAATGTAGCTGGTAAGTGGGCATGTGGGAATTCGTTATTGCAGCTGGTAAGTTCACATGCCATGAGGGTTTAAGACTATATTTGCCGTGATTTAATGCATCTCGACATGTCACCACATGGGCACTTACCTGCAAACGTTACCCGCCTCCAGTAAGCGCGAGAGTAATGGAAGGTAGGGGAGCGGCGTTACAAGTTAGGAGGTGAGTAATACAAGTAGTGTAAAGAAATATATACATATATATACTTTTTCAGAAAATTGTACCTTGCCTACCACTGAACACTGTGAAAAATGCAGCCTCGCTCTATCTCGGAAGATTCTTTAATGGAGTCCCGGTGATGGAATATAATTTCAAAAGAAAGCAGAAAACCAGGTGAGATTGCTGCAAAGATTAATGATGTATTTTAATTGCAGGGTTTAGCAACATTTAAAACTCAGTTAAGATCGTATTATGCAAACTGACACGAAAATAATAATAATCCTTGCATTTGATATAGTGTCTTATGTCATTGAAAAGTCTCAAAGTGCTTCACAAGGTTTATGGTAAAATGTGGTGGTTGTATGTTTTGTAGGCAAAATGCTGAAATGCTCAATGGGGCTGTGGGCTAGCTCTTTGCCACTGAAAGTGGCTTCTTGCTGAATTACGCTCTTAAAGTCAGGTCCTCCCCCCCCACTCCCAACCCCACACACTCTCACTGACCAGGACATCAGTAGGTGCATAAATCCCAACAGTGTGATCATATCACTGCTGTTCATTTATTAACATTGAATGTCATCTATTTCACCATTATATATGCGTGTTCAAAAACTTAAATGTAATGATATTTAGGTTAGAAATGCAGCACAAAGATACGTTCTGTAATCTACACTGTTTATGTCTAACAATTACTTTGTTTTCTACATGATCTTTAGCCTTGAAACGTTTAATGTGCCAAATCCACCATTCTGGGCAGTAGGCCGCAGAATTGTTTTTCTTCCACTGTTCATTTCATTCTGGAAAGTAAAAACCACAGGCATTTCCTTGTGAGCTGTGGTGACATACAAAAAAGTAATTTCTTATATGAACTGGAAAGCAGCAGTAGATTGCAACTGCAGTGATTGTGAAGGGCGCTATATAAATGCAAGTTGTTTTAGGTATTACCAAGTTTTGTGAAATACGTATCAGATCTTTTTTTATGAATTGCGATACTGCATTACTAACCTAAATATTATTTAAGTTTTGAACAAGCAAATATGGTGGTGAAATAGTTGACATTCAAAGTTGATAAATGAACAGCACTGATATTATCACATATGCTTTGCAGACTGTGAATGGCTCGTGCAAAGTCTTACTGCAAGTAAGACACCACTGGGAAGAAGTCAGTCGCTTTGCTTTTTAATCCAGACCTTACTGTTTTGGCATTTGGGCTCTGCACATTTTCCAAACTGAAAGTCACAAACTGGTTTAGAACATCGCAAATTAGACACCAATATGGTTTTGTATTATATGTCAAATGCAAAGATTATTATTAAAATGTAAACTTGATAAACAAGCTATTTGCCCATCAACCTTCTAATGTCTGAAAACAAAATTATGAAATCATACTTTTCCTTGACTTACTCTTCATTTTCTTAAACAAAAGTACTGTTTGGTCAGCTCTGTATCACAGTGGGTTAGAATATTGTCCTTGCACTTGTAGCACATAGAATCCAATCCAGCTCTGACTAATGAGATGAAGTGAAAAGCTCTGAGGGTTAAGTGTCTTTAATTCTTGATTCAGTTACTTTTGGGCAGAAAGCCACAGTCTAACGCAGAACATTTTCTCCGTAGTTTGGAGAGGCCGGATAAGGTTTAGGAAATGGAACTGTTGCACTGGTCGAATGGGAAACGATTATTTTAAGTTAGGTGTTAAAGCATGCTATTCAAGCAGTCAGTCTAAAGCTAGCTTTACACTACACCTGATCTATGTTGTCTGCGATGTGACCTTGTAATTGATAAGTGAAAAAGTTAAACATTTGCACCACAGTTGCATCTTGTGTTGATCGATTGGAAGAAATGCACTTCCTTGTCTTCTAATTATTGTGCACTATTCTGCACTTGATTGTCAGCTCATGAGAGTTGTGAAGTGCTTGTCATCGGGTCAAATATATGTTGTGTCATTTTGGCTCAACCAGTATTGTAGTTATTTTCATCAAAGGTGGTGGGTTGAGCTCCACAGCAGAATTTTAATTTATAATTTAGCTGATTTTCTGATAGAGTACTACGTAGCTGCAGGTCCCAACCTTTGGAATCAGATGAGAAAATGATGGCCCATTTGCTTATTCAGGTATAATTAAAGATTTCATGGCAGTATCGTAAAGGAGCCAGGGTGTTTCTCTCAATTAAATCCAAACCCCAAATCCTGGGTATCAGTCATTCTTTCCAATGCTGTTTGTTATGTGTTGCTGTGGAAGACTAGTTGCTACATTTGCCTGTGAAACACAAACCACACTTCAAAATAACTCATTGCCTCTAGTGCTTTGAGATGGTTTGACATGATAAAGTACATCAAAAGCAAGGTTTTAAATATATGGTGAAAAACGTTTTGTAAAGAATCGTACCTAAAAGTGAGAGAACTCCTGTGTGGCTTTTGGATTTGAGATTACATAGGACCTGAGTTGAAGTCCACACTGTAGTGTGCACTGCAGCATCCTCCATCCTACTCTTTGCAGTCGGTTTACAATATTTTTTACAGAATAACAACAAAATTATATTTATAGAGCGCCTATCACATCGGGAGGACGTCCTAATAACAGGAACGGAGTGAAAAATGCAATGTTTAACAACAGATGTGCTACTTATTCCTGTTATGAAATCTTGCATTTTTCTTTCCAATGTCTGTTTTTCACCATATATTTGAAAACTTGCAAATATCAAATAGAAATGGTATTTTCAAGTTCAACATAACATTTTAAGTTTCAATTCATTCATCTTCTCGTTCAATGACTTTATGACTTAAAGTAAAATAGCAATGAAAATGTTTCTTTAAAGCCTATCTGAAATGGTTTTTGTAAATTTTGAATGCTGCTTGAGAATTTGTTGCTATTGGCCATTGGTGCTTGAGTGACTTGAGAAATACCTAAATGTGAATGAACTTACCAATGGAGTGCAGCAGAATTTGCAATAGGTCTGCTCACCAGAACATATAGTTAGTTCAAAATAACATTATGCTTTCCATGCACATTATTGTGAGTAAAAGGGGCATATCAAGAAAACCTCTCTGATTTAGAGGATCTAGAATATAGTGTTGCACTGAAGATGGGCTGCCTTCAGATTCTAAAGTAACCCTCATAGTCCACAATTTTCAATTTTGCCTTTTAGTTTTGAGTGTTTCATAACTGAAGAATACATATTTCTATTCAGAGGAACAGTTTTATTTATATTTAAAATTGCCAGTTAATGTATACAGTGAAGGTATATATTCTAATAATCTTTGTTTGTTATAGCGCCCTTCATGTTGGGAGGATGTCCCAAAGCTCTTCACAGGACTTACTGTGAAGTGTAGTAAGTGTGTATTTGTTGGCCAAAATGGCAGCAGTTTGCACACAGCAATGTCCCACAAACACTCAAAATGAGTGACTAATTTTATTTTGGGGGATTGTTGGCCAAGACGCTCAGAGGCGAAAGTGCTACCATGGAGACAGGCTGCCACACATATGGGAATATTGATTCTCAGCACATTTATAATATGTGTTGCAACATTTGAAATCATACAATGCTTTCTGGATGTTCTTTACTAATTCCTGTGCCAATATTGTGTTTATAAAATGCCTTCTCAGAGAAAATACAATTCATGAATGACGCAAGATGTTGGCAGTGGCTGTGGTATTACATGTCGCATTCAGAAAAGCTAATATTGTTCAGACATTTTGAGTACTAAATTGGTTGTGTTTTATCATTTTATCATTTTATCACACGTCTGTAAGCCCTTTGTGCTGCCACTGTTTGAGTAAGACTTTGTGAAGTGTTCAGACAGAATCCGCACTTGGTGTCACAGCATAATAGTTCAAAGCAGCTTGCACATTTTTAGTAAAAGTTTGTAATTACGGAGCAATGCAGGAAATTCAGTTCCAAAGGTACTGTACTTTGATGTGACTTTTATAAATAGGGAACAGTAGTGTTAACCAGTCAATACGAACTGTTTCCTACTTTCCCATTTGGGAATGCAAAAATGCAAGCAAATATACTGAACTACATTTGGATATATCCTTTCCAGACACTGCTCTTTTCAGGGCTCTGTGGTATAGGTTAAATGGTAATAGTTTTAATGGAGTGGAGGAGAAGGAGGAGGAGGGGAAAGATTTATAAGAACAGATACGTAGGTCTTTATAGGTGCGAGTGAAAGTAGATACATAATTTAAAAATCGAATGGAATGAAATCCACCCTCTGTGGTAGTGTCAGTAGTCCAGTTCCTGGACCAGGTGGTTCCGCAGTACTCCAGCACAGCGATGACAGCACAGCCAGGCTATAGGAATTCAAGAGACAGACCAGTCACTGCGGACGGGGATTCTTCCCACTTGGCCCTTGCAAGACAAAACGCTAATAGGTCATGGTGGTCCTAACTAGACAGGCAGCAGGAAAGCTTGCAAGAGCAATGTGGTTTTAGCTGGTAAGACTCCAGCAGTACCCCACCCTTGGCTCTTCCAAACCTGTGCCTAATACTCTTTGGATTTAGGTAAGCAAGATGTATCCCTCCAGGGAGAGAGTGCACATTCCAGTCCAATAAATACCTCAGGAATTTCCATGGGATGGGATGCATGGAATTCTCAGTTTAGTTTGGGTACACGCTATGCATGGTGATGGGTTCCCGGTACGGTCAGATATCTGGCTGACCAAAAACATGTACGAAAATGGAATGCCTCACTCAAAATAGCTGTTGATACTGAATCTTTAGCAAAGGGAATTGTATAAATAGTTGAGGAAAAATAATATTAAAAAGTATGGGTAAAATTGTGTAATATTAGAGTAGATAGCTTCAGTGGTGTTGCTAGCAAAAGCACAAACATGATCAATGTTTGGTATTTATTTGCCCAAATTTCTTCTTGTATAGTCTTTTTAATCAAATATCCATAGAGTGTTAATATAGTTGCATTTCATGTATGAAACAGTGTTATTCAATTTCCAGTGAAAGACTTGTGTAATAATACATGACATCTAATATGTAGATTTACAGTGGAATTTGACTTTCGAACATATGATACTGAGGGTGTAATATTCCATGCTGGTCACCAACAAAACAACACCTGGATCATGCTAGCTGTTCATAATGGGAAACTTCAGGTGCAGTACAAGAATGCCAATGGAGTCACATCGGGCGTTACCAGTGGAGGTCCACTTATAAACGATGGTTCCTGGCACATGGTAAGTTTCAACTCAATTGGCTTGTTTTCTCTTTCAATATTGAATTATAAGGCTGTGTTAATTTAATAAAGAGTCACTAACCTATGTAGCCTTTACCCCTCTTATGGAAAAGTTCTCACAAAATACTTGACCATCTCTTCCCATCCTTATTGTTTTGACACCCAATTCTGTACTAACCAGATAATCATGCAAAGATCATTCAAGGATTGCTTTGTCAATCTTTTTTTGGTTAGATTTATTTAATCAGTTTAACATAATAAATAACACAATGAAACATCCTGAAACATGAAACCAGCCTATAAAACCCATGAAACCAGCCTATTTAAAAAACATGCCCAGAGAAGATGGATTGAGTCCACTTTGCAGTTGCCTCTATCAGGGCTTAGCCATGGTGGGTTATTAATTCCAGTATTTGAACACAACCTCCTAGCAATGCTGTAAATAACTACTGCATCTACCAAGATGAGTACAACTTGTTGGATTGCCAACCTATGCTCGTGTAAGATGTGAAGTCCCAGTATACATTCCAAGCTTTTATATTTTCCATTTCAGATTTTTGTTGAAGAATCAATTAACAGCTTAATTGTGAAAGTTGCAAGAGAGGCAGTTATGAATATTAACATTCCTGAAAGTCTTTTTATGGAGAATCGAGGATTATTTAAGATCAACATATCTGTTGGAGGCCTTCTGAGTGACGAGTTACATGTTAAACCAGTAAGTTATTCTGTTAAACATCAATTATATTCAGGTAATAAAGACTGGGCTGTCTTTTTGACGTGAAGGGTGCTATACAAGGGTAAGTTGCTAAAGTATACTTTCATGCTTTTTTAAAAAAAGCGGTATAGAATTTACCATGGTGAAAATTCTGACATTTAACAACCAGATCTGATAATTAGTAAACGCATTATTGATTTGTTATGAAACTTTGCATTTTTCTTTCCATCCATCCTTAAAGACTGCCTGTGAAACTGGACCCCCTTCACGGAATTTCAACACAGTGGTTTGCTCTGAGTCTCAATTAAATAAAATGTCATCACATCTTGTGTGCCCCAGACGAGCACACAAGATGTTTAATAGAATTAAAAATGAACTTGGGATCTATTCTGCAACACTGATATCAGTTGAGTTAAGCTGAATTCCCATTTTTCTCTGCATTGAAACGCATTGTTTGTCGCGATTGGGAGCAGCAACACAACAGAGAAATTTTAAGGCCCTTCAGGCCTCGGGATAATGGTTGGGGCTGAGGATTTTTTGATGTTCTTACTGCTCCTAATTATGGAGATCATTGTTTAAGAACAACTAGAATTAGGATATGCCTTTATTTTTATTAGTGCAAAAATCCTTAAATAAAATCATTTTAACAAATGGGAGACCGATGAACTTGTTCTCTTGCCTCATTCTTCACTCATCCAGCTATGATTTGGTAATACCATCAATGTGTCTCATTCTTCATCTGTGCTTTCTGTTACCAGAGGAGAAGTACAGGTCACCAAACCGAGAGAATCGCACAGGCAGCTATTGCATTCTTGGCAGTAGAGGGATTATTTGAGTACAAACCTGCAGTAGCACTCTTTGCCACATGTTAACTCTTATTCCTGTGGCATTGTGTGGCATTTGAGTTAAACTGAAAGGTTCAACTAATCTTTGGATGAGACAATAAACCAAGACCCCGTCTGCCTGTTCAAGTGGATATTAAATATCCCACGGCTCTAATCAAAATGGGAAGAGAGGTTATTGCTATAAAATCGGGAATTAACCTGGAATTGTCCTCTTGGTTTGCGGATCAAGCTTCTCTGTTTTGAAGAATTAAAGACACGGTCTTTATGTCCTAAGTCTGTTTTAATTGCAGTATTAGGATTTTGAGGATTAAATCTGATTGTGCAGTATCTTTAAGATTAACTCAAGACTAGATGCCTGCATGCGTGGATGGAACTGGATAAATGAAGAGGATACTCTAATAAGTGAAACCATAAAACACGATGAAAGATTGCAGTGTTTCTCTCACTTAGAGAGTGGATCTTACTATCCCGGGACTGGATTTGCATTCTACAACTTCATTTACAGTAGGTGTATTTTTGTTCTGTTTTATAATATTTTTTAGGAGGGGATGTCTGATGCATATCTATTTCATAGTTTTAGTGTGCTCTGTTGAATTTGTTGACTCTATAAATGTAGTTTTGATGCATATGCTGCTGTTAGCAATTGATCAATTTAGCATATCCTGACACTATATGAAAAGAGAAGGGAGCTTTCCTTGGTGTCCTGTCCAACCATAGTCCCAAGACCAGTTGCTGTATAACTGTTTCTGGGACTTTGATGGTGTCAGTGGCTATAGTGTTTTCCTAAAAATCAGTTACTGCATTTGGTACTAATTATTGTGAAATATTTGAGACATTTTGAAAAAACTGAAAAGAATCAAATTGGTATGGTCAATATTATTTTAGTCTAATAGTTGTTAGTAGAATTACCGCCCAGTGAGAAACAGCATGGAGGTTCATAAGATTGGCATGTACCAGGTTAGTTGATCTTAGTCAGTGCAGTAGTTGGGTAGCTATTAAATGAAATGGGCTAAAGAAAAATCAGACAAAGTTTTTGCTCCTGATTGCCATCCAGTAACTTCACCTGCTGGGTGTGTATATAAAGGACGTCAAGCAAGAAGAGGATCTGCCTCGACAATCGATAATGTGCGAAGTATATTCTGCCCTCTGAACCCTTCCCCACTCCCATTACATATCCAGCTCCCTGTCTGGTCTTGCACTTGAAGAAAGATAATTTGTTGAGGTGTTGGAAGGATCTGGCCTTGGCTGAACCACACTGCAGCTTAAGTCAACCTCTTCAATGTATGATGGAAGAAATTTGGAAGGGGGTAGATAACCCTACAAAAGAGTGTGGTGATAAATACAATATTTTATGTCAAGCTGTTTGAATATTCACGTCTTGTAACTGCAGCAATAATTTATTATTTATTATGAAATTTGTGTTTCTTTGAGAAACTGTTAGATCCAATTAACATGAGTATAATACATTTTAACTGGTTGAAACCATGACTCTTGGAAAATATGTTTTTGGAAGATTTGCAACAAACATTACATAAAATGCTCTCAATATTTGCTTAATACAGGCACAGGAGAAAATGGTAACTGGGCAGTGAACGTGAATCTTGTGATCCGGCCTGCAGCAGATACTGGAGTGTTATTTGCTTTGATAAGTGACGACAAAGTTCCACTCTCACTTATCATTATGGATTCAAGTTCCACAAAGAAAGCTGATAGACAGGTATCAAAGTACCAGCTTGCTGATGAAGTACATTGGCACAAATAGAAGTTATTGCAGTCTAACTAGCAAATTAGCAATAAAATCAGATAAAATGTTAGCATTCTAAGGGAGATTTCTTCCATTATTATTATCAGTGCTATACAAGCAAATGAAATTCAGCGAAACCCTGTTATAGAGTTCCCTGCATACAGTGCTCATTATATTGCAATCCTCTGAATCCAGAAACTGTAATGTACAAAGTGCAAGAATATAGCCAACGTCTCAGTGCCTCTCAGCACTGATCCTGGAAGCTGGGGCATCACTTTCTCTAGCACAGGACTTCCACCAGATCTGGGGCTGGTTTTCAAAACCCGCCTGAAAACCTATCTTTTTGACTGCGCTTTTGGTCACCTATCTCCTCCCCTTCTCAGCTCCCCCACCCCCCCACCGCCAGTTTAGCACCAATCAGTTGTGTGAAGCACTTAGGGACATCCTCCCAATGTTAAAGGCAATGTATAAATGTAAATTATTGTTGAGCTTTGTAGCATTTAAATAATTGTGAGGTTTTACCCAATATAGTATTATTATGTAATAATCACTTTATGATTTCCCTCCATTTAGGAAATAGTTCTGTCTATAGAGAATGTGATTGTTTACAAACTAGAGGGATTACCACTGTGCGGGGGAGAGAAGCTGTCCATACAGCTCATTGCAACTAAAGACAAAATTATATTGGCGTCCGCTGCAATAATAGCCAACAGTCCTTTGGAAAAGGCACAGCTAACTGAACGTCTCTCCACACTAGACAAATATATGCAGAAATCCGTCAAAACATATCTAGGAGGAATTCCAGGTAAAATGGTTTATATCAAATTACTTTTATTTTATTATGATTGACTGATGCAGATCTCATAACGTATCACAATCCTAACTGATGAAAAATGTTTTGGGGAGTGTTATGCACAATCGAGTGATGTTTTTGAAAGGAAAAAGTGACAACAGCTGGAATTTAAATATGAAAATTGTATATTTGTTTCCCAGGATCAATTTTATGAGATCTATATCTAGGTTACATTGCCTCCAAATTCACCCTGCTGCTGCATAAAATTACTTTTGTTGATTTATTTAAAGCTTATTTAAATGACTATTTTACTTAAGTAGGAACCCAGTTTTTAGTCAATTGGTGGACCGATTACTCAGGTTCCAGATACTACTACAACAAGAAGATTACATTTGTATAGCGTCTTTCACATCGGGAGGACGTCCCAAGGCACTGGACAGTGTACAGCATTTCAGACCTCGAGCTGGGGTCGGGGAGGGAGGAAGGGAGGGGAGGGGAAGGGGGGTGGCCGATGGGATGGTCAAAGAGGAGGGTTGTGAGGCGGGACTTGAAGGAGGCTAAGGAGGGGGCGAGGCGGAGTGACTGGGGATGGAATTCCAGAGGTTGGGGGCAGAGTGACTGAAGGCTCTCCCGCCAATGATGGGGCGGGGGACGTGGAGCTGGCTGAGCGGAGGGAACGGGCGGGTTGGTAGAGGGTTACGAGGTCGCAGAGGTAGGGGTGGGGCGAGGCCATGGAGGGCTTTGTAGGTGAGGACCAGGATCTTGAACTGGATCCTCTGAAGGATGGGGAGCCAATGGAGTCGGACGAGAGTGGGAGAGATGGAGTCACAGAGTTTGGTGCGGGAGAGGACACGGGCTGCAGAGTTCTGGATTATCTGCAGCCTGTGGAGGGAGGAGTTGGGAAGGCCGACAAGCAGGGCGTTTGCATAGTCAAGCCTGGAGATGATGAAGGCATGAACAAGAGTTTCAGCGGCCTGAGGGGTGAGACAGTGGCGGAGTTGGGCGATGTTATGGAGATATCTTTATTTTTAAGATAAATGGTGAGGAAAACAGCATAATAGAAATGAACTTGATACTCAGAACACAGATGCTTAGTAAAGAGCAGTTGGGTGTATCATCTTAAGAATCCGCACAGCAACAACAGGCACAATCCTGAACTGCAACTGGAATCAAACATTGAAATCACAGGATCTACCTGATGATTTCCAGGAAATTCATGAAAGCCGATCATTAATGTCGGAACAGTGTATCCTGTAAAAAGTGAGACAGTGGTACTGCTATTGGCAACTGTACCAAACTCACCCACTTAATAAGTAATCGTACAGGTTTGAAAATCATACCAAATCATAGATAACAAAGGTATTTGTACTGTAACATGAGGCAGCACGGGCCATTAAGAAATTAAATGGAGAAAAATCATAAGGTAGGTCACATCATCTAGTGGACCATTTCCTTAAAGGCAATCAAATAAAGATTAAGGACAGAGACAGTGCAGAATCAAAATAGTTTATGAGCACCTTTTTCTTGCATGTTGCATGAACAGAGAACTGAAATATTTATTCTAATAACCACACGGTGCCTTATTTCTGAATTACAGTAAAAGGGCACTGTTCTGTTGAAACAGTTCAATAAAGTACTTACTTTTATTTACAGATATTCCATTAGCTTCTACTCCAGTCTCCGCGTTCTATCATGGGTGCATGGACACACGTATTAACAATCAGATCATTGACCTGGATGAAGCCATCTACAAAGATAACTCCATAAAATCTCACTCATGCCCTTCAAGAACATAAAGAAAATTTGCAAAAATGTTACTTTTTTTACATGAGATATCACTTGTTATTCTAACAAATTAAAACTTACATACATTTAATTTACTAATTGACTATATTTAGTAAGTCAAATCTGGGTAGTACACAAGATACTAAATATAATGAGAACAAATTATTTGTCTCAAGTGTTGTAATATATTTAAATACAAGTATGTGAAAAAGGGAATGAATGGATTGCTTCTTTTTGCTGCAATAGAAAGGTTGAGGAAAGTAAAGTATAATAAATTGTAATGGCTGCATTATCTGTAAATGTATAGAAATGGTTTAGACTATTCTGTATGTTAAAAAAGTACAGCAAATATATTACAGCCATCCAGAATAAAATGATCAGAACAATAAGTCTATAATACAATTGTTGTCTAATATTAAAAGTTTTTTTTCTTAAGCTTTGACAAGAAGATTAAATGGGCCAGCCACATCAACACTGTGGCTACAAAAACAGTGAAAAGGCTAGGTATTCTGTGAAAATGTAATATTACCTCAAAGCCTTTCCATCTACATGGTTTAAGTTGGGAGTGGGAAGAAATGCTCACCATTCACCTGGCTGAATGCAGTGAAGAGAATACTTGAGAATCTCAATACCATCCAGGAGAAAGCAATTGCTTCATCAGCCCCCAAGTCACTCAGGTTCGGATCCACTCCCTTTCTCACCAATGCTCTGTGGCCTTGTTGTACTACCTACAAAATCCATTCAGGAACTCACCAACAGCACGTCCAGCTCTGACCAACCACCCAAATCAAATTCTATGTAACCACTTGGAGGAGTGGTGTTCCCATTGATACCAATGGGAACACCACTCCTCCAAGTCACTCACCATTCTGACTTGCAGACACATCGCCGTTCATTCATTGCCACTGGGCCGAAATCCTTGAACTATTGTTGGAGTATCATTGGGTTGATAGATAAGGTCTACCCTCACCTTTACAGGACAATAAGTGCTGCCTCATCCACATCCATGAAGCAAGTCAAAGTAGAAAGCCAAAGACAGCCTATTATGTCTTCATCTGATTCAAGGTGAAAGTTGGTGCAATGACCTCTGGTCTAGAGGTCTGAATAACCTCTAGGTATCTGAATTTATTTGCAGAACATGAAGCCATGCAAAGGTTAAGCTCGTACATGTGCATTTCAGTGCAATTGTATTGGAAACAAAATAGCCTCAAACTTTAACACAAAATTATTTATTTTAATCCTCATGGCTTATGATGTACAAATGGGGTTGAAGAAATACAAGAAATATTTTAGTTAGCTGCATCAAGAAATAAATGACCTTAATCTTTCCATATAACTCTTTGGCTAATGGGCAAAATGTTATATATGGAATTATTTAAGCCCTAAATTGTTTCTGATCAAGCAATCAAAGTATAGAACATCCACATCATATATAACCTATTACTGAACCTTTTTAATACAAAACAGTATAAAAATACAACAAATCAAGGCCTCTTAGGTGAGAACAATCAAGTCATTCAGTGTATGGTATGTAATTTACAAAACCCTGATAATAATATTAGACTGATTCAGATAGGATTCAACAAAAACATTAATTTCCAGAAGGAACAGCGATTAAACCATCTTTATTCAGTACATCATGACAATTCATTGGCTGTTTAACTTGAAGCTAATGCAATCGTTCTCTATTCATTGCTTCTTGTTCTTTCTGTTACTTTCCATTGTTTAACACACATGCTTCTGCACACGAACTTCAGCAAAATATTGAATGTAGGAAAGGCATGCAGCACAATGCAACAAGTCAACTGTGACTGCCTTCTCTCATGGCCAACAGCAAACAATAGTGGTTAGAACATTTAAAAGTACCATTTTCATCAAAACAACATTAACCTGATTAAGCACATGTGGAGTATGCATTATAACCACTTAGTTACAGGCTGCTCCAAGCAAAAGAGAAATTATTGGCTTTATGCATCTGTTGAAAAAACCTTTTGTACATTTAAAATGCTCATTGGAACATTGTCTGATTTATGTCACATATGTACAATGTTTCCTTCTAGGTGGAAACACACACTTGTTGACTATTACTCAGGAGTAAAAAAACTCATCATTTAAAATGTTCTGTTAGAATTGTTGCCCAATAGTGAAAGCCACAATTTCTGTAATGCAACTAAACTCAGCTCCAGTAATAGACACAACTGAGATGTTACTGCTAAAAGATGCAGAGTTTTACTATATCTGAAAGAAACAGCTAAGTGGTTGGTAACAGGATGCAACTAGTGATTCTCATTGAATTTTTAAAAAAAAAACAATCATGAACCAATTGTTTACAATAACTGCAATCGAAGAACCCATGCATATATTAGTATAATTTCATCAATGGAAAAACAAGTGTTTAGAAGTTGCAGTTTAAGGGCACTTAAGAGAGTGACCAAAAGTGAAAATAGATAGCAGTCAAAATAATGCAGAGCTATTAAATGAACAGATTACTTACAACAGTATAACAGCTGAACAGGTTAGATGATAGTGTATACTGTAGTTGGTAGCACCTTTTCTAGAATTTTATAATATATACTAAATATTACATAAACTAGTAAACCACAGCCAAAAAGGCCTTGCAATACTGCAATAAATGGCATGTCACATACTTTCAGGCTGTATGTCACTATCAGCTGTAATTTTTTTGGCCCAAACATGCCTAGCATGCCCAGTGAGGAAACAAATGTAGTTGCAAAAGGAACTATTTAGTATATATTATATAAAAGTAACAAATGCGTGGGAGGCAATTAAACATTACGGCCCTACAGGATTTGGTTGACAGCAGTGATGGCTCGTCAGGTGAGGCACTGCCTCACCTAGAATTTGAGGAGTTGGGGAAACATGGCAGTACCAGCATGGGAGCCAGGGCAGTGGGAGAGAGGCCAAGATATTGCACATGTGCAAAGACCTTGTGATCCTGGTAACAAGAGGGCTTGGATAGGCAAATTCAGATTGTCTCACCTGTCAAAAAGGTCCCCAGCCGGCACTAGTCGACAAACACAAACTGCTGTTACAGTTTAGGACATCATGCAAATGCTTTTGATACAGTCTTAATTGCCTCCCACATATTTATTATTCTGTATGTATTCTTATTTCTGTTAATATTCAGTGCATTGCTTTAACAAAGAAAGTGCCATTTAGTATGTCAATGCGTTGAAGCTCATATTAAACTTTTTTCTTTTAGAGCAGTAAGGCAGCAATTGGAATTGCAATAAGCTTTATGTGGCTGAAGCTCCATTCTTATTGCTATGCACTTTTTCTTGGCACAATAAATGAGTGAGGATATTGTCGTATTGCTTTATTATAGAATAGCACCATAGTTCAACCAAACTGTTTGAATCAGCTAATGAGCTTGAACTATCAGAATACATTACGTGTTCTTCATGCAGACTTGGCAACGGCTGATGCGTGTTCGCAGTTCTCCTGCTTTAAGGGTCTCAGATTCTGGTTTCCTAAAAGGGAACAAGAATGTCAGTAATAAATTCTGCACACAAACAGATGGCTCCAGTAGAATGTATCAGGCAATGTTCACTGATTTTCAATGTTTAATTGGAGTTGAGGTACAAATCAGCCATGATCTAATAGATGAGAATAGCACAATAGGCTGGAAGGGTTGAATAGCCTACTCCTATTCCTATGATGTACTTTGCCCATTTCCATTTGGGGCTCAGTGGGCATCACTGAAAAGATGTGAACAAATGTCTTCACAGCAACATAAAGTGTAGAAACGAAGATGAAATAGTTACATAGGCTTCAATAGTATCTTGACTGCTTTATTATTATAACAGTTATTCATTGAAGTGTGTGTGTATATATATATATACATATATATACACACACACATACATATATATATACACACATATATATATACATACATACACACACATTTGACTATGCTAGGTCTCTACACAAGATTTGGATGAATAAGCCCATTTTATCTCATTCTTCCAGAATACCAACCCTACCATTTTCCCATTGTAGCATCAACTGTTTCTTACAGGAGCCCAGTGTCCTGGCTTTTATCTCCCTTCCCATCACTATGTTACTTCCTTTACTGGGAAGGAATAGGCAGTACGTTCTCCAACATCTCACTTTGTGAAGCTACTGACAAACTCAGCAGGAGTTGAACATTGTACAAAGCAGGGAAACGATTGCCTTCATTGTATACAAGTCAATTAAGATAAAACAGTCCAGTGTTTGTAAAGAGCACTCATTATATTTTCTTCTTAATCATCAAAAATACATTAGAATATACAGCACAAAAACAGGCCATTCGGCCCAACTGGTCTATGCCGGTGTTTATGCTCCACATGAGCCTCCTCCTGCCCTTCCTCAACTAAGCCTACAAGCATAAGCTTCTATTCCTTTCTCCCTCATGTACCTATCTAGCTTTCCCTCAAATGCATCTATGCTATTTGCCTCAACAATTCCTTGAGGTAGCAAGTTCCACATTCTCACTACTCTCTTTGTGAAGAAATTTCTTCTAACTTCCCTATTTGATCTATTTGTTATTATTTTATATTGATGGCCCCTGGGTTTGGTCTCTCCCACAAGTGGAAACATGTCTACCCTATCAAAACCTTTCATCATTTTAAAATGAACCCCAATGCCTGGTTTGGTTTTTTGTGGCCTGATTAACCTGGGTTGCTAATTTTAGTGAATTGTGTATGTGTACCCCTCGGTCCCTTTGCTCCTCTACTCCATTTAGGTTTTTTTTTTCCAGCACATATGTGACAATACCCCAGACTAACCTGAACATCTCTGAAGTCTCAACAGTTGCTAGCCAGAAGCTATATGAGTTAGCGTAGTAGTTACAAGTCCCACGTCCATGGCATTCGATGAAGGGGGCAGAGCGAAATTCTTCTAGGCATGAGCCTGGCGAGGACAGGGCCTGTCCTGAGCCCTCAGCACCAGAACTTGTGTGCTGTACCAAAATAATCAGAGGAGAAAACACTGAAGATAGAACAACCACCAATTTGAGACTTAATTACTGCCAAACCCTGTGACAGTTGTTTTCCTTTTTGCAGGATTCACGTTTTTTATACAGGATGCGATATCCATTACATTTATATGATACTTCTTGGCCTCAGTCACTTCTTTTACTATGTTTCACACTACAGAATGGATGACTTGAGGAAGCCTGGGAGCAAACATTTAGATCTGGCATTAGGAGGACTGCCTTAGTGCACTGTCCCATTTAATCTCACAACAGAAGTGCTAGATAGAAGGTTTGATCCTAGGGTCTTCGGTCAACACTCCGGCCTAAAATAAAGCAACAAGAAATGATTGAAAGATATAAGTGAGTGCACAATATCATCCCTTTATGAAAGTATAGATTCTGGGTCAATGATTCTGTGCCACTTATTTAAGCTCTTTATTTTTGTTTTACCCTTCTTTCCCCTCTCCGGGTTCCCACTGAAACCTGCTCTTAGGCTGATCATTGGGAGGCTGATCATTGGGATGCCAGAATCCAGAGTGTTGTGTGGATGACTCTTCCAAAGTTACAACACCTCAGTGAAATTACCAGAAGGGTCAATTTTTCCTTGAGGACATTACTATTCAGATTGACACCTCAACAGGTTGGGACAGATAGCCACAACTCCACACTTGCGACAGCTCTGAGATACAAGGGCATGGGCTGTTCTACCGAGTTGTACCTCCAGGTTACTGAAACTACAAAGGTCATTATTCACCCCCTCACTAACATAAAGCCATACTTTGCTAAGTAGCAAAGTGGCAGTATTGATCAACATCTTCAAAGCATCATGTTCCACGCGATAATACACAAACAAGCTGAGTTTAATTTGATGATTTAAGCCACTACGTATTATGACCACCAATGACAAAGAACTATTTTTGGGGCACTGTGACAGCTGAACTATTGATAGATTTGCACTAGACCATGCAATGCATAAACAAAATCCACATTGCCACAAGTATGGTTTTCAAATAATAAACCATTTAGGTTGAAACTGGCGTGACTCACAGGTGCCTGTGATAATCTGGTTTATTTGTTCATAGATTACCTCTCCCCAGCATTTTTCATAAAGTACTGCTTCCCTGTGCAGATCTAGATGGTGTCATGCCAACTAATTACAGACCAATCAAACAGAATTTATATCGAGACAGATCTTGACAGATGTCATTTTGTGGTCTATTAAGGCTGGATTTCAAAATCTTCAACAAATACTTTCTTCAAATAACCTGTTCACTTCTCCATAGTAAAACACTAAAGGTGACCATTTGCATTCAGTCCTGGATTGTCACTTTTTTTCTGCCAGCATATGATAATTACAAATGAAGAATTCCTTTCCTATTTAAACTCCGCCAGCATAGGACATGTCAGCAGTTTAATGCTAGGAGAGGGGTGGGAGGGAGGAAGTTGCCCATGATATGTGTTTATAATGCTAGAAATATCCCCCAAATTGTTTTGTAAATATATTCAAAGATAAAATACATTGCAGGCAAACAAGTGGTTGCGAAACATCTGTACTAATTGATGAATGAGAATTGTAGTAAGAGGAAAGAGGCCACTCTGGGAGTTTAGTTCCCCATTAAATCAAATGTCTTGTATCAGATCCATATGAGATTTACCATTATGAAAGAATAGCCAATCCAAAGAGAATTCCAACCCCTGGGGCAAGCCGGGATTTGGATTGTTTGACTGTGGATAGCAACCACCATTGCTGGAGCTTCACAAACAGAGCACCTGTGGAAAAAAAGTCACTTAAATGTTTTTGTTACACTTAAACATGGCAATTGCTAACACTGAAAAATTATAAGTTCACATTTCTGTGCCCACTTAAGGTCAAAAAGTGACTGAAAAGTCATACAATTTCTCTATTTCCCAAAGCAAAGACAAGAGTTGTGTGTCATGTTAATATTTTAAATTGGTGTTAAAACATTTTCAAAATTACAAAAATATTAACTACAGCTCACTTTTGCTATTATTTTGAAACTCCAAATCAATACAACAAACAGAAATAGGGAATATCAGAAACTTGATTTGATGATTCTGAGCTACATTTGGAGGACTATTTTCAAGAGCTGGGGAAAACCAGTCTTTAAATTAAGACAATTTAAGAATTTTCCACAGTTCTGCATAGGCTTATAAAATAATAATAGTAATAAATAATAATCCTTGCATTTGGTATAGTATCTTCTCCTTCAGGAGGATGTTCCAAAGCACAGAGTTCACAAGATAATAATATAAATATTCTAAATATATTATAATGGCTAAGACCATAAGAAACTTTGGACCTAATATTTTGCTAATGTCAGCTATTAATACAGTGTTGCAATGTTTATAGTATAGTGTCTCACCTGCTGACAAAGGGTTTGATACTTTGCCCGGTAATCGGAGCCATGCTCATTGGCATTGGCTCTGGAGTTGCCAGCCAAAAGGAGTAGTCATTTCGAGATGCAAAGTTGCAGACATTATTGATATTGCAAAATAAGAATGGCATGGTGCTGAATCTCTGCAGGCAGCTTCCCGCCGAACCTGAATCATAAAAAACACGCTGTTTGTAAACACTGGGCTCCTGTAAACATTTATCATTGGTATTAAAAATGCAGCATTCGCACAGTAAAAGTCATTAACAGTGCAATGACATGCATTTTGCACATGTCCCATTGTCAACCCCAATGAATAACAACACATTTTTTCCCAATCAACTGCCATCAACATGAAAGTATGTGATATAAAACAATTGAATGCTAACATCGTGTTAACAATGAATATTCAGGCATGTCAGAGGTGAAAAGCCCAAGGTTTTTTTTAACTATCGTTATGTTAACTTAGTGAGTAATGCTATATAACATTTTATTTGCTATAAGACCTCGGTGATGCCCCCAAATCATCTATTATTGTAACAACTTACCCAAGTCCTGCCCATGAGCTCTTTCATTGCCTTGTACATAAAGCAGAGAGTACCCATCATAGATTTGGACTGTGCCCCCAGGACAAGTAGGGATCTCAGTTGTTTGGCTATGTCTGGTAACAAGAAAGCCATGAGCTATTGATGCGGGACCTGGAAACCCACGAGGCCCAGGCGTGCCCAGGGGCCCTGTTGGACCAGGATATCCTCTTGGACCTAACAAGAAACAAAGTGTGAATTTAAGCTGAATGAAAGTACGATTTTTATGCTTGTTTCAGTAAATTATGTACCAGTGTATATTAACGCATGCTAATACTTTGCAGGATAATAAACCCTGGTCAACCACAGAGCAAATAAACCTACTTATTTATTGATCTCATAAGGCATTAATACCCTTTTATGATAATTGTACAGCAGTATATGGAGCATAATGATAGCTCTCTTGGAGTAAAGAATGGCCTGTAGACTAGCTCCCACACCCTCAACAACAACAACATTCTCTCTTTCTCGAATCACACATCCTATACTTAGTGCCTCCGTCCAACAGCAGTGGGCAGATTGAGAACTCACAGTGTGGGTAACCATACTCTTTCACAAAGTCCAGTATTGCCTAGGCAATCCCCCATGTGACACCATAACAGCTAAAATGCTTACTACTCTAAAGTACATACATGGGCAATGCACACTGTTGACTATTTTAAGAAAGGTTTCACTCTACAAAAGAAGCAAAAGATAAAGCTGATCACTGTTGCAAATAAAGGTTTTATGCTTGAATTACCTGGATGACCAGATGGACCAAGTTCTCCTTTCTGGCCAGATATCCCATCAAATCCAGGAAGCCCTTCTCGGCCAGGGTTACCTTCTGAGCCCATTAGACCTAGAGAGCAAATGTGGGATATTAATGCTTATTGTATATCACTATTCAGAGTAATATAGGACTCCTACTGTTTTCAGAAGGCTGTGGGTTCAAGACCCACATCAATACTTGAGGTCACAGTGTACTGACTCTCCAGTGCAGGACAGAGGGTTGCTGCAATGTTGGAGGTGATGTCCTTTGGATGAGGCATTAAACAAATATGTTTTTCTTCAGATAAATGTTAAAGATTCCATGACACTATTCAAAAAGAGAATTAAATTTCTCCAGGTGTCCTTACTGTGTGCAGAATTGCTGCTCTATGTTTGGTTATAAAAGTCATCATGAGATAAGGCTCTTTAAAAAGCAAGGATTCTTTATTTAGAAGGGAGGAAGCTTCAGAAAAAATCTTCTTTTAAAATCAGGTTTGCTGAGACACTAAAATAAATAGCTAAGTAAAAGAATCTCTTGCAAAGTTTTAAGTCTGATAAACGTTTGTAGTAATTATATACAGTTGAAAATATTTACTTACCTTTGTCACCTTTTTGACCTTGAAATCCTGGAAAGCCTTTAGCACCTTGTGACCCTTCTGGTCCAGGTAAACCAGGTTCACCTGTTATTACCTGCACAGGACCTTGTGGACCAGGTGGCCCTGGCAGACCTATTGAAAAAATGTTTTAGTCTATGTTAAACACTCTGGATTCCAAATTATGCTTTCAGGTTAATTCAGAACAACTTTGATGCCTTGTCAAATGTGAAATTAAATTTGGAAGTAAAATAAATTTCTTACCCCTCAGACCAGGGATACCTTGATCACCCTGTTGACCTGAAGAGCCTCTTTGGCCCGGCAATCCTTTCATTCCTACAAGGACATTCAGGAAAATAAGTTTACGTCCTTCAGTTATCTTAAACCAAAGGGTGTTATTTTCTTGTCAGTAAAACGTACTGAGCTTAATTGTTTGGATACTGGTAGAAAGTTGCCAATGTATGTGCATATGTACAATGTCAACAAATGTACTAACAAACAGAGAATAACTTCTAAATTGTTACATTTATATAGCACCTTTCATATCAGAAGGATGCTCCAAGATGCTGGACATTCCAGGGGTTGGGCTGGGAGACAAGAAAGATGGCTGAAAGCGGGGTCAAAGAAGAAGATCTTCAGGTGGACCTTGAAGGAGGCAAGGGAAGGAGCAGGCCAAAGGGAATTCGGAATGGAGTTCCAGACAGTGGGGGCGAATAGGCTGAAGGATCTTTCTAATGCATCACTACACAACTTATTGGAATCTTGCAAAGCAAATAGTTTGGTGGTATTCAGAAACCATACCAAATCTGTTATGTGAATATCTCCTCATAATGATCATAACAGTTTGGTTAAATATAATATGTGAATACATAAATTGTACAATTTTGAAGATATCCATCAACTTACCATTGAACCCTGGAACTCCTTGATGTCCTGAATCGCCCTTCAATCCAAAAGCACCAGGCAGGCCTGCGTTACCCTGTGTGAAACAATTCAACATCAATAACTTAAAGAATATCCATAATTTGAGTTTCTTGAGAATGTAATCTATACTGATCATGAGACATTTGGGTCACATCTTTTCTAGTTACTTGAAAGGATAGCTGACATTGCAGGAGAGTGAGATTAGACAAAGTGGCCGATGGGGCAAAACACCAATGCTCTGAAGGATTCTGTAGCCTGTTTCTGTGCTGCTAATTCTATGATACTATGAACAGTAGAATTAAGAGGAACAGATAAGAATGTTACAGGAATGGAAAAGCCAATTGTTGTCTAACCCTTAAAGTTAGAAAAAACACCATTTGATCTATAGATCTCAATCCCCTTTAGTGCACATGACTGACCATACGTGAACAATAAGTGAACCTTACAGGAGGACCTGGGATCCCTGGCTGTCCTTTAGGTCCTGCAAAACCTGGTAATCCTGGTAAACCTTGATCTCCTTTGATTCCTTTGTTTCCACTAAACCCTGGAGTTCCAACCTCTCCTTGCACACCAGGGGCACCTTTGAACGAGATTATGGAAAAAAAATATACGTTTACAAATTGTCAAGACAATCATTGAATACCTTCTACCCAAACTTCCATTGTGCTCAAACATGAGTACCTTAAACATTTCTGCACATTGTTGTAAGTTCCGATAAATGTAACTTGCAATGCCTAAGCCTGCTGACTATCCCCTTTCTGTCATCATGTTAGTTTACTGGTTTGGATGTTTTCTTCTCTTTAAATATAGCAGAAAGCCCTCTTGTGAGTGGAATCAGATTAGCAACAATTTTTAAAATAAAAAAGAATTTACAAAAAACTGGCCACTTAATCCATGACTGTTTGTGGGACATAGCTGTCCACAATTGACTGCCGCATTTTGCCCACAAAATATACAATCAATAATAATAATAATCCTTGCATTTGATATAGCGCTTTTCACGTCTTCTAGACATCTCAAACCGCTCCACAGAATATGCTGTGAAGTGAATTAACTGTATATTTGTGGGCGAAACGCGGCAGCCAATTGCTCACAGCAGTGTCCCACAAACAGTCGTTTCTGATTTCTGATGCAGTGGCTACACAAGTATGATTATCAATTGCACAATCATTCAACAAAAGTAATATACTTTACAGTATATTCTATACTGAGACCTCTCAACGATGTGATAAAGCTTATATCAAACATGACGATTATTATGATCAATTATGACGATTATTTATTTATCAAATAAAATGTATTGCAGCCTTAGTGAGTAATTTTATGACACTTCCTCACTCCCATATGGTACAGGTGGTGTTTTTATTTTTTATAGTAATAAGGTGCAATACCAAACACCAGGTTTACTGTTATTATATATCTGATATGTGTAGCTGGATAGTGCTAGGCAAGCACCCATTCAATTTATCTTAAAAGGCAAATTGCTTTATGCAATGTTCCATACTGTATTGGAATTGTAAAATGCTTATCTTTTACATAGCTTTTCTCAATCTCTTAAAATGAATGCGGGCATACTACCTATTAAAGAAGCATTATATTTGCTATGATAGAACACTGTAAAACTGCATGGGCACATTCATTCTATGCTTGCTAAAATGTGGCAGGGGTAAGAGCATTGGGTTAGACTCGCATGTGAGGGTGTGGGGGATAAATGGAGTACTAAGTAACAAACAGAGCAGAGGTGGGTCAGATCAGGCCAAAACTGGTGGTGAGGACCAGGGGGTTGGACCAAAGCTCAAAACCAACAGCAACTTATCAATTTAAGTCTGATCAGGTCAGGATGTCAGAGTCAGCAGCAGCTGCTTGGACTTGGTCATCATTGGTAGCTTGGAACAGAGTCATTTTGAGATGGGAGCGGGATTCTGAACTACACAAAATTTGTTTCACAAGACCAAATATTTCACATAAAATTGCATAGATATCTAAGGCCCACAAATTATGCCACTTATACAAAGATCAAGAAAAAAACAGTTTTTCAATCAATTCCAAATCCCAATATATACTTAATTACCATGTCTTATTATTTGAGTCAAATTAGAAGGTTTGCACTAATAATTCAGTTTCTCATCATAGTAACCCTCAGAGTAGGGGTTTTTTCAACACTTCCTTTCAGAAAATTATTGGAAATCCTCACATTACCTGGATGTCCTGGGACCCCCTGCAGTCCTTGCTCACCCTTTGGACCCTCCAAAGCAACATTTGGTGGACCTGGAAGGCCTTGTTGACCTTGCTGGCCTTTTTGACCAGGAAACCCTTGTTCTCCTTTGAGGCCACGAATGCCAGACGAGCCTGGGTAACCCGGTAAACCAGGATCTCCTTTCAACCCTGTTAAGAAAATACAAAGCTATCAGCATTTGTATTCTGGCCGATTTCAATAAACCTATTATTAAACTTGCCACCACGCTAGATTTTTATTAAAAGCTCTTCATCCTTTTCCAATGAGAGTATTGTTTTGTGATTTATTCTTTACAAAGAAAATAAAATGCAATCAAAAATAAGTTTTGAAAACTAGCTCAAAGTGTTAAATCTTTTATTTGAAAGGTGTAACCTCACCTTTTACACCACTTTGTCCAGAACGCCCTGGAATACCGTATCCTGTAGAACCTGGAAGATATGCAAAAAAGCATGAATGTAACATGTATACAAGGTAGTCATAGAATGCACATCATGTTACTGATAAATTTCATTGTATCTAGTCATAATATGGATGACTACTCTAGCACTTAGTAGATGTCAAATTATTTTCCTTGTTGAATGCTGTAATTGCATATTTTCTCATTCAAGACAATTGCAGCTATGGATGTGAAAATTGTAGTAAGGTTTGGCTCAGTTGGTTGCTCTCGGAAGGTTGTGGGTTCAAGCTCTATATCAGGAGTTTGAGCCCACAGTGTAGGCTACCATTTCAGTGCAGTGTTAAGGACGCACTTCATTGTCAGAGCTGCTGTCCTTCGGATGAATCACTGAATTGAGGTCCAATCTGCCTGGTTGTAGCACCTCATAGTCAGATAGGACATTAAAAATCCCATAGCAGTATTTGAAAATAGAAGTGTATTTCTCCTAGGCATGTCCAACACCCCATATGAATTAATCATTCACTTCTTGTGCAGCTGGATAGTACTTGTGGGACATTTCCATCTGCAAATGTGCTGCTCTGTCTTCCTATCAATACACAGTCACTATATTTGACAGTAATAACCTGTGAAGCCATTGGAGACATCTGGTGTTATAACTACTATATCCAATAGAAAAAATATTACTATAAAGTACCCTTGAGCTGAAGGATGTTTCGAGCTTTCCAGTCAATTTAGCATTCCTGCCATCAATAACCAAACATCCACATAATCTCAATATTTGATTGATGCAAATGCTGCTTTTAATGAAGGACTGCTTCATCAGCCCTCAACATACTGAAATATTTTTAGGTTTTAAATTGTCCACTTCTAATCAGAAATTCAAAAACATGCACAAGTTGTTATAGGAAAATTATTTACAATGCAATAGGCTATTTTTTTACCTTGATTACCCTTTTCACCAATTGTTCCTGGGATTCCATCGAGTCCTGCTTTACCTTTCTCTCCAGGGAGGCCTGATTGACCTTTAGGACCAGGAATACCTGACCAAATATATCAAATTTATTTGTTAAACATGCATCATTAAATGTTGCATTTGTAAGTGAGGCTTATGTATTCAAACCAAACACAGTAGAAATAATTTTGTCTGTCTGTCTGTCTTTCTCCATAAGGCAGTCAGCTCCACTGAGGTACAATTGCAATAATTCTGGCCATTCCCTATGTGGGAGCCTGGTTAGAACCATCGAAATGTACAGCAGTGAAGAAGGCAATTCGGACCATAGTGTGTGTGCTGGTTCTTTTAGAATCCCATTTACCTGCATGAACCACCTTTCCCAGCTATAAATTGTAGTTGGACTGTGAGAAATGGGATTACCGATTCATAAAATCAGAGGCAACAGTTTTTCAATGTACTGAGAGAAATGTAATTGTACCTGGCTCGCCAGGAATTCCTGATAACCCTTTTTCCCCAACAACACCGACTTGACCTTTTTCTCCCGGAAACCCTGGACCACCTGTGGGATAGTCAGAAGTATTTTTTTTCAGCATTTGTGGTCATCAGGAAATTAATGCTCATTTTAAATTAATTTGGTGTAAATGAGGCCTACCTGAAATCCCTGCTGTTCCAGATTCTCCTTTGGGTCCTACTGGACCAATAGCACCTGGCAACCCTGGGAAACCTGGTGAGCCCTTGAACCCAGGAATACCTGTCCGGCCAGTTAATCCTGGATCTCCCTAAATAAGTAGGGTTAACATAGGATATAGTTTAGCATTGCATGAACATCAACAACAAATTTTCATTTATATAGCACCTTTCATGCTGGGAGGATGTCCCAAGACAGTCCAGTGTTTGATGAAAGTTGTAATTAACACAAGAAATTCAGTCTGCAATGGCTGCATGCTTCATGCCAGATTTTCACAATTGTGATCATAATGGTTTATAACACCCTGTGCAACTATGATCCAACATGAAAGTATCATTTAACTAAAAACATCTTCACAGAATGGGTTTGGAAGTTTGCTTAAAATTCTGCAATTTGAGAAAAGTTCAAGACGTTCCTAAATACAATGTATGTTATTCTATGTGAAAGGCTCTGCATAAGTGTTGTTCTCTAACAATTGCTCTATAGTTACTGTAGGTTAGCTACGTGCAGCAGCTTTGATACAATACAATATTGCAAGCTGTGAAACAATTCTATTTCTACAGGAATTCTCTTCTTTACCCAAAGTTTTAAACGTGTTGTTATAAGAATCTTCTATGACTCGTTTTATTCCAGCTTATAGCATTTGTGTTCACTGACGTGCTTCTGTCTGTCAGTATATAAATTTATATTACCTTTATTGGGAAATGTCAGGAATTTCCAGAATAGCTGAAAGCAGGATAAGTAGCTTAAAGCGGGAAAGCAGGCATGGAGCAGAGGAATCGAGGGACATGCAGGAGGCACTCGTGGTTACATTTGTACAAGTTGCTAAAAATTAAACTTACCTTTTGACCAGGATCACCCGGAATTCCAATGCCTGGTATGCCAGTTTCACCTTTTGTACCTTTTTCACCACTGATACCACGATACCCTGGCTGCCCTGGCTGTCCTGTAGCTCCTGGATCACCAGGAAATCCCGAAGAACCTGAGAAGGACATAAAACAGGTCAATGTCACGCTATAATAATAATAATTGTGTTTGATATAGAGCCTTATCACATCATTGCGACATCTCAAAGTGCTTCACAGAATATATTGTAAAGTGGATTTACTGCATATTTTGTGGGTGAAAAGTGGCAGCCAATTGTGCACTGCAGTTTCCCACAAACAGTTGCGGATTGAATGACCAAATAGTTTTTTTTAGGATTAATACCCCCACCACACGATCCGCCAATTGACTAACAACCGGATTCTTATGTACTGCTATGTAAACAGAGGCGTGTGGAGTAAAGAAACTTGCCTAAGGTTTTGCCCCACCTGGGAATCGAACCCGGGTCCTCTCGCTTGTGAGATGAGCGTGCTAACCACTACACTATGGAACTGTTATTTACCACTTGTTCTGAACTTAAGTTTATAATTTAAGTCTTTTTCATGAATAACACATTTATTTCTCAGAATTTTATGTCCAATGCATTTTATTCCTCGTGCAAATTGTACCATCAGATGAGGTTTGGGTTGACCTGAATTAGTAACATATAGTTGTGTTATTTGGGTTTATTTTCCTTCACTTTTCTCCTACTGTATCTTCATTCTGAATTAAGTACTCCATATACTCCATTTATCTTTAATTAGTCAGAGGGAGAGGAATGACAACTTTCGCAGATATCACCAGAAAAGCTCATTTCACTCCCTATCCGTTCAATTCTGTCTGAGATGTAAATGAGCTCAGCGGAGGAATAACAGACTATGTACATTGCCATAGGTAGAATGTATCTTCTATGTAAACTATGGCATTAAATTATCAAATAAAATTTACAGTATTTAGTTACTACTTAGAAAAGCTCAGTACTGCATTTATATTTAATTAGTTGGGGGAAGAGTAATGACAGCTTTCACAGATACCACCAGAAAAGCTTTTTTTCTTCCCTACATTTTAGGCTTGGCATTACATAGGAAAAACTATGCCCTGTCTGCTCCCTCTGCTCAGCGAGCTCTGACTTGCTTCACGTCCCCCACCTTCCCCCCCACCATTGGCGAGTAAGTCTCTCTGCTCCCACCCTCTGGTACTCCATCCCACAGTCCCTCTGCTTCGCCCTCTCCCTTGCCTCCTTCAAGATCCGTCTCAAGACCCATCTCAAGACCCTGCTCTTCGACAGTGCATTCAGTCACCCTCCTACCCCTCCTGATCCCAACCACCAGCGCGGGTGCGAAACCCTGACTGTCCAACGCCTTAGATGTCCTCCTGACGTGAAAGGAGCTTTACAAATATAATTTGTTGTTTCCTGTGATTTTTTTGACAGGAAACTAACTGGGACTCGGGTGAATGTGCAATCTAGGCAATTGTACTATTTTTAAAGATAAGATTTATGCAAGTTTTACTGTACTGCACGTACAAGTGACTGATGGTGCAATTACATAATAAGTGGAACATTATCCGAAACCCTCAAATACAGAAGAAAATATGTAGAAAGGTGCTGCACTTGCTTTGATATTGTATATAGTTTTAATTATTTTCTGGCAAGATTACCTGGAAGCCCCATTTCTCCTAAACCTCCTTTCGCTCCTGGAAAACCTTCACGGCCTGGTTTTCCTGGAGTACCTGGATCACCTGCTGGCCCTACGGAAATCAGGAGAGACATTTCTGTTAGTTTGTTTGAAGTAAAAATTCAGCTTTTGAGAGAAGTGACAAGTATTAGAGAGAATTCATCCTGGGTTCGGAAAGGAGGAGCTCAGCATTATGGTTGTTGTGATGATAGTAGATACAAGCAATGATGTATCTACACCATGATGTTCCAATAATTGGAAATGCCCCTTTAAAAATGTTTAATTCCTCTGAAAGAACTTTTGTTTCAACAGTTTAAAAAAACCTTTATTTTAGCACTGATGGAAATCAGTGTCTTAGTTTATGAAAATGATGGCAATCACTATGTTGCACTCTGTTGAAGTCATCATTTCGTACTCTGCTTTACAAAATATTTTGCCACTTCACAATACTCCAGTAACAAAATTTATGACAAAGTGTTACTACAAATTGTGCTATGAGTTTTACATTTAAGTTAAAATGGATTTAATCTACTGAATTGATGTTATAATAATAATCTTTGCATTTGTTATAGCACCTTATCACATAGTCAAAACTTCTTAAAGTATTTCACACTCTATTGTAAAGTGCTGGATATTTAATTGATACTTTAATTCAGTTTAAGTAGACTCAGTGCATTCACAAACTAGTCCATGTTAATCTCAACTTTGGCTCTTATTTATGACTTACTTTATTTGTTATGAGAAGAAATAAGGATGCTGCCCTTTGCAGAGATTACAGTGTACTAGATGTGCTAACATGAAATAAGCGAGAATTCAGAGCATATTTTTGAAAGAGGTGCTATTATGATGTTGTTTACCCTGTTGTCCTGGTAATCCAGGATCACCATCTTTTCCTGGTGATCCCGGCAAGCCGGGGTCTCCTCCACTCCCCTTTATTCCTTGTAACCCGGGCTTTCCTGAGGAAAAAAAATTGCAAATAATTAAAGTCTGGACAAGGAGTAATATCCTTATGTTGATTATTTTCACGCCCTGGATGCAGCATCAGCTTTTTTCAAACAGCCAGCACAGACTCGATGGACCAAATGGCCTCTTTTTGTGCTGTACGATTCTATGATCAGGCCTCGTTCAGGAGGTTTCTGTTGAAAACTACAGCCAGCGACACTAAGCCAGGAATAATGGTAAAGTTGCAATATTGGTCAATTCTCTATTTGCGGAAGTTGTAGCCACAACATTTAGCATCTTTAGATCATGTACATTTAGATTTTCAAAGAAGAGTAATTAAAAACTAGCTTACCTGAATCTCCGATTTCACCTTTCTGGCCTTTCATTTGCTCCATTAAAGTTTTGTCAATTTCTCCTGCTGGTCCCTTAAGTCCAGGCTCACCTCGGTCACCTTTCTCACCTGCAGTTCCATTATATCCTTGGTAACCAGATTGGCCAGGGCTGCCTGAAAAAACCCAACGTGTTAACATGAATTAAATCCAATGAAGGGAAGAAGGTTAAATCCACCCAATTTTATACTGTTCGGTGCACACAATGTCATAAAAAACATATGCTGATCCGATCTCTCCACTAAATTTTGATTTTCCCCTTTACCTTTGCTCTGATGAAGATAAATAATTGGATAGTGCTTTATGGTTGTCCAATGACTCTTTGGGTATTCTTCATTAAGTTTCAATGGACTATTTGATCATTGAGATTATTTGATTCTTACGCTAACTACACCCAATAGACATGCATGAACACACTTTTAGAAAGGATTACCAAACAATGATCAGATACTGGAACCTTAACTAATATCACTGTTTAACTAAACTCCTGTACAAATACCCCAGCTAAGATCGGTTATTGCAGCAGAAACTAACCAATGAATCTAGGCCATTTCTGGTCAACGCAGTAACTGTACCAAATGGTGCTTTTTATAAAATGTATGGTGTAGTTACCTTTTGGACCTGTGAACCCAGCATTTCCTGGAGGACCAATGAAACCTTGGCTGCCTGGAGTGCCCATTACTCCCATTTCTCCTTTAGAACCTGCAATAGTAAAAACACCTGAATTTAGAACTCAAGGAAGTAAACAGCTGTCAGTTACCTTTGGAAATTATATGTGATAATGTGATTATGAAAGTTGTTTTCAGCAATAACAAAATTGGCTAGATATGGTCAAAGCGTGGTATTGTTATATTGCTGAAGTTACCACACTGTCTGCCTTCTGCAACTTAGGCATCTCAATTTGACATTTATTTCAGTTGGACTCGAGCAGTTTGAAATATCCTTTCACTGATGATTTAGTTCACCATTTGTAGCTTTTTTTTAGCGAAACATGCAATCAACTCTCTTAACAGAACCCGCAGTTGGGCAAGGGCTGGGCATCTAAATTGAATCGAAGATAAAGGTATCAATAAGTCACTAAAACAACTGCAGTTTCACTAATGGAAGAATGACCTTAGATTCACAGAAATAATAGTATATGCCATTTGGCCCATTGAACCTAAATTGGTGCAAGCTCATCCACTGGAGCTAATTATTTAAATTCTAATTCCCTGCTCTGTCCCATCTCTCTCTCTCCATCCATCTTGGCTGTGACAGAAATGACTGTGTTTATTGTCTTAAACACAGTCATTTCAAATGGAATTCCCTTATAAAGGGATCTGAGTGGCCACTGCTTCAGGTAATCGCAAGACTCTTGGGAATTCCAGGAAAGCACATCATTCTGGAGGGAGTTTCCACAAGAGAATGTGAGGTATTTCCAGCTTCTTTAATTAAAGAAATTGACACGTCTTAGACCCCATCTTTCTCTCCACCCCCCCGGCTCAATTTCTGGTCTAATGTGATGCTTGATGCATCAGTCAAATGATACAGGCGCATTTTTACCATCAGCGAAGCAAAGCGAAGTGCTTTGAGACTTGAAGACATGATAAGCTCTATATCAAATGGAAGGATTATTATTGTTATTATCACTTTTAGGGAACTGCTTCAATTCTTAGATAATCTTACATTGAAAATTTGTCAAAGTTAATCTTTTCTTCTTAACTAAATAGCAAATAAAATTAAATCTGCAAAATATTCCTTCCTTGAGATAGATTTAAAGATCATTCTCTACAAAGGGAAACTAATAAAGAGGATGATTATATAAATAAATACTTACCCTGATAACCTGGAAGTCCATCTCTTCCACGTGGACCCATTTGACCCATAAAGCCTGTGGGACCAGGGTTACCTTTGATTCCAAAGCTGCCCTTCTCTCCCTGAGGTCCTGGTATATCTAGACCTGGGAAGCCAGGGTCACCTTTCTCTCCTGGTTGGCCTGAAAATCCTATAGAAATCAAAGAACAACTTTTTTTAAAAAAAATTAAAAGCATTTTTCAAAATGAAAAAACAATACTTTTTCCTTTGGATTTTTTTACAAAACAACTTGTAAACCTGCACCACAGTCTTCCTGATGACAAATGGCATTAATATTTCCATTGACAGCCAGTGTAGAAGTGTATTTAGACATTTACCGCAATGACATTTAGACATGACTGTGTCCACTGATTTGCTGTGATTATAGTCATGCAACAATGAAAGGGCTTTGCAGTGCACTTCAACCTATGGTAACGTATATGCTGTTCTTGTTGTTGTAATGTAGCATAGAAACACAGAAAAAATGAAGCGCTCTCTGCAGTGTGCAGTATGTGGAACAGTTGTGAACATACCTGGAGGGCCTATGGCACCTTGGGGGCCTGGCTTTCCAGGTGGTCCTTGGACACCAATTCCTGCAGAGCCAGGAGGACCTGGAGGCCCATGTGTGCCCTGGAGACCAACATCACCTAAAAGGATATTAGATTTTCTGAGTATATTTGAAATGAGTCTCCAAAATTGGTACTTTAAAATGTCTCCACTCCACTACTGATAATGACAAGAGTTATAGGAAATTGGAAGTGAAAAATGCTATGTTTCATAACAAGCAGATAATTATCACATTGAACCAGTTATGAAACATCACATTCTTCAGTCCAAACATTTTTATGAAAAAACGAAATTCAAAATGAAATGCTTCACACCAGATCATGCAACAGATTTTAGATTTCAAGTCAGATAAGTAGCTTCTTAAAATTTATAATGCAAATTTTAAACAATATAGCTGGGTTTTCCATTAAAGTTGGGTATTTTACCTTTAATGCCTGGAAAACCAGGCAAGCCTGGTTGACCTGACTCTCCAGGAATCCCAGGGAGTCCCACATCTCCTTTCGTTCCTGGCATTCCATCAAAGCCAAGTGGCCCTGGTAGTCCTTTCGGGCCTGGAAGACCAAATCCTGGATCTCCCTGTAGTAAGGGTTAAGTCAATGAGTCACCAAGAATTAATACTGATAGAGAAAACTGAAACCAATGTTGTGTGGTTATGAACGTTTAGGAATAGTGTCTAATCATGGGAATACTCACCTTATGCCCTTTTAGACCCTGTTGACCTGGGAAACCATCATTTCCCGGAGGTCCTGCCCCTCCAGGTGAACCTGGAACTCCGGGCATTCCACTTATACCTATAGGGAAGAAAGAGTGGAAATTAATGGAGTAAAATTCAACTATTATCAGTGCAACCACTTCACAAATGGAAAATAAAACTGTGTCGAAGACACAAAAAAGTATGTCTGTACACAGCAAACCATCCCCCTTTAAGAGTGCTGATATACTTCATTTTGTCATTACATTGACGCAATAAAAACCTCCATCACAAGATAAACCCAATATTGTCTACAAATGTCTAATTCAGAAAAAGCTGAAAATGCATTTAAAAAAACGCTGCTGCCACTCCGAGATCCAACCCCGCCTGAAGAGTACTACAGAAATGCAAGTTGTTACTAAATTTGTTGGTAACCAAATGTTAGAAATTTACCAATATTTTGAGAATTCCAATCACAATTAGCTCTATATTCTATATGAAAGCTCTGTGCTAGTTGTGCACAAACAAATTACCTTTGGGACCAGTTGAGCCTTGAATTCCTATTCCTGGTGGGCCCGAGTCACCTTTGTGTCCTTGAGCACCTGATTCACCATATATACCTGGAAAACCTGCATCACCTATAGGGGTGGGTGTGACATATTTACTTCAGCCAAACAGGGTGGGCTAATCAGGCAATAACATTAAGTATGATATTTTCTTTTTTTACTAATATATCTTGTCATTACATGACAGCATTAAAAATTACTGCAATAAAATATAACTTTATAATGATGAGCTTACCTTGACTACCTGGTTCACCTGGAAATCCCTGTATTCCAGGTGGGCCTGGCAAGCCTGGTTTACTTACAGTTGTGCCTGGTTCACCTTTAAGACCTGTTGGAAGGTTGCAGTCAATGAATGTTTTAGTTTCACATAATGTTTACAACCACAACAATTTATATTTATATAGCGATTTCATGTTGGGAGGTTGTCTCAATGCACTTTACATTGCTGACTGGAAGCCCAAGGTGTGAGAAATTACTTTCACTGGTCAGTGAGACAGTGCTAGAGGGCATTAAATTAAGATAGAAGTGAATAAGCAAATTTGAAAAGGTGGATCATTTTTTTCCACACACAGTTGTTAGAATATGCAATGCCTTGCCAGCAGCTATGGTTGAGGCAGAATCCATATTATCTTCAAAAGGGAACGAGAGAAATATCTATAAAGAAGTAAACTATGGGGGTATGGAGAAAGGGTGAGTAAGTGGAGTTGAAAAGATTGTTCTTGAAAGAGCCACGGAGACACAATGGGACAAATGGCCTCTGTGCTTTCTATGGTTCCATCTTTCACATTTTAGATTGTTATCTTTAATTTCTCATCTCATTTATTGTATTTTCTTTCTCTTTCCATCTTTTTACTTGTTCCTTTCTAAAAATCACTTTTCTTGTCCTTTGCTTTAAACAAATCTTCCAATATTTTCTGTTTGAGATTTTGTGAATTTTAAACTTACGTCTTCAAGCTCCATCCTCACAGTCAGTCAATTTGTTCACATCTATATCATGTGTGACTTTCAGCATTTTAAAGACCAAGAGCAACCACCCACCTCCCCTTATTCTTCTGCCAAAACAAGATCAGTTCTGTAATCCTCTCTTCATAAACCCAGATTTGTTCTCGTCATTAATAATAATCCTTGCATTTGATATATCTTATCACCTTATCACATCGTTGACATGTCTCAAAGCACTTCACAGAACATACCTTAAACTGAATTGACTGCATATTTTGTGGCTGAAACCCAGCAACCAATTGGGAACAGCAATATCTCACAAACAGTCATGGATTGAGTGACCAATTCTTTTTCTAATTTGTGAATGATTTATCACCCCGGAAAAACATTTCATCCTGCCAGGAATCGAACCCAGGTCTCTCGATTGCAAGGCAAGTGCTCTAACCACTGAACTACAAGGACTCCACAATTATTGTTTGATCCATTATTCATTTTCCCACACTTTTTTTTAAGTATACAAATGACTCTAGTGCTCAATTACTACAGTGAGAATGTTAGGTCTGAGCTTACCTGGTGTTCCAGGGACACCCGGTTGACCTGAAGTTCCCCTTTCGCCCTTTTCACCTGAAAGCCCTGGTTCACCAATTCCTGGCTGCCCTGGAGCACCCATGTCTCCTGGCAGCCCAGCTAAGCCTGGAATTCCTGGGAAACCCTTATCCCCTTTGAAAGCAATAGTGGCCTAAACAGATAGAAATGACAATGAACCCAGGGTACCACCAAAGATGTGTAGAAGCAAATTATTCATTATAATAGCTACCTTTAGTCCATCTTGGGTTACATTCATAATGTTGTCTCCTTGGCCAGTTGAAACAATTGAGCATAATACCCTTACATACGACACTTTTGTTATTTATATACAGAATTTGTGACTGAATGAAGATTTATAGAATCTGTATTATCAATAAGGATAGAAATTCATGGGCATAACCTACATGAATGGACTTTTCAATTAAATCTTAATAACTGTCTTAAGTGATGCTGACAAACCACAATGGGTTGAATTTTTAAAAATGACAATACAATTTACATTTATATACTGTATCACCTTTCCTGTTCGGGCGCACGTGGTGGGAGCCGGGGGAGGTGAGAGGGGAAAGACCACCAAAAGCATGAGAGGCTAGGATGATACAGAGCCAATTTCTGGTAAAAGTGTCTTTGTATAAGTGCGACATTGAATTCAATGCTCCACGTCAGCATTTCTGAGATTTCATATAGATTGTACTGTGATCTAATTAATGTTCGTGGGGACAGATACAGATTAAGAAAGGCATGTTATTTGTGCACATGTGGGTCTCAAACTGTTTGACAACTGGTCTTATGAAGTTAAGTTTGAGAAACGACTGCACAGAATACTTACTGGTTCACCTTTCAACCCTTGAAGACCTGGCAACCCATCCTTTCCGGGTATTCCATCCAGCCCAGAAACACCTGGTCTGCCTGAAAAACCTGGGTCTCCTTTATCTCCTTTTAGTCCAGGGGAAAACTGGAAATCACCTGGTTCACCCTTTGATCCAGGATAACCCAAAGGACCTGGTACCCCTTGAGCTCCCTAAAAAAAAGACTCTGTTATAACTTATCATTGAAATACATTTTATAATATCACTGCCAGTATCATTAAACTACGCAGTAAGTTTCATACCTTTTAACATTTGGCAGAAGTAAGTGATGCTTTCAGGTCTTGATATATCTAAACTCTAAAGAATTATACACTTTGGGGTTTAATTTATGATATTTCATAACAGGACTGCTGAATAAAAACAATAAGGAATCAGGTTAGAATTCCAATCAACCTACATGAATCCTCCTCTGGATATAGATTGGGTCAGAACAGAACTCCAGTGGGTCGGCATGATGCACCTCTACTTGCTGGAAAGAATCTACATTTGCATGAATCAAGATTTCTTTTTAAGATTTCTTAATCATTTCTTATTAAGAAATCTTGCTAAGTAATACTCCAACTTAGACCCGTGGCATGTTGAACAAAATTTTAAATTGAATAAAATTGTTGAAATGTGCTGAGATTCCAATCTTAGCTCCACTGTGACAAAATTGAACAACGTATAGAGATGATAATAGGGAAAATTTTATGTGACACCTTATCGTGTCGTTGAGACATCTCAAAGCGCTTCACAGGATAATACTGGAAAGTGTATTGACTGTGCATTTTGTGGGGCCAATGTGGCAGCTAATTTGCACACAGCAATCCCATAAACGGACATAAATAGTCATGAAGTGTTTTTTTCTGGGGTTTGTCAGCCAGGACCCCGAGATCACCTCCAGAACAGAAGGTTTACTTGCTCCGGTACAAACAGCTGATCCAACTTGTAGTTGGATCTTGCGGGATCCAGAGTCAGGAAAACTGTCCTATATTACTGTGGTTCAATCAGAGACAAAACAGTAATGCAAAAGTGTCGTGGGATAGTCTGGAATATTCTGCATCAAAAGATCGTTTTTATTTCTAGAAACCAGTTGAGGTTAAAACAATAGTAGTTTCTGTGTTGCTGCAAATTAAAACAAGGACAACTCACAGGCTGGCCTTCAATACCAGGTCTTCCTGGTGGACCATAGTCACCCTTGATACCTGGAGCCCCATCCTCACCTGGGAAAATAGAGTGTTTCAGAATATTAGCAAAAACTATTCCACTTTTCTTTCATTGATTATGTTAATACATTATTCTCCTTGCACAGTTTACACTTCAAATGAAAATGAATTTTGTTTAGGGAATTTTAAGTATGAAACACTAGGACATTGACAGACAGAATATTTTTCAAACAGAATATTCCCATCTGTGCAAGTATTAAAAACTAGCATAACCCTAAGAAATATCTTGGCTTGCAAAGGCTTTCTCAGCCTATAAATTCTGCCTCTTTGGGTTCATTAGCTTAAGAAAGTAATGGATCAGTCAGCCCAGGGTTTTTAAAATAGATTTGAGCACTCCCATAATTCAGAATTTGGGGAGTAGAAGAGTTGGTGGGAAGTTATGTTAAACCATGTTTTAATACTTTTCCTTAAATAAGGAATGAGAACGAGTTTCAGAATATTTTGATTCCCAATCTTCTCCAAGAATTTTCAGTTTTTTCTTAATCTCTTGTAGAATTTTTTTGGAAAAGGCAACAGCTGATATGGTAGGAATTGGCAGATGATATGGGATAAAACCTTGAACTGCATCTAATGTATGCTGAAGCAAATGACTTTGGTTAGTAACTCACCCGATCGTCCTGGTGGACCTTGTGGACCAGCTGGCCCAGGTGACAATGCAAATTCACAGTGGAAACACGTATCGCCTTTGCTGCCTATAACAAAGCAGCACATCAGAAAGTAGGTAAGGAAATTATGTCTCAGTTGTACAGAGCCTTGGTCAGAATCTATCTGGAGTACTGGGTCCATGAGTACCACACATCAGAAAAGTGAAATTTTAACCAAGCCTAGATAAGTACAAATCTATGTGCATTCCCGAGCACATTCCTTGTGTTAATTAAAACAAGAAGTGAGGTTAGGCCTGCAATTGTTACCCCTTAATCTAGTCAATTAGTTCTAATCAGTTAGTCAAGATCAGAGAGAGAGGTACTCGATCATTAACTGATATCAGATTTTAGATGCCGTCATCCGTACCATGATGTGTTGATATTGCTAAAGCTGAGACAAAAACCACAATCACCTTTCTGTCCTGCTTCTCCTTGTAGCCCTGGGGATCCTTGAGGCCCTGGAAGTCCAGTCAAATCTTTGCAGTCCTCAACAAGCACTGAAACAATCATAAAAAAAATCAATAAAAATAAAGAAAGTAAAAGATTTTCAACAGACTGAACCACCACAGTAATAAAACATCAAAGCCAATAACAACAACGACAAACAACAAATGAAATTTATAAAGTGCCTTGCATGTCAGGAGGATGTCCCAAGGCACTGACAATCAAACATTTACACCCAAGCTGGGGTTGCAATCAGGAGGGGTGGAGGGCAAGGGGGTTGGTGGTAGGAAGATGACAGAAGGTATGGTCAAAGAGGAAGTTCTTGAGACAACCTTGAAGGAGGCAAGGAAAGGGACGAAGTGAAGGGTTTCCAGGATGGAGTTCCAAAGGGTGAGGGCAGAGAGGTTGAAGGCCTGACAGCCAATGGTGTAGCGGGATGGGTGGGGGGCGTAGAGCAGGCCTCTGAGCAGAGGGAGCAAACGGGTTTGAAAGATTTGATGCACAGTGGTAAGAAGGGCTTTAAAAGTGAGGATGAGGATTTTAAACTCAATCCTCTGGGGGATGGGGAGCCAGTGAAGCCAGCAAAGATGATGTGGGAGAGGAAACGAGGTACAGTGTTTTGAATAATCTGAAGTTTGTGGAGGGAAGAATTAGGAAGTCTAGCAAGTGGGAATTAGCAGTCAAGTGTGAATGTGGTGAAAACATGGATGAGAGTCTTGGTGGCTTGACCATAGAGATAGTGGTGGAGGTGGGCAATGTTGTGGAGGTGGGCAATGTTGTGGAGGTGGGGAGCCTGAATGGGTCAAGGCATGTATGCAGAGTTTAAAGGAGAGTTGAGGGGCAAACAAGACACCAAGCTTCTGTATTGGTTCAGTGAGGCAGAGAGTGCATCCATGAATAGTGATGCTGTCAGGCATTGATAGAAACCAAGCTGGAGGGCCTCCGTCTTGTCCACAGAAATACCTCAAAATAACACCAGAACTGCCTGCCCCTATTTACTTTCCTCTACCTGATATAGGGTCTTTCCCAGGTCAAATGAAAGGTCATATCTGAGCCATTAACCTCTCTCTTTCCTTAGATGATTGACTTACTGTGGATTTTCAACATTTTTTGTTGTTAACCACACAGATATCTGGTTCTTCATATAAAAAATGTTTTTAAGGGGGAGGCATTGCTTTCTTTTCAAATGTGATTTTTTCCCTCAATTTCTGTCCTCTTCCAAAGGCATCCAAGTCACTCTGTGAAGATTGAGACTCCATGGATAGCGATTGTCCTCTGGTTCCTCACAAGGCATTTGTGTTTGATCATTTACAGTGAGTGTTAGCAGAAGGTAATAGTCGAGGCCCTCTCCTATCTTCACTTGACAATTACACATCCTCATTGTCCATCTATTGGTTGAACCCAAAGATTTCAGCAAGATCTCAATTGCAATATGCAAGCATGGAAAGCTACCATATAATACAACTTACATTTACGGTATATAGTGGCTTCACGTCGACAGGGGGCCTCAAAAGTGCTTCATCTTTCACCTCTTAAATTCTAAGCACAAGCTTAAAAATTTAGACTGGACGTACAGTATGGCGGCTGGTTAGTAATTTTGTCACATTACCTTGCAATCCTGGGGGGCCTGGACGTCCAGCTGGGCCTGGCGAACCATCCCTTCCTGGGGAACCTGACAGAGACAATCCTGGAATACCTTGCTCGCCTTTCTGACCTTGTTCACCAGAGAATCCGGGAAGACCTTTTTCTCCTCGCAGGGATAAACCTAAAGATTAAATTAAAAAATAGCTTTAGAGCACTTACAAAAAAAGAGATTTGATAAAATGGTGAATTAATGATGGCATTGTGCTATAGTAACTTTTACCCAGTTACACACTAGACACTAGATACTAATCTAGGAGGGAGAGTAAACACCGAGGATGACATTAAAATAATGCAACGAGATATAGATAGGCTAGGTGAATGGGCAAATAGGTGGCAGATGAAGTATAATGTAGGGAAGTGTGAAGTCATCCACCTAAGTAACAAAAACAGCAGAGCAGATTATTTTTTAGAAGGGGAGAGACTAGATAGTGTTAGTGTTCAGAGGCACCTGGGTGTCCTTGTACACCAATTACAAAAAGTTAGTTTGCAGGTACACCAAGCAATTAGGAAGGCTAATGGTATGTTAGCAGTTTTTACAAAAGGGTTAGAATATAAGAGTAGGGAAGTTTTGCTGCAACTGTATAGGGCCTCAGTGAGACCACACCTAGAGTGTTGTGTGCTGTTTTGGTCTCCTTATTTAAGAAAGGATGTACTCGCTTTGGGGAGAGGGTACAACGTAGATTCACTAGGTTGTACCTGGGATGAGGGGGATGAGTTATGAGGATAGGTTCAGCAATTTAGGCCTATATTCTCTAGAATATAGAAGAATGAAGGGTGATCTTAAAGAAACCTATAAGATTATAAAGGGGCACGACAGAATAGATTGTAGGAGACTTTTTCCCTGATTGTAGAAACTATAACCAGGGTTCACAATCTTAAAATTAGGGGTAAGCCCTTTCGCACTGAGTTGAGAAAACACTTCTTCACTCAGAGGGTAGTGAATTGATGGAATTCTCTACCCCAAAGGGCTGTAGATGCTCAGTCCTTGAACATATTCAAGACTGAGATTGATAGATTTCTTGTGGATAAAGGGATTAAGGGATATCGGGATAAGGCGGGTAGGTAGTGTTAGAATAGATCAGCCATGATCTTATTGAATGCCGGGGCAGGTTCGAGGGGCCAAATGGCTTACTCCTGCTCCTAATGCTTATGTTCTTATGTACTCAAACATATGGGATACAAAACTCCTGTAGAACAGAGTAATCAAGGTTCATCTGTGTTTTTAGCCACTTCCCCTCCCCACCAACTTTCTGTCCCCAGCTCAGGCGTCTAGTTAGTGAAGAGCTTTCAGATGTCCTCCCGACGTAAAAGGTGCTTTAAAAATGTAAACTGTTGCTGTTGTTGTTATAGGAGTAAAATACTAGAGTGTTACACAGTTGAGGCTTTCATGTAGTATTATAAACTGTTGCGTTATGTTGTAGGTCAATGTACAATCATTCTTTTCATTGTGGGTTAATGCTGTAATTGAGGGCACTTAGAATTCTCTTTTTACACATACCTTTACACATGTGTAACACATAGTGCAAATTAGACTCCGATAAGTGAATCATGAATGGTTGGTACTTAAAGCATGCCTATAAAACTGAATAAAAGTTACATTGTCTTATTGTCGTCACTTTAATCTGTAAAGTTTTAACACAAATTTCCACTTCTTACCTGGAGAACCTGGTAGACCTGCAAGTCCTGGAGGGCCTGGAAAAAAGAATTGTTTCACTCATCATGGTTGTTATTTAGTAAATCTGGATTTACTATAATATCTTACATATTAATACAGTTTTCAATAACACTGTACGGAGGATCAATTGCACTTACCAGTGGGTCCTGTATCACCTTTCTGTCCAGGTGTACCTGGGAGACCCATGTCACCTTTGACGCCGTAAAGAACATTTCCGTGTATATCAATAATCTGAAAGAGAAAATATCATTTTTATAGAAATAAACAAAATAAAGCTAAAAAAAATTATAGATCGCAGCATCAAACCAAAAGATGTTTGATCAAGGTCTCAGTGATTGATATTGGCAGACTTGAAGATTTCTCCAACGTCAAAGTCACCACCAAGCTGAATTCAACCACACTGTTAACAACAAAGAAATCAAACTCTAATTTGTAATAATGCGTATTAACTGCTTTCCTCATCAGAATAGTTTTATGGAGAGAAATGGTGCTAGTTATTATATCTCCAAATACAATTCAACTGAATTTTTTCATAAAGTATTTAGATTTTAGATTATTTCCTGCAAAAGAAGTCCAAACCATTCAGAAATCATAAACTTCTCATGGTTATTACCAATTTTAATTACCACAGCCCGATTTTTAAAAATTATTGTACTTACAAGACCAGGAGGACCAGCAATCCCCGTTTCACCCTTATCTCCCTAAGGAAAGAATAAAGGAGCATTATTCCAAAAGTATCACAAAATAACAATCAAAGTGAAGTCCACTTTGCAGATATTCCCACAATTAACTCAAAGACAATTTCAGTAAGCAGAGATGTCGTGCACAATGATTGGTGTAGCTATGCACTGCTTCTGCATCACTGTGGAGCTTTGGCAAATAATACGTCAGAAGTATATTTGCGCAACACATATCTACCTGCCGTTTAGGGGAGGGCGTTGCTTTAAACATTTACTCTGATATTAGATTGGAGAAGCAGGTTTCCTTTTCTGTACCTCAGAGAAAGAACATCAGTAATGTTTTAATCTTATTGGGTCAGTTTCTTGGAATGTGCAAAAAACAGGTAGATTTCTCCTCTAGCCCCCGGACCGTTTTGTGCAGCATTCCTCAGGGCTTTGTCCTGAGTCCCCTCCTCTTCAATATCAATATGCTCCCTCTTGGTTACATCATCTGCAGACATGGGGTAAACTTCCACATGTGGATGACACCCAACTCTCTGTCTCCACCCTTGACTCCAGGACCACTGCTGTCCTGACAGAATGTCTGTCAGACATCAAGTGAGAGCTAACTTTCTAAAGTTGAACGTCAACAGCAACAACAACAACTTGCATTTATATAGCGCCCTCCATGCCGGGCGGCGTCTCGGAGTCATTAACAATGGCAGATCCCGAGGCCGAGCCAGGAGGAGGGGGGAGGTGACCATGGGCGCGGTCGAAGAATAAGGTCTTCAAGCATGACCTGAAGATGGGGAAGGAGGGGAAGAGGTGAAGGCGTTGAGGGAGGGATTTCCAAAGTTTCGGGGCCCTCTTGATTGGCTCCCAATAAGACCGAGGCTCCACACCTCAGGCCCTGGCACCATCACCATCCATGGTTGCACACTCCACCTCATTGAGCCAGTCCGGAACCTTAGCATCTTGTTTGACCCTCAACTATCCTTTCTACCCCAAATCCTGATCCTCACCTTCAAAGCCATCCATGGCCTTGCTCCCCACTACCGCTGCGACCTTCTCACCCCCTACCAACCTGCCTGCTCCCTCCCCTCAGCAGGCTCCGGCCTGCTTCACATCCCCCGTCTTACCCGCCTCACCATTGGCTGATGGGCCTTCAGCCACTCTGCCCCCACCCTCCATCCCACAGTCCCTCTACCTTGCCCCCTCCCTCAAGACCCTCCTCTTCGACCATGTCTTCAATCATCTTCTTTTCCCTCCTGCCACCCTTCCCAATCCTGACCCCCAGCTCGGGTCTGAAACACTGATTGGCCAGCGCCTTGTGACATCCTCCTTATTGAAAGGCGCAATACAAATGTAATTTTTCCTTCTTGTTGTAGGTGGCCATAAAAATAAATCGATTAATATAAAATTCTTTACCTTAGCGCCATCGTATCCTGGAATCCCTGGTTCACCTGCATAACCTTGTATACCCTGCAGATTAGATCAAAATAAAATTATTTTTAGTCTCCATTTAGTGTTGATGCAAAACAAAGATCCAATAGCATTCCTTACGGAATTTTCTTTACAAATGTTTTAAGGGCAATCTGTTGAAATCAAAATAACATCGAGTCCAGAAGGTTGCAGATTGAAATGCTGATCTAGGCTGCTTGTGAATCTTAGTTGGACTGCACAAATTGGACTATAATTGATCTCATGTTTGGTTAGGGAGTGAGAAAGTCATTGTGGCTACCCACTCCTGATCATGATCCAGAGATCCTTTGCTTGGTATCAGGTGAGGACAATATTCAGCTTAGTTGTATTGTTTCACGAGTGATTATCCTGCCAATACTCATTGTTAAGGACCACATGTGAACAATAGTCATTTGGAAATTTGCAAATGGTTGTGAAATCATAATGAGTAGAAGAAAAAATGAGTCAAATGTGTTCAGGAGAGGTGAGCGGAGTGTAGGAGAACATTGGAAAGCCAAAACACCCTTGAACAAAATGCATTTGGAAACATACCTTTTTCTGAAAGTATAAAGGAAATTTTGGACATATATTTGAAAAAGAAAAATATAAAAGTGTATCCAGAAAGGACAAAGGAGTTGAACTAAATGGAGAGCCCCATGGGCACAATAAGCCAAGTGGCTTCCTTCTTGTTGTAAAATTCTAGGATCCAGCTCTGACGGGATTTTGTGCTACCCTCAATCTTAACGACCTGAAAAAAAAACTTTCCCATAACCGCCTTACAGCTACGAAAGCAGCTCATCTGCAGTGTAAAGTGAGTGAGCAGCACTCTAGGTGTTGAGTATGTGAGCAAGGTGCATACAGTGCTGTCTCCAAAGCAACATGAACAAGCAATGTTGGCACACATCATCCATAAACTCCTGCTCACATCATTAATAAACTGGTCAGAACTGAGTCAGAGGTGCAGTGTCACGAGCAATGTTTATAGCATTTAACACAGTCAACCAGAATAACCTTTGAGTTAACAGTGGAGGTTTAATAATAATCACAACATTTGTTATGATTGTTAAGCACCTGTACTAAAGAAACATCTTGAAAATAATTGCTGTGAATTGAAATGAGTGTGAAGTGTGTAGGTGAACATTTCAGCCAATTTGTGCCCAGTAATGTTCATAAACAATTATGAAATGAATGATCAAATTATTTATAGGATTATTGGCTAGGATATGGCGTCATACATCTTTAATGTCCATCTGAACAGTCACAGTGTACCTTGGTTTAATTCGAAGGATGACTCCTCCAACAAAACAGCAATCCCCAGCACTTTATTGGAATGTCAGTCTAAACTATGAATCTCAAACCATGATGTGGGTCTTTAACACCCAACCTCTGACCCAGAGGCAATAATACTGCCAACTCATGAAGTAGAGGGGAAAACAGGTAGTTCTCAGGATATGAAAATACTTACCTCGGGACCTTGAAGCCCTGCGTCACCATCTTTACCAGGTTTGCCCTATAAAACAAATAATGATCATGAAAAAACTTGATCTGACTGAAAAAAAAGACAGTTCCCACTGAACATAACTTCTTGAGTACAAGTTATCAAAGACACATGGCTTGGAAATTATATTGAATGAGAATCCATATTATAAACCAATTAAAACTTCTATTTTACATTAGTTTGAAAGAAAGAACCGGTAACATTTTTAGGATGTTGGAAGTGGTCAACAATTATTATTTTTTCCAACTGGTTAGAAAGTCTAATGATTTGGCCAGACTCTGATCACAATCCCTGACCATTCAAACAGTAAATTTGCATCTTTAAAATAGAAACTATGGGCTAGTTTGATGATGTGTACTATGGTAGTTGGGAGAAAAGAGGTAGATAACAGTAGACACAACATCTCTACCATGTGTATGAGGATATAGGGCACTCTACTATGTTCTAACTGAAGTAAAGAAGAGCATACAGAAGATGGCATAATCATTACACAAACTGCATTTCAGCAGATTATTGAGCAATGCACAGCAGCTTCATCACTTCTAAGCAATTACAAATGTTCATAATTTGACTGTCTCAACAAGGTAATAGTGACCCATAAAAGTATTCCCAATTTCTGGAAAGATGTCCCAGTGATGTCTAGAAGATTATCTATATTACTATGTGTGACACATAATGTATGTCCTTCTTACTTGTTGATTGGTTTGACAGGCCTCCTTCCTGTTGGATTAATATAGGACCCAATTTGTGACATGACTGACTGAGCCTTGTCCACACTTCACCGACTGTATGTTTGGTCTACGATCAGAAAGCCACCATGGCATCTGTTGTCCTAGATTGCAGCCTAGCCTAGATCAAATTGAAGCATTCCCATTTACCATCTGTGTTTAGGAACGGATCCAATATCAGTAGTCTTTTACTGGTAGAGGATCTAGTACTCCAACTACACACCGCCCTGATGCATTCCAAAACAATATGCTGTAAGATAGATACAGTTTTAACATTTATGACAATGTAAGCACAAGAGAAATAAACTAGAGTCAATTATGATATTTATATCTTGCTGTTTATTTTTTGTAGATTATATTTGCAAATATATTATTGAATTTGTGTCTCAATGAGGGCCATTTATTCTGTAACATCCTGCCATAAGTATAATGAGACAAAATGCTAATCTTGGAGGGCATGCAAAATTCCTTTGAAGGTCTAGAGATGTAAACCATTCATCTTTGTAAGAGCATGAAAGAAAATGAAAAAAACAAAGGAGGTAAAGTAATAATGGAAATACACAGAAGGTAGCATGCTGATCACTAGAAATCTTACATTGATGCATAAGTTACATTGAACAGGTTATACATGTTCCACTTTACTTACTCGTTTTCCAGATTCACCAGGTTGGCCTTTGTCACCTTTTATTGCTAAACCGGGAAGTCCCTAAAGAAGCACAGAAGGTTATTTGGGGTTAGTAATCTTTCAAATTTAAATGATTTAAATTTTCAAAAAAAAACATTATTTGGGAATTATTTTTGCAGACATGATATTCAGTGTAATTGTAGGTTTAAGACTGTATTATATGTGTTTATAAGCACACAGGGACAAATTTGTTAAATTTAACAAAACCGATGTGAATAAATACTTAGTCCATATACCAGTAATACAAAATCCTAGAAATTAACCAAAATACTATAGTAAAAGCCAAAGAGAAAATTCATGGCATGACACTGAGCATGATCATAGCATGGTGGCTAAAATTAATCTTTTTGTTATGCTTATTTTATAATGGGACTCTATTAACCCACTTAATCTTAACAATATAGTTAAGAGGAAGTCCTGTGCATTTAGAAAATGAAAGTCAAAGGGAATGTCAACTTGCCCCTGTCTCATTATTCTATTTACACACATTGCAGGAAAAGTAGAGAGCAATAGGAGCAGGTCCTCCCCCAACACACACATACACACTTCTATTGATTGGGGAAATAACACAGGATTGTGTGGGGATCCTAAAAGGAGCCAAATAAAGGTACTTTGGACCCATGTAATATCCACTTGATGTTGGCGTAGAATTGACACTGAATTGTTACTATCCCTTTCAGATGTGATTTGATATTTTGTATTGCTTCATGGTATTGTGCAGCAAACTATTTTTAAAAAGGGCATAATAAATAAATGAAATGTAAATTGCAATGAGCTGCGCTCTGCCTGTAGCCATTTCTAACAGCTCTGATCCTTCAGAATCAATTACTAAATGAATTTCTGTGTTCACATTGTGCTACACTACAATGCAACATAAAGCAATATACAGTTCTTGGTTGAAGTGCAAAATAACAATTCAGTGTCATCTTTGAGCCAATATAAAACACACACACACACACATATACCCCACAAAGACGTACACACAAAACCTGGCGGCCAAAGTGCCTTACTTTGGGAGTTTAGATGACCTCCTCATATATATTTAATTGCCAAAGATTTATTTTCTAAGTATTTGTCATGAAGGATCTAAATAATCTACATAAATAAAAAGTACATTTCTGGAAATTTATACAAAAACAAATTTACTATTACTATTATAAGGTAAATTCCCCCATAAATTAGTTTTAAAACGTCTTCTATTGGCGGACAAACCACAATAGTGCAATACAATGGAGCTGCTTCAAGTTACTAACAAACGAAACCGGTTACCTACACAAAAAGTTTGGATAATGAACCTATGAATTTTGACTCACTTAAGTGCAAGGAATAAATCTGTTTACTTACATGAATCCCAGGAACTCCTCTTTGACCAGGTACTCCAGTTTCTCCTTTCTGACCCTGAATAATGAGATAAACAACAATAGAAATTAATCATGTTTTCACTTTGCTGAACAAGAATAGCATTGAACACTGTATTTCATTATTTGAGGATTGAAACATTGGAAGATCTGAGTTCCTATTCCCAACATAATGTATCGCACAGACCTGCACAAATTTCAGAGCTCTTCAACTTGAAATAACACACATACATTTTCCCCTATGCCAAATCACCCACAGGAGGATCCTTCTCAAGACAGAAAGAGTTTTCACTGCTTCACCCAATGATCCCAGATCTGAGATCGTACTTCAAAGTGTGAACAGGATTGACTGGTGCGACAATATCAAATTTCTTCAATTCAAGTAAAAGTTAGATTTGAGTGTTGCTTCCCCAAAGATCTGAAAGCAATTTTCATCACTGGTGTTTACACTCCACATGAGCCTCCACCCCTCCTAATCCCCTCTCCCATACCCCATTATTCCCATTCTCTCATTTCTTTTCTACGGGTGCATTAAATACATATAGTAATTGTAACAAGTGCAAAGGAGAATATTTGCAATAAACTCATCCCACATTACATGAATCTATCTGAGCTTTGCTAGGTCAAAATATGATATGAGCTTAATTATTCTAAAAAATCAAAAACAATATTTCTTTTTTTTAACAAAAAGATTTTCCATTTAAAAAGCAATACAGTTTTCAGAAGTGAACAATGTTACCCCAATGCACCAGCTCATGCAAACCTGCATCTAATACCCCAAAACACACTCTGGGATCCCCAAGCCCTGGCTCTTGCCAACCTGCATCAAGTGCACTCCAGAACTAGGGTAGCAGGCAAACAATCCACATTTAATTCCAATACAAATAAATTTCCATGTATAGGTGGCAAACATGTAATTCTTAGTCTGGGTTCGATACACATTCGATGCATGGTGATGGATGTCTGTATGCATCAGACACCCGGCTAACAAAAAAAAACAGTGAACAAACCCTTTCTCCTTTCTCGACTTTGGTTTCAGGAGAGCCTGAAACTGCCCCAGGTCCTGGCTCACCCGGAGGCCCCTGGACTCCTTGATCCCCCTTTCAAGAGATAAATGATAACTTTAATATTTATTGCTGTACAATTATCTTGGTCTCTGATTCAATACTAAAGTTTCATGAGAAGCAACAGCACTAAAATGTATTAATAATCTATTCGGAAAATTATAATGTACTGTAAAGTGGAGCATGTAATATATATTATGAAGTATATATTATGATATATATATTATGTGGCTTACTAAACAGTTTTTTTTATTAATGTGAACTTGCTTGTAAAGTGACTCTCTATTTGTAATTTATAACCTCACCTTTTTGCCCTTTGGTCCACGGAACTGTAATCCCATGTTTCCCTGTTGATAAAAGATTTAAAAAGCAAATCAGAAAAATATTCTACTACTAACAAAGTAAATAAAAACGCTCTGTGTAAACAAATGTTTACCTTGGGACCAGGAGGCCCGGGGATACCTGGAGAACCCTAGAACAAAGTAAAGCAAATGTTAACCTGACTGGGTCATTGTTATTTATACAAGTAGATTATTTGTTCAATCTGTTGAACCTTTTGTGGCCAGAAAGTACACATATAACTCGTGAAAGAAGTTCTCAAATATAGAAAAAGGCAAAAAACTAAATATGAACCCAGTCCCATCATGGCAACTTCATGTTTCTGAGCCCACCTTTACAGCACAAAGTTATGATCCATACCTTTGATAAGGAATGGCTGACAACAGATCTATTGTAGGCAGAGATGTTAGGAATCATATGAAGAACAGAGCTGTGATAAGTCTATCAACACAAGTGGCTAAATACTTTCTCTAAAGAGTGATGGGACATGGATCTGAGCCAATTCCAATTGCAGGTGCTTTGCAAAGTGAAAGCCACCTGCTTCATGCAGACAGGAAAGATAAAACTAGAGGAAAAGTCATTCCAGATTTCTCTCACACAGTTTCTTGTAGATTATTTCAAAATAATATTGACACAGGTTAGAAGGAGGAATAGAGGCTAGGGTAACATGACCCAGAACAATCAATAGAGAAAATCAGAAAATAATGTAATTGATTAAAAATGAGCAGGGAGGGGAATAAAAAAGGATAAGCCTGTAGCTTCAGTGTTATTGCTGCAAATTATCACTTAGAAAACTGGCCTTGAAACCTACTCTACCAACAGTCATACACTCTTCCTCAGATGGAGAATATGCAAAGTGAGGGGATAAATTCAAAACAAATCTGCTGAAACATTTCTTCAGAGATCAAATGCAAGGATTATTATTATGAATGGAACAGGTTCCCTAGGGAGATGATGGAAGCAGAAAGCATTGCTTCTTTACAGAACAAATGAGATAGATTTCTGTTCAGAAATAATATTTCAGGATAGTTTGGGACATGACGTGTGCATGTGATTGTCAGGATGGTGGAAGGCAAACTGGGTGGACCTTGGTCTTCTTTCGTCTATGTCCTTATGTAACTCATTTGATTAAAAGCCGGGCATCAATGGAATTCATGATCTTCTGGAAACAGGACAATTTTGCAAAAACTACAAGATTCATTCAGGTGATAAAGTGAAATACAAACCTTAGACATTATTTTCTAGTTGAAGAGTAGGATATGATTCTGTTCTCAGAATCAGATTTGTTGACCTAGTTATTTCAAACCACCCTGCCATCAGATCACCCATTTCCAGCTCACCAGTATAGAATTTAACAAGACTATCTCTGACCAAAATTAAAATTGATTTAAAAAAGTTTCTGCAACAGAAAGTGACTTACTGGAACACCAGAAAGGCCGGGGGGACCTACGGGACCCTGGAGACCGGGAATACCTGGTCGACCCTAGATTTTAAAGAAAATAAAACGTTTCAGCATGTTTTGAAAATAAGTGACAAAATTACTTATTAAATATTTTATGTGTTGCTACACAAATCTACTGCTCTCAGGATCATACATACATTACTTCCCGGGTTGCCTGGAAAACCTCGATCCCCTTTTATTCCCGAGAAGTCTCCAAATGAGTCGCCTGGATCACCCTAAGTAAAAGAAATGTGGATCATATATATGTATATCATATAATGACTTGCTTTCTTCAATAATTACAATAATTACATACCAAAAATTGCTTTAAAGAATAATCATGAAGCATTTCTAAACTGTTAGTCTTTTATGTGCAAATTATAATGATATTTTTCAGAAATTCTTATAGTATTATATAATTTTTCTAATGCTTTTTCATGTCTTGCCTTCCTCTGTGCAAACCCAGATCATACAATCCTGTGAGATTTTAAAATCACTATATACAGAAATGTATCCCAGGGGTGCTAGCTTGCCAATTTCCTTGCATGAAAGGCAGTCTAATTAGCCCGTAGCGAGATCACTGTCAGGCTTTCTCTCTTCACTGGGCATTTCCCTTGGCACTTCCTTCATACTACATTTTACCTTGAAGCGCCTCTGATCATTTTACTGTGTGTTTTTCGTAACTGAGAATGATGCTAAATGAGGTTGAGGAAGTAAACCCAGAACAATACAATGATTTTCCAAGGCAGCAGGGCAAGAGATCATAGGGTTCAGACTTGTCAAGGGCAATTCCAGGAGGACAGATACCAGCATTATCTGATTTATTTCTCAGAGATTATGTTCAGATAAGGATGAATCAAAGTGAATGAGAATTCCCTGTGTTCAGAAAAATAACACTACCCAAATGGGAATTACTTGCAAGCGTCTACATGTGTGGGATGTTAAGTCAGTTTGATTTCACACACAATGCCCCAGTAGCTGATTTGTTTTAGATTTTCTTCAGTTTCTGAAGATAATTCAAAAATGGTTTTACCTTCATTCCTTGTAAACCAGGATTTCCCTGTAAAGCAATATTATATATGTGTGAAACTTCATACGCAAACAGTGTACAACAGGACAAACACATTTAATTTATTATTAAACAGCAATTGTCATTTAAAATAATTACTTACCGGAGGGCCTTGAATACCTGTCAACCCTGAAGTACCAATGGGACCGATTTCACCCTGCATCCAAATAAATGGTACAAATTTTAATGACCCATTTTCTATAGGATTATGCAATGAACTGACAATGATTCCTAGGTACAAACACTCCAAAACAAGGGTATTTTGCCACATGACTTGACGGCAAAAAAATCAAATTGTATTTTTATAGAATCTTTCATGCCAGGAGGATGTCCCTAGGAGCTGCCTTAACATAGAGCAGGGTGGCCCAATTGGTGGCTTGCGATCCGCATTTGGCCTGGGGGATGATTTTATTCAGCCTGTGAACCATTCACAACTTCATTGACCGACAAACAAATAGTGGCGATATGCAAGCCCCGAACCAGTCAAGAGACTTAGGTTCTCCTGACATTGCGGTTGACTAATCAGAAGACAGTCACCAGGGGGCTCAGGCTCGACCCGGTAATGGGACGGGCCAATCAGCATAAAATATTGCTTATGGGCCTGTGGATGTTTCTCAAATATAGCATCCAGCTTTCAGCAGCCAAAGGTTAGACCACCCTGAATATTCGTGAGAGTCACATATATAATGCAGCAAAATTGCAAAAGTCAGAATAAAGCATAGAGATGTGGCTCATTGTGTGAAATATGTATTTTCTTGGAGCAGAAGAAAAACAGACCCATAATTATGCTTAGAATTAGAAATACAATGCAAAGGGAAAGAAAGTCCAAAAGTATTCAATTCGGCTTTTTGCTAATAACTTGATTCATACAACATCTTTAACAAAAAAATTAAGTATTTTATAAAATATAACAACTGAAACATGAAGTGAATGGTGTCATAAAGTTAAATGCAGCAGCATATTCTGTGAAGCGCTTTGAGATGTCCAGAAGATGTGAAAAGCGCGATACCAAATGCAAGGATTATTATTATTATTATCTGTGTCAGTAACATCTCATTAACAACAATAATAATCTTTGCATTTTTATACCATGCCTCATGCCACAAGTGGTCTGCTATTACATTGTGGGTCTAATATGAGGCAATTTGTAACAGAATTCATGAACTAAGGAATCAGAGAGGTTTTTGCACACTAAAGTTGAAGCAGATTTGCAAAAAGTAAGGATGTGGCAATGAAACGTTCTGTTATTGCTCGAGGAAAGACAGCAATTCTGAAAAGGTGCAAAAGGTCAAGAAAACAAAGTAGTGTTGAAACATGTTTTTACTGTGATAGTTATAAGAAACCTTGTTGGTATTATAAAAGAGAATTGGATTTTGGCAGGCTAAAGACCAATTTGACACGCAATCTCATCCTTCAGATAAACCTTCTTATCCTCAGTCGCCTGATACCACAAAGGTTGGCATCATAATGTTACCTTCCTCTTGGTCTCTAAAAATAGCTGGAGCTATTTAACATGTTAAACAGCTGTTAACATGCATAACAATTATCCACATAGCTAATACAGTCAAGGAATGAAGAACAATGCTAAAGAAACAAAAAGTAGGATCTTTGCTTCTTTTGGAAAGCACAGAGGGGATCCATGCTCATTATATTTAATGTACTGTTACTCTTAGTCCCAACAAGTGCATTCATAATCATTGGTTTATTGAGGAACTGGAAATGGGATTCATTCACCAGTTTTATATTCAGTTAGAGTCACTAAACAAATGTGTGACTGGTGGTTTTATCATGTCAGCTATTTATTGCCTCTGCAACGCTAATGCACATTAGAAATCACAGATAGATTCAATGAAATGCAAGTTAGCTGCAAAAAGTACCAGAGGGGAAACAGTGAAATAATGGAGGGGTTGTCTTTAGGACAACATTCAGTTCCTGTTACTAGGAAGGAGGAAGAAGAAAATTGAAAACTTCAGAAAGATAATTTTGTTGCAAGATGGAAGTGACATAAATAGCAAATGCAGAGCTAGCAAAATCCACCATGAAATGATTCCTCAGATTATCACAATGGGGTGCAAACGCACTACGTTTCAGAACTGACTCCATATGATAATTACATGTTCACCCGGACATCTCATAGCTCTCAGAACAGTTCTACTTTCTGCATGATAAACAGATTAAAATCATATCAAGGCTGATGATTTACCTTTGTACCGTTGCACCCTGGGATTCCTGGCTCGCCTGGTGGCCCATCTTGACCTGGTAAACCCTATGTGAAGAGAAATCAGAATTGGGTCTCATTGTTCTATAAAGTTGATAATTAAACATGAAGAAATTCAACAGTTCTCTGTTTAATACTTACAGGCAGACCTGGAGTTCCTGAAAATCCTGGCAACCCTGGAGGGCCCTGTTTTGCAAATATTGTAAAAAAAACAAATATTTCATTTTATTAGCATTGTGCCATTAATCTTAGTGAAGTTTGTGACATTTAAAAACCTGGATCTTGTATTAATTATCACAAGGAATGCTTTAGGAAACCGACAAAACTTTACAATAACAACTTGTATATACTCGTCATGTGGGGGGGTATCTTGGACCCTTAACAGTAGTGTAGTGTGACACTGAGCCAGGAATCAGAGGAGCTGATAGTAGGCACAGTTGAAAAGAAATGTTTTCAGGTGCAATCTGAAGATGGGCAAAGAGGGGGCAAGGCAAAGGGATTTGAGGCAGGGAGTTCCAGAGTTTCAGGGCCTGGTAGCTGAAAGCACAGCTGCCAATGTGGTGTGGAGGGGATGTGGGATATGCAGAAGGACTGAGCTGTCTGAGCAAAGGGAGCTCCATAGCACAAATTAAACTTAGTTGTGAAGACACAGATTGCTGTTTTGTGGGTCCCCCTGTCCTCACAATGATGTTCTTTGCACCATAAAGTTATAATACAGAGAAAAACAACTTGGTGAGTCACAAAATTATTCTGAACCTTGCAGACTTTTTCTGAAGCAGAAAGTACCGTTGGTTAATGTCAACACATCTTTCAATTGAGTTCAACTAAGTGCTCATGCCATCTGTGTGAATCATTGCTGAAACGAGACATGGATGAGAATTTAATTCTAAATCCCTTGTTCAGTGATTATCATTATGGTACTCTAAATCTATATTGGCAATAGGCATGTCACGCAACAGTGAGAAGCATCCACATGCACGCCATTCTCTCAATAGATCCTATTAAAACTAATTAGGAGGGAGAGTAAACAACAAGGATGACATTAAAAAAACGCAACGAGATATAGATAAGCTAGGTGAGTGGGCAAATAGGTGGTAGATGAAGTATAATGTAGGGAAGTGTGAAGTTATCCACCTAGGTGACAAAAACAATCAAGCAGATTATTTTTTAGAAGGGGAGAGACTAGATAGTGTTAGCGTTCAGAGGGACTTGGGTGTCCTTGTACACCAATCACAAAAAATTAGTTTGCAGGTACAGCAAGCAATTAGGAAGGCTAACAGTATGTTGCCATTTGTTACAAAAGGGTTAGAATATAAGAGTAGGGAAGTCTTGCTGCAACTGTATAGGGCCCCTGTGAGTCCACACCTAGAGTATTGTGTGCAGTTTTGGTCTCCTTATTTAAGAAAGGATGTACTCGCCTTGGAGAGGGTACAACGTAGATTCACTAGGTTGGTACCTGGGATGAGGGGGATGAGTTATAAGGATAGGTTCAGCAATTTAGGCCTATATTCTCTAGAATATAGAAGAATGAGGGGTGATCTTATAGAAACCTACACGACAGAATAGATAGTGGGAGACTTTTTCCCCTGGTTGGAGAAACTATAACCAGGGGTCACAGTCTTAAAATTAGAGGTAAGCCTTTTTGCACTGAGTTGAGGAAAAACTTCTTCACTCAGAGGGTAGTGAATTTATGGAATTCTCTACCCCAAAGGGCTGTAGATGCTCAGCCCTTGAACATATTCAAGACTGAGATTGATAGATTTCTTGTGGATAAAGGGATTAAGGGATATGGAGATAAGGCGGGTAGGTGGAGTTTGAATAGATCAGCCATGATCTTATTGAATGGCAGGGCAGGCTCGAGGGGTCGAATGGCCTACTCCTGCTCCTAATTCTTATGTTCTTTTGTGCTAACACATTAATTCACTGATCCTATTAAAACTAACACATTAATTTCATTATTCTACCCCTTCATTTATTGTGAGTTCCAGTCCAGGCACTAATTAACGTGTTATTGAACATTTGCATTCTTGAAGCAACAGAAGCTTCCTGACCAGCTTTACCCTAAACCTAACCTTAATGTACATCTGACATAGACCAAATATTGTCACCAAGGAGGTTACAGTAATACATACTCGGATTCCCTTTGATCCCGATGGTCCTGATTCACCAAAATCCCCCTAGAACATGAAAGATGTTTGTTACCAAATAGTACGAATCACTGTTTTTTTTTAAAAAAAAACTTCTAGATAACCAACCAAGACTCACCTTGGGTCCCACCAAACCTGGGGGTCCTTCGACTCCTGGGAATCCCGGCATTCCCATAGGACCTGTGAAACCAGGCAAGCCCCTTAAACCCTGGGGGAAAAATCCACAATTACTACATTAACAAAGGACAATGCAAATCACTTGGTGCATCGGTAGTGTTAAGGAATGCATGCTATAAACTTGAAAATTATATATAATCACATGATCAATTAATCATATTCAATCAGAATTAAATCAAATATTCCTAAAACTGTATCTTAGTGAAACTGGTCACCAGGTCCATGTATAGATAATGATATAATGGGTCTAGATTTACTCTAATGATCTAACATTCCAGATAGTCTAGATTTTGGCAGATTGTTGAATTCAATGTTACATTTGAAATTGTTTTTCTGTAGTTCTTAAAAGAAATTACAAAATCTGGCTTCAAAGTTGAGACTCCATTTAAGAATTTTCTAAATTCTGGATGCTCTGAAATTCTAAGTCACGTGAGTGAAACAAGACCCAGGAGGAATTTCTATCTCATGTAATATTACATTATAATTTCCAAATTCCAATACATTTCCGGACGTGTTTGCTTTTTAAAGTCTTTGTTGACAGAAATGTACGAATTTAGAAATATTAATAGAAATTGACTTATTCTCCATCCCTCACAGTACAGAAGAGGAGACATGGAAGCCACAAATGAACACAACAAACAGCTGGAAACCATTGGTAATTGACCATAAGGAACTGTTGCCACTGAGTGCATTGTTGCATCTGGCAATCAGGACTCTAGAGGAAATCTAGTTTAAATCTTCTCTCTGTGGATCCAATTAAATGTTGCAGAGGAAGGCGTGAGAGAATAAAATGCAGTTCAAAATAATGCCACTGGACCTTTATTCGTCCAATTAAACAGGCGGGGGGAGGAAATTTAGTTTAAGCATAGCATTTCCGAGAACACAGCACTCCCTCTCAGCCCGTACTGGAGTGTTTGTTTGAACTGAAGTGCATTGCGCTACAGAACTCTGAGAATGATCCTTTGGTGTAGTACTGGTGTGAGACCATGATAGTAAAGCTTCGTAGCTCTCACTGATACCCAGTCATATCAGGCTAGTATGGTAGCACCCTCACCCCCCTACCCACCCCCACACACTCCAATTCTATTGGCTATTAGAATATGGGATGAAACTATAATGGTTACAGGCAGGAAGGACATTCCGGTGTTGAAGGGGCGTGGAACAATGTGATAGTGACAGGGGGAGACTTTGATGGTAGTAGGGAGGAAACTGGGGTAGTCGCGGAAGGGGTGGGGATGGATGCTGGAATTCTGTTTGACTGTGATGATGTTTGAGCTCGTGCCTGAGTTTTTCAAACCTTCAATCTGAGTATTTATAGCCGTGGCTTCTTTGAATGCCTTTAGGATGCCCACTCGTTGCGTCTGTGATCCTTTAAAACTTTGTTTATTGATTTGTCATGAATCTGAACTCCAAACTGTTTTATTGATTTTCCAAGGAAATACTCACAATGTTAATCACATTCCTGCAGGATTTTGTAACCGCTGAACAAATGTTTCCACGTCAAGAATCAAGCAAATCTATTTGCAAACATTGTCGACAGCCTCTGGTTAAGAATAATTGATTCTTCGCATCCACTGGATTCCATCTTATATTTAGAGTTTTCAGATAATGTAATCTCAAGTTTTTCACCAATTTACTGTCAAGTCATTATTCAAGTATGGTAAATATTACATTTTCTGCAGCTTCCCATTTTTCTTGCACATGACTTGTTTAACAAAGTGAGCTAATTTGCAGGGAATTTAGCTCTTGAAAACCCCCTTCTTAATACAACATCAGATTCTTCAATAATGCAGTATTTGTACTTTGGATTGGATTCCCTGGGTCAGCAAATACACATCGAGTGACTCCTGCAGGTGCCTGGACGTATGCCACTCCATTTCAACACCATCTCTTTTCAGGGGCCAAACACCGTATTTTAATCCCCCATAGATAGAAGATGTGACATTAGTTTATTAAATACTACAGCAATGGGACAGCTGCCTTGTTTAGACCAGTGCAATGGCTTTACCAGTCTGTATTTCAGACTGGTCGAAGATGGTGAATCACTTCACATTTCCTTACATTAAATTTGTAATTTAGATGCTACTTATCTATCTGGCCATTCTGCTAGCCTATTTTTGTGCTCCTCTATCTTATTGCAATTGTCTTCATTATTTATCACACCCCACACATTAATAAGAGTGTTAAGGTAGTGTTTTTTCTAACACAGATATAATTTTTATTATGGAGTGTAATTTCCCAAACTGATCTGGTAAGGCTCCGTTCAGAGATGTGCTTATTGAAATAAGATGCGTGCACTGGTTTATACATGAAATTGCAGACTTTCATAAATACATTTATTTCACTGCTGCTGTACTTAAAACTGACAGTACTGAAGTTTGGGAATAGCTTTAATATTTGTACTACTCAGTACTAATGTATTAAATTTTGGTTTATTTTGAAGCACAATTTTTATACATTTCAGCAACCACACTTACAATTGGTAGTACATTTGCTGAAATGTTTACTGTTACGAGATAATGGAGGATATTGAAGCTTTGCTGTGAGATAATTACACTAGAAGTTTATAAATTGTTAAGGCATCTGTCTAACGGAGCAATTCTTGCATATTTGTTTTGTTATATTTTGCACTTACCTTCTCTCCTTTCACTCCACTGCAGTCACATTGTGAGCTCACTTTACACCCATGGCAGGCCTGAAGGGGGAAAAAGCAGAGTTTTAGGAGACTGACAGACAGACATTAACAACAATGTATGATGGGGAATAATTGACTTGCAAACCATACATATGTCTTTTGAGTGGTCCCACATTCACGATGCATATTCTGTGCCATTTTATTCAATGTGTCAAAGTTTTTTTTCCTGTTTTGGTAGTTGTTGACTTTTGTGAGAGGTTGAGATGCGACAATGTAGTTTGCTGGTTTTACTCAGTGGTAGATTAATAGGTCTGCTTGATCCTGGAATTTGCAAATGGGCCAGAAGAAGCCTCTCCGCTCCATCAACAGAAGCTCAGATCCATAAAGAAGGACTGTTTACACACAGGTCTTATATGCACAAGATCTCTATTGGGATCTTGCTGTCCTTGAAGAGAGATAAGCAACCAGAGTGGCCTTTGCCCCTTCTCTGTGCAGTCCTTCAGGACAGTGTCCAAACAAACGTTGATATCCACTACAACCCCCAAATACCGATAAGAATTGGGAATGATGTCTTTTGTAGCTTCCAATCAATATCCTCAATATATTTTCTTGAGCCATGAAGAACCAGGATTCTGCAATTGGGGCACCCACCATTATGTCCTACCGCACACTCTGGGGTCCTCCAGCAGTACCCCAACACACATTCTGGGGTCTTCCAGCAGTATGCCACTGCACACTCTGAAGTCCCCAAGCCTTGGCTCTTGCTAACCTGTCCCTAATACTTTCTGATATTAGGTAAGCATCCCTCCAGGGAGCAAGGGCACATTCCATTCCAATGAACATCTATGAAATTTCCATGTGTAGGTGGGATGCATGGAATTCTGTTTGGTTTGGATAATCTTAACCATGGTGCGGGATTTCTGCACATGCCAGACACTCACCTGACCCCCCAAAAATTAATAAGGCAGCATTAAGTTTCCCTGGTGCCCTATCTAGGGAGTGAGGGGGAGAAAGCTGCGTTGCACCCTCTGGTAATGAGCATACAACAAACAACAGCAGCAAGTTGCATTTATACAGAGCCTTTCACATAGGAAGGACGTCCCAAAGTGCGTACAATAAGTCCTACTGTCTTAAGCATTTTGTGGAAGTTCTTTCCCACTTATGCAATAACCCTGTTCAATTCAAACCGTGGTGATCCTCAATTTTAGACTCTGCACCACATAATGCAAAGCCTACATTTCTGATGACTTCATTGCTATTTTTACCATTATTACACTGCTGTGTTTGTGTCTGAAAGATGTCTGATGCTAACCCCAATCAGTGCCAACACAATCCGAGCTGTTGTTCCTTCTAACAGGCTCTAACTCACTACAAACACTGTGGTATGACCTGTGAGCCTATTTATTACAAATGCCCAACTGTTATAATGAAGTTGTTCTCATTAGAGAATAAATTTATTGAATTCCTGCCATGAACGAGGACTCAGTTCATTTCAATGGGATCTTTGTGATAACCTGCGGGGGAGTGAAATACTACTTGCCTTTCTTAAGAAGACATTGTCAAAGTTGCTACATTTATTGTTGAGGAATTTGGCTATTGGTTTATTATAATCTAGTTTAAGAAGTTGTTAGAATACATTCTCTGTCCTTCACTATACAATTCCCTTCCCCTCCCTCCGTATCTAGGTGTAGGTGTAAGTTGTTGCGTCTCTCACACCATTCCTTAGATGAGAGACAGAGAAATACTTAATATCAGTTGGCACTAAACTAGTAACACTTGGCAATAGTTTCACCTCTGGACTAGCAGATTGTGTTTCAAGTCCCTGAGCTCATAGTCTTGGCTGACATGGTGGGAAGGGGGGCACTACCTTGTCGGAGGTGCCATCTTTCAGATGATATTATAATAGAGGCGCCATTTACCTTTTCAGATGAATCAATCAAAACATTCAAAAGGGAACTCGAGAAGCACTTGAGCAATAATAATGTTAATAATAATAATCCTTGCTTTTGCTATAATGCCTTATTACATGGTTGAGACATCTCAAAAGCTTCACAGGATATACTGTAAAGTGGTGCGATTGTGAATTTTGTGGGCGAAACATAAAATATTAAGGGGAAGGAGCCAGAAATTTGGATAAATAATAAAATTATAACACTACAGTAATACTGTGCCTCCCCCCCACCCCCAGAAACCGAGAAGCACCTAAGCCAAACTAGCATCCTAACCGCTCCCTGACTCGGGTCAGCTAATTTCCAATGTGATCTGCTAAGAATGGCTTTGTGCTCGTTAATAACAAAAACTGAGTCGTTAATAACAAAAAAAATCTGTGTTTGTTATTTGGCACATCCACAATTCTTAAAATGTTCTATCAATTTATACAGGAGTTCCAGGCTAGGATTAAGTTGCCTAGATAAGTATACACAGTATTCATTTACAGCATTTGCATAGTACCAAACATTATTTCATGTGCAGCACTAGAGGGCAGCATCTGCAAATACATCACACATCCTTCCTTAGATAATAATAATAATCCTCTGCGTTTGCTATAGTGCCTTATTATGTCTTCGAGTTGTCTCAAAGAGCTTCACAGAATATACTGTAAAGACTATATTTTGTGGGCAAAACTCTTAGAGCTTCAAGCACATCAATAACTGGAATCATTTGTTCAAAAATGGTTGGTAGCGAGTGCTGGCAATTACTTCCACTCTCTCCAAGACTAACACTAGGTCTTGGTGCTCAGACCAGTCTCCCACTCTTCCATGAAATATTCTAGCGATTTCATGCTTTGAGGTCTACTTTTTGTATTGTTTAGCAGATTTCTTAGAAAAAGGGGCAATTATCAAAATTTCAATAATATTGATTGTTTTGAAAATTGCAAATTTCTGGTCAGAACTGCTGAAAATTAGACCATTAAACAAATCTGACACAACCCAAGGGTGGTGATACATAACCTATTTCAACATTACCCAGGTCGCTGGGATCATTTTCCTCAATAGCCCTGTCTGCAACTAAAGTTTCAGCATCAAAATGTCCTCAGAAAAATTGTGAATAACTGAATAAGATTTCAAAAACAATCAAGAAGCTTTGGGGTAAAATTTGTGATCATTCCTTGACCCATTCCTTATGTTAACGCAAGGAAATAACTACAAATTGTACCCCATGTTTCTCAAGTCATGCAGCTGAAACTGTATCTCTACATCCTAATGGTAACAATTTATTGAGCAGTATGGCTTTAATAAACTCTGAAATATTGTTAAATCAGGAACGCAGCAGTAAAAATACCCTCACACTGTTAGCAAATGGCCTCCCGTCGGCTATATTTATTGACTGCTAAAATACACTATAAAGGTTGCTTGTTATTTTGAATATCTTGTGAAGAACCAACATTTTTGACAAGGGAAAGGGTGAAATAAAGAGCTCAAAATCTTAAATTTGTTAACATATTCGGTTCAAACATATGTGCTTCACTATCAGTGGGAAGTTTACACATTTATGAACTTTTAAGCAGCAACGTTTCTTGGCACAGGTTACGGAAACACAATTAATTCAGAACAGCTTCCCTTTCGTTTCTACACCAGCAATGCAAATACAAAGATTTGTTCAGAGCAGTGCTTTTAAACATTCTCACAAACAGCATTATTTGTACCCACAAACTGAGCTTCAAGTGAGTGAACATCTCACTTTTCCACACTGACTCCCTGTAAAATGGTTCAGTGGACAAACGTCCACACATCATTACACATGCCAGGATGTTCTCAGATTCAATCCCTGGTGTGTGGTCAACTTAACAGTCACATTAGGGGCAATAGTCAGAAATACTGCATTTCTCAGTGCCTCCAGGCTAGGAAGGAAATGAAAATTAACCAGTTTCTGCTTCCGATTCCTATCCAGTGACTGACCCCTGCTGGAAAGTAAACCTATGAAAACAGGAGGTCCAATATGTGGTGTTTTCTGATTGGATTTCTTAATAAGGAGTCTGAATAGGGTCTTCCTCTTGTAAATGGAATCATTTTACACACGTCAAACTGATTTGGGTTGTCAAATTTCCTCTAATGTCACTTCCAGCTCTGCCTCTTCCTGTGCTGAGTGCATGTTCAGAAAGTCTGCTAGAAACCAGAAATGTATTGAACTAATCATAGGTCTACGGGACGCCAGCGTTATGACTGGACGCACGCACTGGAGAGACACTTTATAACAGAGTTGCCCTGAAACAAGCTGGCACTGGCAGTCGAGGGTCACACATGAAGATATTGAATTGGGTCAGGCCCACTGGAAACACATCCCAGCATGGTTGATGCCTTCAAAGAGAAAAGATTGTCTGATTGCAAAAAAACTCATTCTCTGTGGTTCAATGGGCTGCAGATGTTCCAGACAGAGAGGAGGATACTGGTTAAACTGTAACAGGAATGACCGCAATAGAATGCTCTTCCACAGTTATGATTTTTCATATTACACCTCGGTATTTTAATGGTAGTAATTCTCATATAGTGCCCCTGGGTGTAGCCCTTATTTTTTTGGGTGGGGGGGTGCAATGTTCATGCACAGAGACAAAATGTTTCATTACACTCGGTCTGGCCAGTGGTGCGAGGTTTCATTTAGGACATGAAGAAAGAAACTTTGTAGGTAAATAATTACTAATGCTGATAACTTAGTTAACTGGAGGCAATGTGGAAATATGCTAGAGCACCAGAACAGGCATCCTGCCCGTGGGGGCAGAGATTTGGTTCTGATACTGCTGAGTGCCAACCCCAGCCACACTGCTGAGCAGAGACAAGATACTACTCCAGATAACTTCAATTAACTCTTAAATTAACTCTTCAATTTAAGAACAAAAACAGAAGTCTCTGGGAACACTCAGCAGGTTAGGCAGCATCTATGGAGAAAGGAAAGTGAGTCAACGTTTCAGGTCCACAACCCTTGGTCAGAACCCGAAATGTTAACCCATTTTCCTTTCTCCATAGATGCTGCCTGACCTGCCAGCGACTTCTGTTTTTGTTTTCAGATTTCCAGCATCTGCAGTATTTTGTGTTTTGTTTAATTCAAGAGTTATTGAAGCCCCC